AACATAATCTCTATCTGATGTATGGTGACGCGTGTCTCGCGCCAGCCAAGCCGAACTCGTCCGACTTCACTCGACCGAGTCCGAGCCAAAAGCGAGAAAGATGTCCGTCCTTCCTTTTTTTTTTTCATTGTCAACCGACATAAATTGTCAAACATACACGAGATTGCTTATTATTCCAATGTTATCATGGAGTTTTTTGTTTAAAGTACGTGCTTAACGTGACGCAAACCTTTATAATAAAAGTTTTGTTTTCCTTGTTAATTTTGTTTTAATTATTGTCCTTCAACGTTCGTTGTTAGTTTCTTTGAAGTAAATAAAAAAATAATAAATTGCTAAAAGTATCGATATGAGTAAGTATCGATACTTTAGATTTATTTAAGTAGTATCGAGAAAAGATTTGAGTACTATCGAAATGAGTAGGTATCGATACTTTAATGGTATCGGAACATCCCCGGTTCGTTTTCATAAAGAATCTTCTGCGCATGCGACTAAATTTTACACATAGCCTTTCTTTTCTTTCCGAACAACGATCTCCACACATTTTACTCGTTTTTTTATTAGTTAAATATATAATCTGGCCATATTTTGACAAAACACTTCCGAAAAATCCTACATTCTACATTCCAACACTGAAACCTGGCGAATTGATGAACAATCAGCGGCTATGTTGATTGTTGAACATGGCAAGGTCTTACGGCTTGTTGACTTCAAAAGTGCCAGGTGATATAGTGGCTACGGTAAAAATTAACGCGCCTATCATATTTAGTAGCACTTTGCGCCGTTTTCGATATCCACATACTCTTTTTTGCCTTAAGATTTAATGGGATCGGGACATATTTTAAGAACATTCTGTCGTAAAAATGCCACACCTAAACTTATTGACAACCTACAAAACGACTTAGCATTAACATTGTTTCTGTGTTTCCAAATGTTTGTTTGGTTAGTTTGATAAGTCTTGTGATTACAGATGTTGTACACTTTCCGCAAAAAAAATCACTGTGAAAAGGTTGGACGTATTACAATTTTTGTACACCTAATATTAAAATTTAGAAGTAGTTAATCAAATAACACATTTACCTTAAAAGTTTTATGCTTAACAAATTGGAGTTTATCCGCGGTCGGTTAGAAGCTGAATTCAAATATTAAAAAAACATTGTAATTGGTCGTGTGGTTCCAGGAGGAATGTACAAAGGACCGCAGAGTAATTCTCCACGGAAAAACAAAACCCTTTCTAATAAACCGCCGACGCGAACCATTTAAGATGTATCTAAATATTTGCCGATGTTCTGCGTTTGTGGGGCGCATCCCTTTGATATCAAACAAATGAAGAACGCTGCCTCTAAAATAACACAATAACGTATTACGATGATATTGCGGGCGGTGGACAAAAAGACTGGATGCGACAATAGAAATGTCGCGATAAGATTCCCTTCATTACAATAATCGGCCCCCTTGCTACGTGAATTATTTAGTTACGACCCTTTGGCGAATCTTTTTTAGCCACTCGCGGATAATACGAAGCCACCGAAAAAAGACGTATTCGATTTGCGAATACGGCCGAAGAAAAGCTCCCAGACGATTTCGACGCAGAGCTTTGTGACTTTTGACGCGACGAATTTTACAAAACCGCTTTTTACCTTCCCGGAGCGTTGTCCCGGAAAGCTACGGACAAATCTCACTTCTTAAGGGATTTCATTTTTATTATTATGTGACACGTTTCACGTTTTCACGATGACGAGAATTTTTTTAGTAAGGTTCTTCATTTTTATTTATTTTCACCACATCACCCTAATTCCCAGGTCCTTATTTTTATGAAAGCTGGCTGGATGCCACTAGACAACTGCAACTCACCACTAACTAACCAAAAGTGAAGCAAATTTTACAATAGGAAGATTGCTGGTAATAGGAATTCTTGTCTTTTTTTTTGGGTGTTCTCGTTCATTAACTACTTTACTTACCGATGTAATTCAGAAATTATATTACTGAAATCATATATGTATTATTTTTTTTTTCAAATATTCACAAAAAATAAAATTATAGGATATACTTCAAGATTTTATAACGTTTTGTAACATTAAAAAAAAATCAAAATAAATAAGAACTAAAAGTTCAGATTTTCACGAAATTATATATTATGACATGACAATTGTTTCGACAACACCGTGTCTTTATCAAATGTCATTTTATAAAGATAAAGATAAAATTGTCGAAACAATTGTCATGTCATAATGTTGTCGTGTCATAATGTATAATGTCGTGAAAATCTGAACTTTTAGTTCTTATTTATTTTGAGAAATGGATTTTCATCAAGTAAAAGCCACCTCAGTTCAATTATTAAAAAAAATACTAATTAGAATAGTCCTGGGAAGAAAATTTTGTACTCATTTGTAGTCACTCGCAGTGACGCATCTTGAAATGGGGAAGATTCTCTAAAAATGTACTGAAAACCCGAATACATTACAAAAATGGTTTATAAAGAAGTATATGCAAATATAAAAATTCTACAAGTCTTCGTTTGCTTAATTAATAAATTTAATACATTTTTGTACCTTTTGACCAGCTTACTTTTCAGGAATATATATTTTTTGATACTCACGTATTTAACAAATATTTGTTATTCCTTGAAAAAGGAAACAACTTGTCAAAACTAGATCACTAGATAAAGAACACCAAAATACAATAGATCTTTTATTTCTAAATAAAATATACGCAAATACAAACTACATACAAATGAAAAAATTAAATTAACAATATTCGTGTGAAAAACTCTATTTATATAATCATATTTATGTATTTTATTTATATACTAACTCGATGTATTATTTCTTTATAAAACACAATCAGATCATGCAATATGAAATAGGTGTAAATGCTTTCCTTGCTTCAAAAAATAACCTCTCTTTAGGGAATACCCAAGAATGTCACTGTCAAAATAATCAAAATATATCGCTACCAGTCCCCCTTAAATGATTTAACCCCAAAAAACAGGTAGACAAATTGAGAAATAATTATAAACAATCCCTTACTGCATATACGTGCTCTTAGTGATAATGTGTATCGCAAAGTTCGCACTGTTCCAGATACAATAGAGCGTCAATATCATTTCATTTAAAAAAATATGTGTTACGGCATGTTTCCAATTCTACTTTCGCAAATCTGAATAAAATCATATCATATCCTTGAAGTTCTCGGTTTAGAGAATATTATTTTCCATTTCATTTTCTCCATAATCTAAGGGGGAAACGCATTTTTTGATTAACGCCCCTATGATTTCTTGCATCAGGGGAAAAACAAATAAAAAAAACAATCAAAATCGAAAATAATCTCTGTATATACCCAAAGCAAATGCCAAGTAATAATAAAATTTAACGTAAATAAAAAAAATTAAAGACGGGATAAATAAGTGAACCGGGAACCAGGAACGGAAATAATAAAAGCGTCATCTTCGAAACCAGATGACCATAAATCTGCGATTTGAATATTTATTAGACAAAAGTCGGGTGCCTATGATAATAACCCGAAAACTACTTTATTGGGTTCTAGATTAAATTAACCTTTTGTTTACCTGCGGGCCAATGACGGACGTCGCCGTAATTTCGCTTATAACGTAAGCAAAAAATAAAGTATGAGTTAATTATGTTTTGTAATTGTGTTTACACGAAGAACGTTTCGTTCTGGCCATGTGGCCCGCGGAGAAGAATCGACTCTCCCCGTTCTATTTAATCCTAAAATACGTTTTCTTTTTTTCGTTCGTTACCGCGGTAGAACTGTATCGATGATTATTCCGAATTTACATAAACCTGTAACGAGTTTAATGGCGTCGACTGAAGGAAAACGCAATTACTCAGCATTAAGTTATAATTTCTTGTCGAACCCTCAGCAGAACTTGACAAAAACAAGCGCTGCACGACAAACAGGTTCCTCTTAGTAGATGCGTTTTTCTTTTTCGTTTTTCCATTTGGCAACACTGTCTATTCTTGACTGGGCGAGTAATTAGCACTGCGCCGGAAGTGATACATCATGTCATAATAATGACCGGTCCCAGAATATCTTTTACCGTTTGTCTTCGTTTGCTCGTTTTGTCTCCTTCGCGGCTAAGTAAACGGATGCCAGCCATTCATAATCGAACTTCTGTATTAACGAAAAGTCGCGTTCAACTGTTTCTAATTTGACAGCAACCACAACCAACCTATCGATTTTAACGATACTGAGTTTACAACCACAACTACGTCGTAACTAATAAGTAAGTGAGCAAGTTACGCCAAGCCCAGCATTGCAGCAGTTTGGAGGCGTTTCCTCTGAAGTCAAAACTCGTTAAAACAAACTTTTACAAACACTATTTGTAACTCAAGCAAAACAGATATAAGGAGCTTAATAAATTTTCCAACATACATAATCTATAACATACAGCTACATCACAAACTAATCACCAAGTAAGCAAGCTAAGCTGATTAGTTCCATTATGGTCCAGAGTGAGAAAGGGCGTAGCAATCTGTAGAGGAAGCTGGAAAAATTGAATACGCAGCGAATCGTTCCAGTTGGCATCATTAAGCAACGATCCCGGCGATTCGATAAAAACAAACAAGATTAAACGTGTGGTATTTCATTAATTCGAACGCTAAATACGCCTTAAAGCGTTCTTGTGCGCATTTGAGCGAATCTAATTATTTTCCCGGCAACAGGATATCGAACCGAGTTCGAAAATAATACCAGTTATTCACAGTAGGCAAATGCCCACACAATGTCTCGTTATAGACTACCAATTAATTTGTTTCCAGCGTAAATGTGTTCGTTATTTAAAACTGAGGAGATGCTCGGAACAGATCAAACGTCTTCACAATGTGTCTTTTATACGGAAGCGCGCTACCGAACGCTTCCGCGTAGGCCGCAGGAAATGTTTATTAGACAATATAGTTTATTCTTCGTCTGTTTTAAACGTTTCTAAAACTTTCGAAACCCAAACAACATTTGCTTTACGCCGAATATAATATGTGTTGCAGATAAGTAGCCCGTCGCCATTGGTCAACGAAACCCACAAACAACTCGAATTCCAAAGAAGGCAGCAGGAACAACTCCTGCAGCAACAACAGAAGCTACAAGAGCTCCAAGGTCAAATTTCGGCCCAGTATGCTGCCACGGGGACGGTCGGGCACCAAGGTCTTATGTTTTTGCCGTTTTTGGAGCAGCTACGCAATTTACATCCCCCGAACATGCCGCCCGTTGTTGCCAAATCTCCGCTCGCCAATCACGTAAGCAGTCAATGAAATGTTGCTATAATTTCAATTTCTTACCGTTTCCTATATATAATGCTGCTGGTATTGTGAACAACCGTGTAAGCGGAATTGAAAGTTGATTTCGCAGAAAACCCGATCTTGAGATATTCCAAAACCATCTCTTTAAGATTTTTAGCTCTAGTTAGTTAGGTTAGATAATATATAATAATATAGAATGTAATATTCCGCAAAGTTGCGATCACCCAAAAATTGAACATATCTTTAAATCATGAGTTTTTCTGATATCCAGCTCTCTGGTTGGTTACATAGATTATAAAACAGCATAAGCTGTTCTAGTGTGCAAGCTTGAGATCGCACAAAATTGATCATATCTTTGAATCATGGCCGTATTCTTATTTTCAGCTCCTTGTAGCCTCTTAAAGTCGATTTCACAAAAAAAAAACTTTTGCATACGCTTTAGGTCATCAAAAACTCGTTCTCTTTTTTCGCTTTGACTCTAGCCATCGGGATAGCTAGCCAGGTTCTCTGCCCGCAAATGATTTCGAAGTGTTTCACATAGATTTTATTATGTTGCTCTTATTTTATATTTTGTATAGGGTTTAATTCCAACACTGCAAAATTCATTTTAGATGCTTCCACCCCACCAAGTACCAAACTGGATCTCGGCAACGACAGCTCACTTGGCTCAAATTTCGAACAACCAACAGATACAACAGGAAAAACGATCTCCGCCCGCGCAACCGACACCTTCGCCCCCACCACCCCCGTCGGATCCCGACGCACCTCTCAATCTCACCAAACCGAAATCCTCTAGTTCGAGTTCGGCGTGCTCGAGCCCCCACGGAACCCCCACGAGTCAGTTACAGAGCATGGCTGATCAACCGGTGGCGGCGACCGCTCCTAGACTGCTACCTCCCAATCTCATGGTACCAAACAGGGCGTTTTTACCGTACGCAGGACTGCCGCCTCAATTTCCGATGCCTCCCAGCGACAACATGCTGAAAGGGGGTAAGGACGGCATGTCCACGATGGACAAGCAATCGCCGTTTTCTCTCCACATGTACGCGATGCCGACGCCCCCCGGCTTGACGGGCAGGCCCAAGGAGGAAAATCTGAAGGACGAGACTGACTTTATTACAGCTTGTCAGTGTAAGTAAAGTGGGGTTTAGGTGCAACTGAAAATGATAATAAATAAAAAATAAATGATAAACTTTATTGTAATTTTATCCTAACATCTATAAACTATAACTAGTCAACTATATTCTCTCCAACTAAATAATACTAAAAGTGGGCAGAGTGAAAGAAACTTAGGTTAGAAAATTTTGCGAGGAACGGGGATATGTCAAGGTGGCCCAGCAAATTGGCTGGCCCACTAATTATTATCTGTGGGTAATCTGTGTAGTATTGATTTTGAAAAGGCTTTTGACAAAGTACAACACGATAAACTGTTTCAACTTCTTTAAAGGGCTGGGTTAGATACCAGAGATGTCCGAATTATTCAAAATTTGTATTGAAATCAAAAAGCAGTAGTAAGAATTGGACCGCATCTCAGCGATGATATGAAGATCAAGGGGGGGGTGCGTCAGGGATGCAGGGATGCAAATTTTTGACGAGGCCATGAGCGACAAGATGCCAGGAGTCATCATAAATGGTAAAACTGTTAATAACATCAGATACGCCGACGACACTTTCATCATTGCTAACCAACGAAGATCTGCAATTGTTGATGAATCAGATTACTAACTCGTGTGCTCAACTAAATGTTAATAAAACTAAATATATGATCATTAGTAAACATGTCTCACATCAGGATGATGGCATATATGTGGAAGGTGCACCTCTGGAACGAGTTGGGAGGTTGACCTACTTGGGCAGTAACATCAACGATAAATGGGACCATCTAATAAAATTAAAATTAGAATAGAAAAAGCAAGAGCAGCATTCGTAAAAATGAAAAAAGTTCTCTGTAACCATAATCTAACATTGAAACTGCGATTGAAAATGGTTAAATGTCACGTACTTCCGGTTCTCCCATATTTGGGATGGAGTCATGGACACTCACTGACGCGACCATCAAGCGTCTAGAGGCGTTCAAAATGTGGATGTAACGTCGTCTACTCATGATCAGCTGGGTGGATAGAGTCAATAACGCAGTAGTACTAGAGCGAATGAACAAACTTCTGGAGATAATTTTAACCATCAAGCAGCGTAAGTTAGAATACTTTGGACATATTATGCGTCACCCTGAGAAGTATGCCATACTGCACCTCATAATGGAGGGAAAAGTGAATAGCAAGAGAGGCCCTGGAAGGAGAAGAACATCATGGTTGAAAAATCTAAGATAATGGTATGGAAAATCCTCGATCGAACTGTTTCGTGCAGCTGTTAATAAAACAATGATTGTCAACATGGTGGCCAGCCTGATACCAAACGATCGTTAAACGGTCACGGCACTATAAGAAGAAGAAGAAGGGTAATCTGTATAATTCTATGGAAAAGAAGTAGATAGCGCAGAAGAGTTACTAAGCCCCATTAGTGTCGCTGGAAATGAAACTATGAACAATCACTTCCTGATTCTTCGTGAATATGGAAATGCGTTCGAGAACTTATATAAATTAGTGATTTGTCACTGTTAGACATTCTTACGAGTTAATGTTATTGTGCTTCTCATAAAAATGGCCTCCTAATGAGCCATAGAATGAAAATTGACAATTAACAAACAAATAACTACCACTTTTCAATTGTTGAAGAATATTTTTTTAATATATCCATTAAGTCTACCTTTTTCTCGTAACAGAACACAACTTTCCCGATTTTATAAGAAAAAATGTTAAAAGTCAACCCACAAAAAAGTTATTGCAGTTTTTGTTACCTGTATTCCTCAAAAGTGATGGCCCTTACCAAAATTTAACAGTTATAATTTTAGAATCAGTATGAGCATATCAGAATTACTAAAATTCCAAAACTTTTTGAGTGAGTATTTCCCTGCATATGTTTAAATAGAAAATTAGGACTTATTTGGTCCACTAATTGCGGGACAAGATGTATATTATTCTAAACACTTATCATTATCATTAGCAAAGTTAGAGAGTTAGCAGTTAATTTACGATATCTGAATTGTTATCCAAAAGTAAACCATACGCGCGGATCGAGAATATTTTTGGTTGGTATAGACAACGCTCAGTTTTTCTGCTAATACGCCGTTTTTATATATAAAATTTTCAAGAAAAGTTTAACCCAACACAGCAATTACCAAATTTCAACAAAATACATGGAAAACTGCGAGGGTTTTAAATAAAATTGTTATATTTTAAATTAAGTTAAAAACCAGGTACATTTCTTTTTCACACTTAACGTTACTTAACGTCATTTTGTTGTAGATCGCTTTCGATTCTGCCGTCCGCCATCATTAACCAGATGTTCAAAAATTTCTATTAGGTAACGGAAAAACTGTCCCGCAAGACGATGAACCTTTTGAAGAGCGTCGTAAATTTATCGTATACGAATTAAATCCGTTATAAATCTGATGCAATTAGCCACATAACAAATTGGACGCTTTTTAACGGGCCCCCGGATTTTCCGAACGGCCATAAAATCGGACTTAATGTCGCCTGCGCCAAACGGACGCAACTGAATAAATGGCAGATTGTTTTGACTTTTCTTTTAATACGTCCCACGATTTCGGCATTTAACAATTTCTCCAAATCGTCGGTGACATTATTTCCGCTCTTTGATCTGCGTCTAAAATAATACCCTCGGTATATTTCATTTATAGCCGGTATTATTAAAATATAAAGCATTTGAATATCTGCCAAAGCGATCGTAAATGTTTTTTTTTTTGTTTAGAAGAAACACAAAGTCGTGGTATTTTGTTTTTTTTTTTTCGTCTGATCGCCTCCCATTACCTACCTATTACCTACAAATATTTCGGCAAATTCAACACTGTTAGATCTAAATCAATGACAAAATTGAAATATCAAATAAAACGCCCTGAAACGCTGCCAAAATATTTCCAAAATATCGTCTATTAGAGCGTGATACCTAATTCGACCGGTCCCTTTATCAATTCATTCAATTCACCAATTTAAATGCGAATCGCAAGAAAAATTACCGAATAAAATGCAGGAAATCTGGCCGATAGTCAAAATTAAGATTTTGGGATTGACGTTAAGGAATTTGCCAAAATTTTATTATGTCTATCGTTATATATTTTCGGGAAACAATATTCGACTCAAAATGCTATAAATGCATTCTAAAGGCCTCGAGAAAATTTGAGAATTCAATAACACAGTCGCTTTATAACAGAAACAGTTGCAATGTAATGAGACGATGTTGAACAAGCGAAGTCCGGTCAATAACTTTTGAGACTATTCGCTACTAGTTCACATAATAATGGGTGTTTTTTTGGATGTATAGAACTTTAAGTTGTTCAAGCTGGCGACCGATTTAACAGCTGTCAGTTTGGTTTGGCAATTCATCATGAATCGATTCATGCATGAACAACGCTTGCAAATAGTGCGAGATTGCCGTTGTTCCCGATTTTCATAAGCGAATTTTGTTTAGCGATGAAGCGCACTTCTGGTTGAATGGCTACGTCAACAAACAAAACTGCCGCATTTGCAGCGAAGCTAATCCTCAAGTGTATGTCGAAACACCGTTACATCCAGAAAAACTGACTGTTTGGTGCGCTTTATGGGCTGGTGGAGTCATTGGTCCGTACTTCTTCAAAAACGATGATGGTCAGAACGTCAATGGTGATCGGCATAGAGCTATGATTACTAACTCTTTCATTCCTGAATTGAATAACCGTGACGTCCAGGAGATGAGGTCTCAACAAGACGGCGCAACATGTCACATAGCTCGTGCCACAATCGATTTATTGAAAGACACGTTTGGTGACCGCCTAATTTCACATTTTGGACCTGCGAATTGGCCTCCAAGATCTTGTGATTTAACACCGCTAGACTACTTTCTGTGGGGCTATGTAAAGTCATTGGTCTATGCGGATAAGCCACAAACGCTTGACCATTTGGAAGACAACATTCGCCGCGTTATTGCTGATATACGACCACAAATGTTGGAAAAAGTCATCGAAAATTGGACGTCCAGATCGGATGTGGCGGTCATATTCCAGAAATCATATTTAAAATGTAATGCCACAAGATTATCTTTCGGATAAATAAAATTCATGTGAATCGAATAATCCATCGTTGTTTTATTGCAACTTAAAGTTCTATACATCGAAAAAAAAACACCCCTTAGTTACAATACTACTACGCTTGCAATTAAGTTTGCAAAACGTTGGCAATCAAACGTTGGTTAATCAAAAAATCACAATAACTTTCCAAAGAAACTTTCACGGGCTACTGTAATACAATTTACAAAACTTCTGGATTGCTCCTGCGTCTGTTGTTGATGAATCGAACATTCTGACGTTTCGCCAATCATCCTGTTGACTTCTTCAGCTTCAGAAGAAGCCAACAGGATGATTCCCAGAAGTTATGTAAATAGTTAATTTTAAACCCATTAAAGATACCGAGTCGGTTAAATGGGATACAAGTTGCGGATTTAAATGCATAACCCCCATAATAAATCAAAAATAATTTATCACAGATTCTGAATTTTCATGCCTGTTTGGATTTTTTGTTTCGGTTATTCTCATTTATCTTAATTTAAACTGCCGAATAAAGCAAATTATCAATAGACTGACTTTCTGACTTAATAGTTTTTTTCTCAAAAAGCAAGTAAGTTATTTAAACTTTCAATGTTGATAGTGGCACACCCTATAGGCAAAATAAGCGAACTCCGAAGACACTCATTTTGAACCATACAACTTATGAATATTTTTTTTTGTAAAATTGGGAATAAATGTGCTAGGAACGAAATTCTCAAATAAAACTATTTGTTTTTTCTAAATTATTTCTTAGTCCACCTCTGATAATTTAATTTCGGTATCTTCAGAATATTATGCATTTAAATAGTTATACCACTTTCCTTCCGTTTATTTCTCCTCATGAATGGTTTAAAATTTACTCCTAATTTCATTGGAAAACTGACCCTGTTCAGCTTAGTTAAGCTACAAAGGTATCACCAACGTTATAAATTATTTCTATCTCAAAAGATATTCCGCCCTAAATTATTAAAGAGATTTAACAATTACGAAAACAGCGTTTGGACGATCGCCATTTTCGTATGCTGGATGGAAGAGACATTTCTAAGCTCGTTTGTAAGCTTGTTTCGATTTATTTTTGCAATTGATGACTTAAGTATTGATCCTCGTGAAATGAAATGTACCTTTAATTTGTATACTATAGAAATTCGGTTTCCAAATGGACAGTTTGACTTACGGAAAAGCATAGAATCACTTAAAGTACAATAAATTCCCAATATTTGCCAAATGCAAATATTCTTCCCTATACATTTCAGAAGAATGTTTTTTTTTGTAAATAATCTAGTACGAGAGCTCCTTTCTTTGTATACGGAGGTCTATAAAAAGTGTGCAAAAAATTCTACCCCAAAAAAATCGGTCATTAATAAATTGAATGTTGTTAAATAGTTTTTTCTCAAATTTCAGTGTGGGGCGCGCCCGATGCCGGCTTCAAACTCGATGAGAACTCGGAAAAGGCGAAAATCATCAGGCAGCAACAAAAACGCGATAACGAAAACAAACCTCACATCAAACGGCCGATGAACGCTTTCATGGTGTGGGCAAAGGACGAGAGAAGGAAAATCTTGAAGGCGTGCCCGGACATGCACAACTCGAACATCTCGAAAATTCTCGGCGCCCGTTGGAAGGCGATGTCCAATTCGGAAAAACAACCTTATTACGAGGAACAGTCGCGACTGTCCAAACTTCACATGGAAAAGCATCCGGACTACAGATACCGACCGAGGCCAAAACGCACTTGCATAGTCGATGGCAAAAAGATGCGTATCTCGGAATATAAAATGCTGATGCGGCAACGTCGCCAGGAGATGAGACAACTCTGGTGCCGAGATGGTACCGAGATGAATTTCAACATGTCTTCCGGCACGGAGATGACTGCCGGCTCGTCATCTTCGACAGGACGACAGAATATGTCGCCGCCCCTGCTACTGAACGGCGGCGCCGGACCCAGCAACGACGGCGGTTTTTATTATCCGCAGGATAGCGCGTCACCCGATGTGTTGAATTTTTCGCAGGACCGCAACATGACGTTCGATTCTAGTCCGAGGAATGAGGAGGACTGAGCCTGGCCCAACAGGGAACTGGTGTTCCCTCAGTGGTTCTGAGCGCACGGGTTCGGATTCGGGAGCGGGAGAAGGAACGAGATCGCTTTGCATTGATTCTTCATGTTCATGGATTTTTTAAGCAAATCGCGTCGGGGCAAATAAATCCGAAATTTTTGATGAGGATGTGATCAAACTTTAGGTGAAAATTTTTTGAGCGATCTAGACACGAAATATATCGAAAAGTTTTTATAAAATAAAATAAATATAAATAAAAATAATAAACGTCTTTATTGAATTAAGTAAAAAAAAAACATTTTATAAGAAATTTAAAAATGCAAGGGCAGTCAGTTCAGCATTGCAGGAATTGAATATTTTGACAGAGATAATGGGCGCCACTGACTTTTTTCTTTTTGTTTATAAAAAACAAAAACCCGAACAGCAAAAACCCTCCTTCCAAAATCACACTCCCTTTTTATACAAAAATCATTTAACATTAAATAACACGAGATTTATTTTACAAAAAATATGCGCCTTAACACCATGAACACCATCGTTAAATTCAAACAGAACAATTTGCTTCTAGATTTTTGAGAAATGCGTAAACTAACGTATTTTCGGACTTTTTTAATTAATATTTGGCCGAGTACAGACAATTCCAGGTTTTCCATGACAATTTATACTTTTTTTCAGGAATAACTATGAATACATGGAATCCAGAAAATTTGCCAATCAGTTTTTCCAGATATAGACACAATTTAAATCGAAAAAAGCTATTAAAAATATATAATGATATTAGTAATAATAATAATAATAATAAAGGTCTTTAAAATAAGTAAAAAAACATTTTATAAGAAATTTAGACACTAAACACTAAACTGAATTTTTTAAACATAATTTTGGTATATTTATTTGCCCCATCATCAATGATAAAATAATGTTTTCGTAAATTAGGTTTCAATTTTCCTGATCGCAGCTATCAAGGTGACATGATATATTTGATCGAATCCTCGCTATTAATAAGCTTTCCAATTCCAATTTTAGCCATGTAATCTAGACATGCGTATCTAATGCCTCTTAATTCAAATTGATTGTAATTGTAATTAATTTTTTGTTTCTTTTTATTTATTTGCTTGCATTTGGAATCGTAGTACTTGTACTGAGGATTATACACTTTCCACTAAAGCGAAATAAAGCAAAAATGGAAGAAAGTAAAATATAACAACCAAAACAATTAAACACGTAAATATGAACAAAATCATTTTAATCCACATTTAAAATATGATAATTGGAAATGACATGTGAAAAGTTAATTTTGTTTCAAACAGAGAGAATAAGATTTCAATTTTGCTTTTTCTAAATTTAATTTCGTCACTGCCCGGTTTTTTCAAAAAAGTGAAGTATTTGTAACCCCGCTATTGAGTATTGTTGAGGAGAGCTGCGCACAAGTGAGGAGTCAATGCATTTAAAAGCGGATCGGCCCCTTCCGGAGGTGAAACTAACGAGAGACAAAAACCGAAACGATTCAAAGGGCGAACAAAGAAAATTGCGGTGCGATTGAGCGTCGTGACATAAATGCCAAAAGACTTGACAAAAAATCGTATTACAAAAAAAGGTGTCGTAGTTGTATTGTTATGTATATATGCATCACGTAGATCTTCAAGTTATTTATTTTTTATTACTATTATTATTTTTATTATTATTGCGGATCGTAAGGTGTAATCCATTGTAAATTTATATCCCGAGACATTGCATATCTTCTGTTGTTTAAAAAAATAATAATAATAATTATTATTATTAATTGGTACGTTTTGAATTTTTAAAATGTAGATTCTATCAATTGACAGGGGTTTGTACCTGGGTAACGCGACAGTATTGTTTCCGCGCTAAATACGAGGTGTTTCCGGAATGATGGAATAATCTGACTATAAAAAATTTTAAATCCATTTCGAGAAAAAGAAATACATGCTTTTTGATTAATCTCCAATTTGTCTTCAATTCCGCATGTACAGCAAACACCTCGTATAATAATCCCAATGACATGACAATTTCGTTTCGAACAAGCTTTATTAGATTTAAAACGAGTTGTATTATTACTTTTTTGTTTAATTTTATTCGATGAATGGTACAAAGCTTTATTTTGGAAAAACTGTTGACGCGGCGCGTGACAGCTGATAAGTTCCGGAAAAATCCGAACCTATCGGTGTCGCTGCACGCATATCTTCATACGTGTGCAATGTGTAAGTATGTATGTTATAGATTTGTTTTTTTTCTTTTCACCTGTTGTTTATATCATTATATAATAGAGCCAGTACGTTCTAAGTAAATATAGATTATTTATTACTTTCATCGGGCTACTGTACAGTCGAAACAAAAATTCTCACATCATAGTGTTCGATCATAATCTGACAAAGCCTTGCGCACTATTCTATCCAATTTCCCAATAACTAAAAATCGAGGTTCAGGAATGCATAAAAATTTTTAGTTGCTGAGAAATGCACATGAGAAAAAACCGATAATGCATAAGTCTTAAAACCCATGTATATAATTTTATTAAGTTGCAGTTAAATATTAACCGCAATAGGCACTGTTAATAAAAATGTACGTATATCATCAGTATTTACGAAAATCCTTCATCTCTCGTCGGCATAGGCGCCGTCTTGACATATTAATCCGGCTCCCTTATAACCTGGGTGGGGAAAATGCCGCGTCCCCAATTTTTGTTTAGTTTTACGTGAAAGTTCTCGCCGTACTTATTGCTAATTATAAAACAATTAAAATGTGATACCTGGCAACTAGGTACAGTATGTAAAATTGTATCTACTTCGTGTAAGTATACCTAAGCATAATGGATGTCCCTCGAAACAAAAAAAAAAACGACGGTAGCAGCATTTTCAATATTCCGGGATGCGTCTTTTTAGGGCTAGTGATTTGTAAGCGTAACAACACGAATAGTCGAATATATAAGATCGTTTGGTCAACACTGAAACATTAGTGAATAGGCTCATTGTTCTTCTTGTGCCAAAATTAAGTTAATAAAGTATGAAAATGCACAATTGATGTTTAATTTCGAAAAGAAAAACAGTAAAAATCTTCATGTCAAATTACATCAAATTTGTTGTTCCTATTTTCAGTAGACTTCAGCTTACGGTGTAGGCGGCAAGTTTGACGAATCAAACCGAGGACACCCTTTCACTAAACGTGAATATATTAATTATATTAATCTCTGCTCAATCTCTCATAGTAATGTGAGTAACAAATTACATAAAATTTGAAATTATACAGTGCGTTATTAAATAAGTGTTCGAAATTTGAAAGGTCAATTTGTCGAGTATTTCTATGTGTCTTTTTCTGCCTACTTGCCTAAATTATACCGATTTCTGAACAAAGATTGGTACTTGGAGTTTCTGGACTTGAGAAATTTGAATTTGTTTCTAATTTAGCTCTTACTTCTAGCAACTACCCACATCATTTCTCACTTTCCTCACTTCTGTTCGCGCATTATTATATATATATATTTTTTTAATTAATTCCACAATCACTTTCTAAGTGAAAAGGACACTCTCATTGGAATTTGAATATTTTGGTTTGGCTTAACCGATGCTTAATTTTTTTTTGATCACCATCAGAAGTTTCTAACCAAAATTAAACAGACAAACGCTAAATGAAAAACGAGATCAAAATTACAATAAATGTTGGAAATGTTCACACAAACGCCTATGGAAAATTCCTGGAGTATTTTGAGTCTTTCTACAAGAGTCAATTATTTGATTCCTTTCTGTAAACTAACGGTTCCAATTGTGCCCAAAGAAAATAATCCCACCTATTACGTTATATTATATTATATTATATATACGTTTATAGTAGTTCTTACTCTAAAAATACTTGAGAAATCTGTAATTAATAGTCCACGGAAAAATTTTTTTTTTTAGTTGCTTTGATCTCACTCACTCAGAAGAAAGCGTACACCGTGAACGTTGGGCCAAATTTGACGCATAAAAAGCCAAAGCCTTACATGGTGGCTATGTGGGGCTCAATTTTCATTAAAAAAAAAATAAACCGCTCGGGGATATCTGTTACCGCTAGTTATATGTCCCAAACTGCAGACGAAGCCCAAAGCTAAGCGAAGCTAACGCATCGCTGACACCGTATTAATTCGGTTGTAATATTGTAAAATACGCTCTTAATTATTCCAACCTTTGTAACGGCCAGTTCGAATAAAACTTTATTTCGCTTTCTGTATAATAAATGTTTTTAAAAACGCTCTCTTGACTTTTGAACATTTAAGCCGCTATAGGATGTTTTTCGAACATGTGCAACTTTTTTGTTTCTATAAAAACCATTAAATTGTACTTAAAAAATTGTTTTGGAAATATTTTTAGAGAAGCACAAAATATTTCATGGCAAAAAAGTTACAGCGATTTTTAATTTAAAACATGCACATTTTCGAAAAACACTCTTTTAATCTGGAACGGTCGCAGATAATCACGTGCAGTTTTTACTATTATTTTTTTAATGAAAGTTGAGTACCACACCACGCTTCGTAACTTTCGTAAGAAACTTTAAAATCGTCCAATTTGGCGCACTCCTTGTTGATTTTAGAAAGCTCAATTAAAGGAAGAATTTTCATTTAAAAAAAAACAGAATTGATAAATAATTAATGTAATTATGGCAACATCAGAATATATCTCCGATACAAATTCTGATCCTGTTTGGTGTTACAGATCTTAAGAGATTTCTTGCTGTTTTTAACATATTGGCGGATGCGCAGGACCCACGAAAAACACGCCATCGATCGCCTTCGCCGTTTGGTAATTTTTAATAATCACTTTACGCTGAAGACTAAAAATAGCGACGCGTTAAATTCGGCACTGATAAAATTATCATTTCACACTCAGTTAATCGATTTTAACGCAATATCCGTCTACGTACGAAGAACGAGTGTTCGTCTTAACGGGTTGAGCAATCCAGGAAATACACGATTATTTTACTTTTACGAACTTACGCAGTGAACTAAAAATTTTATTTGAAAATTGGGCTGCGGTAGCATGCGATTTATTCTTGGTAAATATATAAAAACAATATGCAGCGCGTTCGGTTTAAAAATATCATCATTATCAACAATATAACACAACTTTTTCTAAAAAATATTAAAACAAGCCATCGATCGCCATCGCGGTTTGGTAATTTTTAATAATCACTTTACGCTGAAGACTAAAAATAGCGACGCGTTAAATTCGGCACTGATAAAATTATCATTTCACACTCAGTTAATCGATTTTAACGCAATATCCGTCTACGTACGAAGAACGAGTGTTCGTCTTAACGGGTTGAGCAATCCAGGAAATACACGATTATTTTACTTTTACGAACTTACGCAGTGAACTAAAAATTTTATTTGAAAATTGGGCTGCGGTAGCATGCGATTTATTCTTGGTAAATATATAAAAACAATATGCAGCGCGTTCGGTTTAAAAATATCATCATTATCAACAATATAACACAACTTTTTCTAAAAAATATTAAAACAAGCCATCGATCGCCATCGCGGTTTGGTAATTTTTAATAATCACTTTACGCTGAAGACTAAAAATAGCGACGCGTTAAATTCGGCACTGATAAAATTATCATTTCACACTCAGTTAATCGATTTTAGCGCAATATCCGTCTACGTACGAAGAACGAGTGTTCGTCTTAACGGGTTGAGCAATCCAGGAAATACACGATTATTTTACTTTTACGAACTTACGCAGTGAACTAAAAATTTTATTTGAAAATTAGGCTGCGGTAGCATGTGATTTATTCTTGGTAAATATATAAAAACAATATGCAGCGCGTTCGGTTTAAAAATATCATCATTATCAACAAAATAACACAACTTTTTCAAAAAAATATTAAAAAAAATAAGTCAAAATGTCGTATTTACACTTTTTATAAAACAAAATTATACGGGAAAAATCGGTGCCTATAGAGAGTCGCCACTTAAGTGTGCAACATATAGGAATTTTTTTAATTAATTACACAAACAAAATGCAGACATCCGAAAAGTATAACTTGGATTGGTAAATATAAAAAATTTAGCGACATCTTAAGGGTTTTAGAATTAAAAATCTACTAATAAAAAAAAAATAATTACAATTATTTCTAATTTAAATTTCTAAAAAGTGATTCCTCGTCTTCTCAGGCTATGTTTCGTTATTTAGCCATAACTTAGTTTTAAACAACTTTTGCTGGTAATTTCCTGCTGAATGGTCTTACAAATTACACTAATTTCATTTATCATCTTAATATTTGTTGACCTTTCCTGACTGTTCGCAATGATTCGCAATCATTCTAAGTGCACACACGATTATCAAACTTTCGGTAATCTGTGCTGAGATGCCGCAATAGATTATTAATTCCCGTATGTTCCACACGGTATGGAAAGCTGTGTTCACGAATTCAACCTTCAACCTGAATTAATTTCGTTCCTGATTAAATTAAATATCGTTTGGGATTCCAGCCGCAGTAAATTTTTAAAAAATATTTACCTTGAGACCGTCAAAGCGGTCAAACGTATCGTGGGTTTTATTGGCAGGCTGTTTATCTTTCGGTTGTGCTGTAGTGTTTATAAGAGTCCTTCAGAATTGGAAAGCAACCCGTTGAAATTTTTGAAGTCCCTGCGAGGTTTAATTACGTTTTAGTAAACTAACAAATGTAAAATTTCTCAACAACATTTGATTAACTAGTAAAGAAATGTTTATTCATTAAAATATCAAAATCACAAATTTTTTGCTCACCTGAAGACTCATTGTTCGATTATTCTCTCGTAAATATAATAAATCACATTCTTAATTTGCCTGTCTAATCCTAATAATCAGAGCACTTTTTTTAATACACATTAAGCACACCTTACGTAGAAACCAAAACCGGTTTCTTTGAGTGAAAACCATCGTTATAGCAAATAAATGTAAAAGCGGGTTATGCTCTTTTCATTTCGGTCTTGACCCCGTAGGAAAATATTTTTATTGTCAAATATGTAGAGCACGTAGGTTCAACTGAGCCGCGCGGTTGTTTTTAACAAAAATATTCGCGTTAAGTCTACTTTTTGAGTATTAACGCCCAATAAAATATTGTATCGTCGAATCTGCAGCGTCGATAAACAGTTTTAACGTAACATCGCCATGTTAAGCGAACTATTACGAAATTATTGCCATTTAAAGGTTTGTAAGTTCTTGAGCAATAAACAGCATCAAAGCAAAAAAGTGTTTATAATAAAAACAACAAGACTACGCCGTGTTTGGACGGTTATTTCACTGATTCAGTCCGAAAGTATGTGGAAATTAGATAATTTCCACATACTTTCGTTCTTCGATCAGGTTTTTAATGTCAAATTATAATACAAATCTAGTTTTATTTATCATTTTGCAAAATGGATAGGAAGTGAAATTTAAAACCGATATCAGGTGCCTGCGAAAGTTACCGGCTTTTAGCAGTAATCGAGATTTGAAAATTAAATTAAATTGATTGTTTTAGAAATAATCGCAAAGCGTTCAACGAGATCATTTTAATTAAAATCGTTTATCGCGCAGTTCATTGAAAAAGCGTAGCGGTAATCCTGAAATATGTAGCTTTTTATCTTATAATCAAATCGGACCCGAAATCGCAATGGCTTTCGAAGAAAATTTGTCGTTTAATTGCAAAATCATTTGATGTTCGATTTTCCAAAACTATAAAGTTTTCTATAGCTCTTTTACCAGTACCGTTAATATATAATCTCTCCCGTAAAAGGACATTTGGTCCAGGAATATTCACGGGCGAGTTTTCCATTTCTGAAATATTGTTTTTCTACTCCCGTCTGTAAAATATCTAATCTAGCGTGCGGGGAGCGTCGCTTTACCACGTCAGTTTCGTTTCCCACGAATCCGAGCCGCTTCAGACATTTCCGGGATTTTACCACACGGGTTTGGGAGCAATCGGATGTTTTCGGAGATATTTCCCAAGCTTTGAATTTTAACGTTTGTCAATTCTGACAGTCATGTCAGTGAATGTATTCGTGTTTTGCGAAAATGTAGCCAAAAGGAACTCGTTCAGTAAACTTTTTAACTCACTCGTTTATTGAACACTCGCTCCGCTGGTGTCAAATAAACTCGTGAGTCAAATGCCTTTTACCGCACTTGTTGCATAATATACTATTTCTACGACCGTTAGTTTTTGAGTACATTTTCGCAAAACAACACGAAGGCGTGGGAAATATCAACGAAAACATCTGATTGCTCCCAAACCCGTGCGGTAAAATCCCGGAAATGTCCGAAGCCGTTCGGATCCGTGGAAAACGAAACTAACATGGTAAAGAGACGCTTCCCGCACTCTAGATCGGTGTGTAATTAGGCATTTTACAGACGGGAGTAGAAAAATAAATTTGTTCCAGAAACGGTAAAAGATATAAGGGATATTTATTATTGGGTTGTTCGGAAAGTCATTTCGTTTTTTTTGGGGAACATGAAAGACAGTTTTCGTATAATGAATAAATATTTTATTAAATTATATATTGGCCATTCTGGTCCAACACCTTTTGCCATCTTTCTGGCAGTAACATAATTCCCCTCTCATAAAAGTTTTGGTCCTTGCTGGCAAAAAACTGGTTCAGGTGGTTTTTGACATCTTCATTTGAGGTAAAGGTTTTGCCATCCAAAAAATTTTGGAGGGACCGGAACAAATAGTAGTCGGAAGGCGCCAGATCTGGAGAATATAGTGGATGTTGCAGTACGTCCCATTCAAGCTGTAAAAGTTTTTGGCGAGTGACCAAACTTGTGTGAGGTCTCGCATTATCCTGGTGGAACACTACACCCTTTCTGTTGATTAATTCGGGCCTCTTCTCTTTAAGTGAATCATTCAATTTGTCCAGTTGATGACAATAGACTTCTGAATTAATCGTTGTATTGTCCGGCAAAAGCTCAAAAAAAACTATTCCTTTGACATCCCACCAAACGGAGAGCATCACCTTTTTTTGGTGAATGTTGGCTTTTGACACGCTTTGAGCCGGTTCATCTTTTCTGCTCCATGACCGCTTGCGTTTAACATTGTTGTATACACCCAACTAACCCATTTTTCGTCCCCAGTAATAATCCGCTTCAAAAATGGATCATTTTCTTGACGTTTGAGGAGCGAATCACACACGTCAACGCGACGACACAAATTTCGCTCCGTAAGGACATGGGGCACCCACACATCGAGCTTCGAGGTTAAGCCCATGCCTTTCAAATGGCCATAAACAGTCGAATTCGACAAATTTAATCTCTCACCGATCTCTCGTGTGGTTATTCGCCGATTTGCATCAACTAATGCCTTTATCGCATCTTTGTCAGCTTCGACCGGCCTTCCAGACCGTGGTGCATCTTCGACATCAAAATTGCCGGATCGGAATTTTGCAAACCAGTTCTGGCACTGGTGTACTGTTAACACGCCTTCTCCATACACATCCGTTAATTTTTTTCTCGCTTGGACAGCATTTTTACCTTTTCTGAAGTAAAAAAGTAAAATATGACGAAAATGCTGCTTATTGCTCTGCATATTTAAAAGGGCACCAACCAAAAACTACTGCGTAGAATTACTAGAACTTTTTCACACACAAGCCTTGCAATATCAGCTCTCAAGACATATAATGGTTATGCGGCTTAAGTGTGAAGTTAGTTTCGAAAAAACGTAATTAAGTCCTCTGAGGGGAAAAAACGAAATGACTTTCCGAACAACCTTATATATATGAAATATAGATAGAAAGTTGCGAAAAAATCAAAAATGCAGGATGGTTATATTTAAAACAAGAAAATAAAAATATAAGTGAATCGAACCCAGTTTCATATGAATTGGACCTAAGATATATGTTGCATTTCTGAACTAATCTTTATTTCTTTGAAATAAGTAACAAAAACAACTAGGTTAATTTGATGCTATATACTATTATCAAATAATCAATAATACTTGTAGGTTATTTTAATTACAGAAATTAAAAAAAAACAAAAAAATATTCAGGTCTGGTGCAACTCGACCACCTTTTTGTTTTAAAATGGCATCGATCCTCTTCTGTACAGTATTCTCGAATGTTTTACAGTATTCTGGTTGAAGATTATCCCAAATTTCCTGACATCGTTGCCTTAGTTCGGGAACAGTGCGAACTGGAGAAGTTCCGAGTGCTTTTTCCATTTGGTGTCATAAAGTCTCAATTGGAGATAAGTCCGAGCTATCTGAGGGCCATTTTAAAACCATAACTCTGCAGTTAGAGCAGTGTGAGATGATGTGCCATCCTGGTGAAATATGAATCCTCCTTCCGGTAGTTGAACAGATGTCAGACGTCCAAGACATGGAGCCCCAAACCGCTACAGATGCAGGAAATTTTTTTTTTGAGACAGCCTGCGCGATATTCTTCCCATGGCATTCGGCAAACTTCAAACTTCATCGCTCCAAATAACTGAGTCCAATTGATGTGGTAGCCAGGTTTTGCACCCTAGCAGTCGATTTAGTCGATTTAGTTTTTGTTTTACAGAGAGGAGTCGTTTATCCTTCGCCCAGAATATAAATGTGATATTCTACTGATGCGTCCGACTTCTCTTTTCTATTTAACTTACTTTGTAGAACCCACAACCCATGTTTTTCAAACTTCTTAAACAAGTGTCTTTTGAAACGGATCTACCAATTGCATGTGACCATTTTACAGTTATCTCTTTTGATGCAGCTCTGCGATCTTGTTTCTACCATTTGTGAATACCGTGATAATGTTGCTCACTGTGCCTTGAGGTTTGGTTAAACGTTCTGCAATATTGTGCCCAGAAACTCCATTTTTGTGGGCAGTAAAATAGAATTTCGCATATCGTTCGCGAACCATTTTTGTAACAAACCGACGTTAAATTGACTACTAGGCAACCATGTGTTTGTGTGTGTTGTGTGTGTGTGTTTTTTGTTTTGCCCTAATAATAATAATAAATATATCCGATTTCACCGCGCAAACATATTTTTATCATGGTGCAGGAGATGGTCCAACTGATATGCGCAAGACACAATAAAATATATTTTTTTATTGTAGTAACTGAAATAATAACAAATATTGTTGATCACCAAATTATTTTGGTTGTTTTTCGTAAGAGTTATTTTAAATTGGTCCGATTTATATGCGCCTGGACTCGTATACAGAGCACAGGGCCCGGAACACCCAACAACCGGGTGAATTTATGTTCTGCGTCTATTTACTGACGATTCTAACGGGCGCCGTCAATCCAAGTGCAACAAGTTCAATTAAACCGCAAATTACCATCTTGACCATTTAAAGGGGGCATATCGCCAAACGGAGAAACGTTAGACGGCACGCCACTCTTTCAATCAAGTCCCGCGTAGAGTGGAATACCGTGGTATTCATCTCGGCGCTGTCCGCTTTATTCGCGCTCGAACCGTAGCGGCGAATCGACGTCGTAGCGCCAAGTCCCGGTAGTTCTCTCGCCTGTCGTCGTTTCACTTTTACCTTCGTTTTGAGACGAGAACAAAAGAAAGAACGCGCGACCCCGGTTAAAACGACAACGTGTTCCTGTTGCGAACAACAGGACCGCTTTTTTTTTCTGCAGTAAATTCCAAGTATTAGGCGTCGCGCGAAATTAGGGCAAACGGTGAAAGTGACTTTGGACGACAAGCGGTATCCGCAGGAATGAATTTGATGGTGTGTGGATTATAGTGTCGTAATCTCGTGCCGCCGGACCATATCGTCACTTTGCCAACCGTACCGGTAAGTATAATGGTGTGCCGATAGGCCACAAGTAAATTCCGGAAAATTCAGGTGGGAAACCCTGAAAAAGTCACGGTATTCCTCAAGGGTCAGGAAAAAACCCCGACTTAAAACACACCTTCAGAAGACGATATTTTAATTGGGGATAATATTCAAGATTCATGATTTGGATTGGTTAGGGTTCGCATCACCGCAATGTCAAGGATGTATTGTGACTCTCGGCATAGCTCTAAAGCTTTATCTAGGTTCGTCTCTCTGGTTAAACTCCACAGCTTAGACAGTGGCTCCTTGGTACTTCACACCTGAACATGTTTCCTCTTCTTCTTGGCAGAATCTGCATTCAGACCCATTAGATGCGTCTCAAGCCGCAGTGGCCCGTCATTAGGCCTTTCTTAGCAAGTTGTAAATATGACCGATGCATCTCTGATGAATTTCCGGGATTTTCTCTTTCCATTCATTTTATGAAGGCTAATTTTGCAGCCATCCGAATCATACGCCTTGGCGAGTATTTGATATTTCGTCGTAGCTTTCGGGTGTAACAGAAAATGTTTTCGTTGATGACATTAAAGACATATGGATTTCTTTGGATCCTAAATTGGTATTCGAGGACCATATGGACAAAATTCCTATGTCCTATGGTATCTACCACGGTTTCATTAAATATGAAACGCAGCTTACAAAAATTTAATAAATTATCTGAATTATAAGTTCAATAAAACTATCAGGCGTACCAGGCTAATTTGCAGTTTTATTTTTCAATTTTGAGATTTGTTTCTTGTGTAAAAACAATCAGTTTTGTTGTTTGTTGTTTCGTGGAAAACATATTTTCGTTGTGATTACATTATCAATTTTATTAATTAAGAGTAATAAAATAGAAATCAGTTTCATTTTCTTTGTTTTGTATGTTAAGTTTGTAATCTGATCACGTTACTATTATATATTGTGGTATCTTATATCTGTTCTATAATAAGTATCTGTTAGGTTGCTTGCCTTGTAAATAAAATAAATACTAGTGTTCGATGTATTAAAGAGTGATTCACCACAACTACAATCTCTCCAAAATTTGCAAACCATCCTTTTCATTCTATATCTTTTGCGTCCAACGACGTAAATCAAAATTTTTGGGATCTACACGTTTGAAATCTCGTGTGTCCGCCAAGAAACTCTCCGATAAAATTACGACTCGTACCACCCACCGTTTTTAATGGCCAGCAAAATTCAAACTATGAGGGTATAAAAAATATTAAAATCTATTTTACTAAATAAATATGACGACTCTTTGGGAGATTTTTTTTAGAGATTAAAATATGTAGGATAAGGGTCGATTGGGTTTGAATATATACGTTTTTCTTGAATATAAAACTTTGCCTTCAAATAATATTTTGTGTGCTGAATTTTAGATGCAGTTTTCTTTTGTGTGTATTTTTGTAAATTTTGTAAATCAAAGGACCTGATAAATAAAAATAAATTTGGGAAAATGAGACAGTTATTAGTTTTGTGTTGCACGATACTTCAAACGCAATTTTCGAAGCTAATCTTTGAAGAGAAAAAAAACGTTATTTCTACCTGTATCCCGCAGCATTTGAATGTTATATGTGCGAACGTTTTTTTCTATGACGTCTGGATTTTTAAAGATGGAAACGCCGGGTTACCAGTACAATGTCTTCATTCTTTCACCATTCCATGAAATCTTTAGTAAACTCGCATCTAAACATTTGAAATAAAAAAAATCTTGACATCTGCAGATTTTTCATGAAAATTGCCATTTTCCATCCCAATATCCAAAATCCAAACGAAACTTCTTCGGTCGCCTATCTAATCTTTCCAAAGCCACGTTAATGACACCAAATATAACCAAAACCCGTCAATTGATTCGCATTCTCGTAACAGTGGAGTACAGATGAACGATATTTTCTTCCTCTAGCTAGCAAGTGCATCAAAGCGTTGAGAGATGCTTAAGAAATGGACTCTCCTCGTGTTGACTGCGATACTTCACTTACACTGCGTGAGACCGTTGGACAACGGTCTTGGGAGGACTCCACCAATGGGCTGGCTGAGCTGGGAACGATTCCGTTGCAATACCGATTGCAAGAACGACCCTGACAACTGCATAAGGTGAGTCCGATCGCCTTATTGAAATTTCACCTTGTCATTTTACGCCTGCTTGGTCCCTGACTTTTTCGATTAATGCTCATAAACGTTATACGTACGGATCGTATAGAAAATTTTGACCGTTTCGCATTAAGCCGAAACAGTTTTTTTTTTACAGCGAGAATTTGTTTCGGACAATGGCGGACATCGTGGTGAACGAAGGTTACGCGAATCTGGGGTACGAATACATCAACGTCGACGACTGCTGGCTGGAGAAAGAACGAAACACTTATGGTGAACTTGTACCGGACAGGACCAGATTTCCGAGAGGAATGAAAGCTTTGGCGGATTACGTAAGTTGCGTACAACGTGCGCAGACCGATTACGACGACGTAACATTGCACGCAACAGAAGTTAGAAAATATCCGGTATTCTGTTACTACCACTATTTTGACAACTTCTTCGTCGCTTTTTATTGCATACTGCAAAAGGCGCGAGCTCGTAAGGTATTCGAAAAAGTTATCAATTTCCAAATTTTTAGTTAAATTTAAAAAATCATATTCAACCAATTTCAATAAAATGGTATCCACCTTTTTTATATAAATAAGTTCTATCGTAGTTTCTACAGTGTGTATCCGAAAACGTTGCACTAGTTTGCAAGATAAATAGTAATATTGCGACGGGAGTTAATATTTCTTTTGTCCAAAATAAAAGCTGACAGTCACTAGCCATTTATACACTATACGCGCCACTAACAATTTATATTAATCGATTAATATTTGCGCGTTTCGGCTTCTCTTTGCATAGCATGCATGCATAGCAGGAGCCAGATCTGTGGATATTTTTTTTCGCCACTGGTGTTGATGCTTCACCATGCTTTATCCAAGACTTTCTTCATTTAGGATTGTCGTAATAAATCCACTTCTCGTCTCCAGTGACGATCCGGTGCAAAAAAATCCTCTTCTTTTTTCCCACTTTTCCGACAAGAAACGGATCCCAGATCGGAAAAACTGCTGATCTTTTTTCACATTCTAACCAGCGAACTTTTGCTCCGCCAGTCCAAGAGCCATTGAGCTAAACAAATTGTAATCCCTCGCTGCAACATCTAGAAAGTACGGCGGGTGGGGTAGGACGTCCCATTTCATCATTTCAAAGTATGTCATGTCATTTGTCATATTCCGGCCTTTTTTTAATTCATGGCTCAGGCGCATCAACTGTATTCGATAACGTTTCATTTGGTTTGAACAGCTCATAGTAAATCACACCCAGTTGATCACACCCAATGCATAGCAGGCATATTTTTTTTCGCCACTGGTGTTGATGCTTTACCCAAGACTTTTTTCGTTTAGTATTGTCGTAATAAATCCACTTCTCGTTTCCAGTGATGATCCGGTGGAAAAACATCCTTTTCTTTTTTCCCGCTAAAGCGGTAAATCACAAAGCAAAAATCGCTTTTCAATTTAATTTAATTTAATTCATATGGGACCCAATGTTTTCCCACGGTCGAAAGGTCAACTTCTAGTGAAGTTGACAATTCTTTATCAGTCCGACGTGAATCTTCATTAAGCAATTTTTCTAGTTCTTCATCTTCAATTTTTCTGGGCTGTCCCCAGGTCGTTCTCTGTCTTCTAAATGAAAATCACCACTTTTAAAACGTACACATCTACCAAAGTACGACTTTCTGCAGCACCCATTTTCAAATAATAGAGCAAAATTCCCTGCAAAAACATTTTATTGAGCACAAATTCCGACATATTAAAAAAATCACAAATTGTTTATGTTTTGAAAAACATTATGTACAGAAAATGACAGATATGACAAATAATACCTGTTTTCAAGTGAAATTACTCTTGCACGTAAAAAAAAATTCTATACCACTGGCGCCATCTGTTATCAAAACGCTACGAATTAATTCCAACACCGTAATATTTACCGTAAAAATTAGCGGAAAGTTTTATGGAACACAGTGATAGTGATTTTTCGAAATCTGAGAGCGAAATAGAAAAAGTTGGGAATATAATTGTTATTAAGATTTGTATTCGCTTTGCTTCCAACATTCTCACTTTTAATTAATAATTAACTTTGTTTAAAATTCTTTGACTGCCAAAATAATTTTTGCAACCGTTTCGCACCCCCTCAAGCAGAATTTCGAGCTAAGCCAACAAACTAAATATCTCACAACAGGAAGTCCGACCAGTGTTGTAACTCGCATAGAGAGGTTTCCGCAACAATATGATTACGCTAAACCGTCGCCATAGGCGTCCGTCTTTTATCGAGTTTGTTTTTTTCAATCTTTTCAACGCGATTTTTCTGTCAACAAAGTTGAATAACTTTTTTGCTTACGGTGTTTGTTAGTCGAAAATGTCCGCGTATACCGATCAGAAACCGGGCACAATAGGCTTACAATCAATAATAATGGATTACGTAACGTCATTCACGGGTTGGTTCGCAACAAACTTCATTCAAACAACGATTTAGAGCAAAAAAAAAAACACGTTAACAAAACAAAGTCACGCGTCATTTTGCAACGAGAGTTTGCGGCGGAACAATTTTGCAACGCCTAATTTAATTGTGGGAAATCTTTTCGCTACATTATTAGATCGCTTAACTTGTTTTTACATCGCGTAAACGTCATTTCCGTCTGAAAATATTAAATTTATTAAAGAGGGTGAGAATTGAAAAAAATTAATAAATACATAATAAGAAAGCGTGCAGTTATCTCAAAAAAGTAATAATTGAAATGCCGCAGAGAATGGTTTTTAATTGTTTCTCTCTATGTGGACGAGAAAGAGCAACGGACTGAAGGCTCAAGACTGCTTCGACAGAATCAGCACCCGACAATATGTCATCAACATAAACGTTAGTTTTTATAACCTTTGAAACTCGAGGAAATTGATCTTCGTGGTTCCAGAATAGGAGGAGTAGAGAGAATATATCTTGTTGAAGTTTGGATCCTACTAGCAAACAGTCGTTATTAGCCGCCTTTGCTGAAGCGTCAAATATAACGCGAAGTTTAGTAGTTACACTTTCAGGTCAGTCAGTCGTGAGATATATAGTATTGATGATTAGAATGTGGCAAAGGTATAACAAGTTCCATATGACCGGAATCCAAATAATCTTGCATGAATAGGTTATATTCTTTGCGGAGTTCTGGATTATGCAAGAGTCGTCGTTCGAGTGAATAAAACCTACGTAAAGCGATGTCTATTGAATGATCGAATACCGGTAGAGAGGGGAATTTAAACGGGAGATGAAGAATGTATGGACCAGCATTATCTCGAGAGAAAGTTTCAACGAAGATTTTTTCTGCAGCCCGATCTTCAAGGGACTGGGTATTTATTTGAGGAACCTGTTCGCGTTGCCAGAATTTATTAACAACCTCTTCAAGTGAAAGTGTAGGGGTGCAACAAAGGGTATTGTTGGAGAGAGTTGGTGCTGATGTTGGTACTCGACCTGTAATTATCCAACCCAGATGTGTATTAATAGCTACAGGTTCGTTGAGAGAGTGAGAAATCGCAACCAAGGAGCATTAAATTTATCATCGGCAAGGTCTAAGTGGGAAAATTTACTAAAGCAAACATCCGGTAAATCAGAACTGGGCATGTTATCACAAATTTGGGGTATATCTATTCGGGGTTCAGTGGACATAGGAATAAATGTGCAAGTAGCCTCTCGAGACACGTTCGAGGTGGTATTTCCCAAACCTTTTACAAAAAGTGAGGTTTTCGAATCAAGTAAAGCTCAAACCGGTCTGTAGTAACCAAGCGAGTTTAAAACTTTGATTTGAGCGGTAGCTAGATCAACTGAAGAATCTCTACCATCGCTACTAGAGTTAATGTTCGTTAAAGTAACTGTGTTGCTGCATCACAGTTGTAAGGAAAATTACTTGAACTGGTGGAAGGATTATGCGCGTACGTGAGAGGGTGCGCGTGTGTGGGGGGTGCGTGTGTGGGGATGCGTGTGTGTGTGTGGAGGGGTGCGCGTGTGGAGATGCGTGTGTGTCGGGGTGTGCGCGTGTGTGTCGGGATGCGCGTGTGTGTCTAGGTGTGCGTGTGTGGGCGAGTGCGCATGTGTATGGATACAAGTGGGTGTGATACGTGTCTGTGGGGGTGCGCAAATGTTGGGGTGCGCGCGAGTGTGGGGAGTGCGCGTGTGTGTGTTTGTGTCCAAAGTACATATAGAAAAGTGACACACAAAAATATATATAGAATAAAAAGAACGCTAAATAGTAAATGCGCTAAAAAGAAGGCTAATTTTATTTTTTCTTCTTCTTTTTTATTCTGACTTTTTCACATATTGGTTTTAGTCTATTGTAATGGAAAAGGCAAAAGTGAACGTGCAATTTCTGAAAAAAATATAAATTATTTTTCTAAATTTCCCATATAATCGAAACGCACCTTCTTGAAAATATTTTGTAAGATCAGTGAATAGACATATAATTTGATTGTTTCATAAAAATAACACTTAAACTATATAATCTCAAACAATTTTAGAAATGTATTTACATTGAAAGTACTATTGCCACCTAATGATTTCATCACAAATGTCGTCAAAATAAACTAAAAAAGGACGTTTTTTCAGTTTAGAGATTATGTATATATAAGTAAGGCCTCTATAATTTTCTTAACTAATTTAAAAAATATATTGTTTTTCTATTATAAACTTACAGGAGTGAAACAATTTTTGAAATTTACTACTAATTCTACTCCAAAGGTAAAAATTTGCGCATTAAACGCTAGATGGAAACGTGGTGATAAAGACTTCATTTGACTACCAAAATAACAATACATTTAATAAATCTGCTTACTAGCAGCTATTTTTTGTTTTCAATGAACATGCTGGATACCATAATGTCTATAACCGCCAAACAGTAAATAGGATTAGACAATGGCGATTACTTTTCGTGTCCCTCAGGTACATTCCAAAGGTCTCAAGTTCGGCATCTACGAGGATTTCGGCAACTATACGTGCGCTGGATACCCGGGTATCATCGGGTACCTCCAACAGGACGCCGAATTGTTCGCGTCGTGGGACGTGGACTACATCAAGCTGGACAGTTGCTACGCGCATCCCGTCGAAATGGACCAGGGCTACGCGGACTTCGGCTACTATTTGAACCGGACCGGTAGACCGATGATATTTGCGTGCAGTTGGCCCGTTTATCAGATTTATGCAGGTGGGTATTAAATAAGAATTGATTCGGTCAAAATGCGTATATTATGACATGTGGGCGTTGATTGCTTAGTAACGATCCTTGGAAAACCTTCGTTGCGGGTATAATAATCTGCACGGTTACACCGATTCGGTTAATGTATATCAGCCTCGCCTTTGTAAATAGAGACGCACGGTGTACAGGGTGTCTAATCGCTAATCAAATTTATAGACGTTATTTCTAATTAAAAAAAAGTTTCGATAATATACGATGTGTTTAAAGAATAAATACGAATATTTATTTAAATTACAAGATTTTTAGTGTTTTACTTGTTTTTCTTAATTAACTTCTACAGTTTTTAAGACATCGATTTGAAATTTCAAAAGATCTCTGTTTAACATGTGCAACGGGATAATTCGACCCAACTTTGTTTAATATTTGGCTTCTCCGATTGTTTCTAAGAACTTTTTTGTTCATCGATTTTTTTTCTAGAAATGGATATTTGCGAAAATGTGATAAAATAGACTTATTTTGTTCGATTTCTTAAATTTTAACGACATAATCACAGCTTCCAAACAATGGAATTTCAAACCCGTAATTAAAGGATATTTTTTAGAGTTTCGATTAATTTTTCTGTTGGCTTTTCTCATGGATTATTTTTTTACTAATGGTCACACTATTTTGGATCGGAAATAACCTCTCTAAATGTCCACTTTCAGTTTTGACCATGGATCAACTAATATATAAAAATCTGCAATTGATGAAACGCCTGAATATTATGAACGTAGTTCCGGGTCACATTTTTTAATTTCTTAAAAATTGATATTATGATGATCGTAAATGGTTATTCCAGTCGGCAAACAGTAGAAAAACACTGTTGCGTTTTAAATTATTGAAAATTAATTTGCAGTAAAAATCTCAAAATAAAATTTGACATGTCTCGTACGCGTTTAGAATGTGGTGTATATTGTATAAGCTATAGCAGCTTTTCGGGCCCAAGTTTCGTACAAAAATATAATAATAAGAGTTTAAAAAGGCATATCGTTTTTTTTTTCTCTACAAAATTTTCCATTGTCTATCAATCAAAACCAAAATATCTTTTATTTTAATCGATTTTTATCGAAGATTGGGAAACCCATTGAATAATCATAAGTGTGAGGACGTTACAAGATTTAAATTTAATTTATTTATTTCGATATTTTCACACGTCGTTGCAGGAGTAAAGTATTTAGTTAACTGTTGATATTTTAGTGACAAAAAAAGCAAATTTGTTACCGACTTTTTTTAACATCGATTCTAAGTTACAGCCAGCATGAATTCAAAAGTTTGTATGTTGTTTAAAATTCTTTCGGAAATATTTAAAATAAAAATCGTCCACTTCCACCAAATAGGTATTTCTATCTTCCAATATTAGTAAAATAAATGTGATGTTTTCTTATCCAGAATTCTCGGTACACCACACATTTTCGGATTTATGACAAACGTGTACGTAATTTGCTTCTATATGGAATGATATATACCGGGTGTGACAAATTAGTTTCTCCCTATTCCTTTTTTTTATTTCTAGAGAAATCATAGGCACCAAAACAATTTGTATAACATAAGACCTGCAAAAAATAATAATGGAAACCAGTCCGAAACACCAGGTATAAATGGAAACAGCGCCGATATTAAATGAAACAATTATTATACCGACTCTGATACATAAGGCAGTACCAATTAAGTAACCTTGTTTCGTTAAATAATAATCGATTGGGAAACATACACCTATATGGATAAATCGAAACACTGCGTTAATTATCAAATTCTTAAACACGCTTTATTTATTTATAATCCTCGGAATAAGTAAACAGTTTTCGGGAAACAAATTAATATTTAGCTAAATTATGCCGAGAGAATGGCGTTCGAGTTTTGTGAAAAAATTAAATAAATAAATTGTGTAAATTTAGGTATGCAGCCGAATTATTCATCGATAGTCCGGATTTGTAATTTATGGAGGAATTTCGACGACATCCAAGACTCGTGGGCCAGCGTTGAAAGCATCATCGATTATTACGGGAATAATCAAGACGCCATTGTTCCGAACGCTGGTCCGGGACACTGGAACGATCCAGACATGGTGCGTCAAAAATTACAATTTTTATTTCAACACCAAAAAAAAAAACAACAAAACTCCGCTCCGTTTAATCGTCCGAACATTAACGATTTGGTAGAAAGTCCAAGAGACGTACAACAGATGTCTGACTTCTTTGACGCAAGATAAATGACATTTGCAACGTTAATTAATAAATAAAATACCTAAATTTCTTCAGTATTAGCTACTCACTGAACATACGGAATAATAAATTACCTGACCCCTTATTCGCTTCGTTTCTACTGGTCGAGAATCAGCTCTGTCTACCTTATTATTTATATTCGAATATTCGGAGTTTTGGTTCGTTTAATTTCGAATCATTGAAGTTGGAAGTATTTGTGGGATTGAAATCTTTCCGTCTATCCCCGTCCTTTCTGTCTTTTATTACTCTAAACGTTCGATGTACATACTACAGCACTAAAAGGGCAAAGTTAGCATATGAATTTGGGTCACTAAGTAAAGGTCAAATTATGTTTTTCTATCGACCAATTGCAACATCGGTTTCCGCAAAGATTCGCTTTTACAACTAAACAATAAAACTTCAAGAAATAAGAAAGTTATCTAACCGAGTCATATCAACTTTTTCGTTGCAGATGAAAACCATTAAATAAAATACACATTTCCAACTTTGATAAGATTGGATCACTTTCTTTATGAAAAATTAAATACCTCTTCTCGGTAACGTGTAATAATCCCGACGTACACTAGAATTTTTAACAACGAATTTGAAATGGAAAAACAAAAATTTCACCCAGATCACATACTTTTCATCATAGTAGTAGCAGCAGATAAATTCCAGTCCATCGGCATGTCACAGCTAATTCAATCAAGATTACTGAATGTAATCTACCTCCCGTGATGGGTTAGCCCAACTGTTCTTTAAATTCCAGCTTGCTGTTTCGTCGTTTATCTTTCGAGGTTCAATTATTATTATCATTTATAGGTGGGTTGTTCTCTTATAGTAGAAATAATACTTATTACAGTAAACCGAAAAAAGTATTTGAGTAAATTTAAAAGAAACAATACGAAAATGAGAAAATGGTTGTCTATTATCTTATCCTTATCCCTTACCTTAGGATTTCGGGCGTTTATTTTTTGGACAACACTCTGACAGTTTGTGACGTCAGAAGTAAGTTTCTTGACTCACTAACACACAACTAACCAAAACTAACTCAAGTATGTTCAGGGAATGTAGTCGGAAATCGCTTAAAATTTTCAAGCAAAAAATAACAAGTGAACCAAATTGAACTTTTGAAAATGTTTTGTGTATAATAAATAGTACCATATTCTATACCAATATAGAAAAACTAAATTGATCTAAGATATGAACTGTTGTATCTTTCACTTTCCCCGTCGCACGGTGGCATAAGTTTATACATATCCGTGGCCGATAATTGGCGTCGTAAATAGGACACAGACACTTACAATATTTATTTCGTTAATCTTAGAATATGGCCTTGCAGACGTTACGTATCGATATACCGATCGCAAACGGACAACTTTGCTCCTGGGACTGTTACAAGGCAGAACGTTGATCTAATTAATCATACGTATTATAATTAATAATTATTTCGTTAAATAACAACGGATATTATTTTTTGTGTTGCGTAACGTCCCTCTCCGCGCTCGCACACGCAGATTATCACTGCAATGTTATCATTTGGTTGTATAAGCGAAACGAAAGTAAACTTCAAACAGGAAATCGTCGACGATGATGACGGCGGTGCCGCCTTGAATGACTTAATTTGTGTTTTTAAAAGGCACGCTTAAAGTTCGTTTTAGGATTCAGAATGCTTTTTTTTTGCAGGTTATGTATGTTAAGTAAATTGAAAAACGTTCGGAACTTGCTTTAATGCAATTAACATCACATTGATCAATTCCTCGATAAAATTTTTGACAGTAGATTTTGTTTTCAGTGTTGAACGGAAACGCCTTTTTTAAACGCAAATAGTGTCTTCGAGACTGCAAAAATCACAAAACGCGCTTAATCGACCACATGGATCAGTATAAAAATATTAAAACTCGTTTGGGTTTTAGACGCAAATAAGTTTTGAGGGGAGGTCAACATAGTGAAACATAACTATTAAAAATCGATATAACCTAACTTTTTAATATAATTTTATTTAATGCATGGCGAACACTTAAAGAAAAAGTATTTAGCATACACAATTTTTTTTTCACGCGTGATCTTTTGCGTCATGATTAAATCAGCCGCATTACCCTCCCAGACCGCTATTATTATTTTTTCATTCAATTCAAATTCTAAACGCTCTGTATAACTAACGATTATTTCCATCGTGACAATAACAATTCATTGTTTGCAATAGCTACTTTCGCTCTTAATTGCTTGTATTAATATTCATTATATGGGGCCCTCAATTGTACTTCAGATATGGGATGGCCGGATGGCGTTAGAACTTTCTTTTCACCGCGATTTAACGAATTAGAAGAATGACGTGTAAACCATATCTGACGGTATTGGTCGTAATTGAACCAATCGATCAAATACACGAGAATTTATCGTTCATGGCGCACAAAGGCGAATTTGATCAAAATGTTGGCCAATATTATTTATCTTAAAAAAATATTTAAAAATGATGAATAATGAATTTTTTTAAGAAAAGTATAAATTTTAATGATAATACAGTACTTTACACTATTATTACGCTATACGTAAAAATATACAGTGCGATCGAAAAGTCGTACCTAAATTAAATACTGATTAATAATTTTTTTTAGAATGTGGTTAGAATATTTTCAATTTAGTTTCTTACTGGTTCACATTTTTACGTAATTCATTTATTTTTCAGTGACAGTTATTAAAACTTATTTTAACAACACCAACAATGTGTTTTATGGAAGAAAAACATAAAACGGTTCTAATTTTAACCTTGAATTATGATAATGTATATGTAATTACAAAAACAATATTACAAAAAGATAATCATAAATATTTTAGAGAAAAGGGGTAAAAACGAAGATGAGATATTAATATTTGAGTACTTTGAGTATTAAGAATTTCGCAAGTATAATCTTATTATTTAGGGCAATAAACAAACAGAACTTTTTATGACAAGTCTTTTTATGGATTATTGAGATTTGTACAGTTGCGTCTATGAAAATCTAATACAAAAACACATCTCATAATTCCTGGTCTATTATAAAAAAAAATCTGATTAGATACCTAATAATTTTCTGTGTCACAAATTTTGAAAATGACACAGGGCAAACACTGGTTTTAGACTGTCATGTACGCTCAATTACAGAAACCCTTAATTATCTCGAAAACTGCCAATATGTTTCGGGACTTTTACGCGTCAAAAGCGGTGTTGCAAAGTTTAATAATAAAAACAAAATTTTAAAATTACGTGACCTTACTAAATTGGAAATGCGCAATTCATGCAACAATAATGGCATTAAAATAAAAAATGATGATGTGTAACGTAAAAGCTGTAAATCTGGCAATATTGCCATTGGCATTTTTGAATTTTGCATGTTCAAAAACCCTGCAATAGTAAATTTTACCAAAATTACTATCTTACTACTTCTTAAAAAATAGATACCCATTAAGATCGCAAATTATCGCATAAATAAGAAAATATGGCTTTTTAAGGACATATTAAGCAGAGTTCTATGCTAATTTGAAGATGGGGAAACGCCGGGAAATGTAATTTTTGTCCAAAGAAAACGAAACATCTATGTACTTTTGAGAAGTGACGCCACTGTGACATTAAAACAATTCATAGATGATAATAATTGTATAGATAACAATAATTACATGCTTGTACTTACCACGCGCAACAGGCTCCATACTATAATTTTTTTATTTTTCAATCACCAACTTTCCGAAAAAATGGTTAAATACACACTGATGCACTCTGATCAAATGAATACAAATTAATAAACTTTCAAGTTTCAATAACAATATGGCGCGAATCAAGACAAAAGTTTGTTTACTTATAATAGCCAGGTAACTAGATTACTGAAATGTAATGGATTTCGCTCAAGATTTTTAAGTTGGATTTTCTGACTTCTGGCCAGCTTTTGAGGAAAATTCGCCTGTGTGTGGCGTCCGGAATTTGAGAGTGCATATTTTAAGGGAGACATTCTGGTAATTTTCGGAGCTTCGGATTTTTTTCTCACGTGACCACAGATTGAACAGAGAAATCTGAATTAAACTAATCGTCAACGGTGTTTTAAAGTACACAAATTTGCAAAATTAACGAAAATTATCTCCATCCGAGCGCCGATGAATATTTTTTGAAATACCCTGTATATTAACCTCATAGGGTTACAGGGTGTTAAAAATTTCAATGAAAGAATTGTTAACATATCTCCGAAATATTTTTATGAAACTACTTAGACGCCATGCGAGCTTCGAAAAGCATTTTCTCATTTTAAATAGTTTTTTTTATTTTTTCAAAAATAGCCACGCGGTCACTTTTAATCATCACAAATTTATTACTTATTTTTCTTGGAATATTAACAGTATACGGACGGCCCGTGTGAGTATCACACGTATGAACGTTAATATACTAATAGCGACGCGCTAAATTAAATCCGAACATATTGTAAAAATAGTAATCGTAACACCTCTCTGGCCAAAAACAATGGTTATGAAAATTTTTATGCTAATTAGGTTTTAAACGATTGTCCAATTGTGTAATGTCTGATTGTTTCTGTTGATATGCTAAAACGCATTACTCTCGAACAATATGTAATTGTTAAATAAATGAGGAATTTTACCAGAAAAAATCCAACACCTGTATTTAAAAGAGGAAATCTAATTCGATGTTTATATTTAAATAAATAATAACATTTAGGTAATTAAAATCGAGAAATCTCATTTATGCATAATATTTCAGCTAATTATAGGCAATTTCGGTCTGAGCTACGAACAAAGCAAAACACAAATGGCGATCTGGGCCATACTAGCGGCCCCTCTGTTAATGTCCGTTGACTTGAGAACGATAAGGCCGGAATACAAGGCCATACTGCAGAACAAAAAAATTATCGCAGTGGATCAGGATCCTCTAGGCATACAAGGCCGAAGGATATACAAGGTGTGTAACGCGACGAAAAGTAAAAAAAAGTCGTTTGCTTATCTTATCGTAATTTTTTAGCACAAAGGAATCGAAATATGGTCGAGACCTCTGACTCCCCTGTTCCAAAATTATTTCTCTTACGCGGTGGCCTTCGTGAACAGGAGAACGGACGGCACACCGTCGGACGTCGCGGTGACGCTTAAAGAACTGGGACTCACTTCACCCACGGGATATAGAGTTGAAGTAAGAAATGAAAAACAACGGAAAAAACTTTTTCAACGTTTCTCGACTCAAAGGAATCTTTAAGTTTTACAAACTCTCTTCTACTTTTAGGATCTGTACGAGGATGTAGATTACGGAATATTGTCACCCCAAACAAAAATAAAAGTTAAAGTGAATCCGTCTGGTAAGTACTCCAATCAGAGCGGTTGTGTAATTACGTCACGTATAGTGACGTAATCAAACAAAATTCATGTGTAAATTTAGGACATCCACTAACGAACTAGATACTATGACATAACTGCACAGTTACTCTGAGTGGACTGGAAAGGTGGTAATCTTTTGCGGTGAAGTTTCAAAAAACACCTTAAAGTATAATGCGTATATTTAATTTTCGGATTCAATGTACACAAAACGATGCTTATTCTATCTAGTTTAAATATTATAATAATCGTTTTTACTCGGAAAATTACGAAGTTATCACCTTACTTAGAAAATATCATTTTTAAAAATAACCACCAGTATTTTAAAATTATGGATGTCAGATAATAAAAAGCTAAATGGGCCGAGACAATATACAATAAAATTACTGCAGAAACTAGGCAAAATCCGCATCGATGAATTGATAACAAAAAGTGGTCGTTTAAACTACCTTAAGTTCTTAAGTCCGCTTTCGCTGCATCATCATTTCTAAAATGTCAATGCAAATCACTTTTAAATAACCTAGATAATGCATAATATTATACCCCCTGCAACAAATTATTTGATAATTCGCCAAAGAGCTGGCAATAATACCACAGCATGATAAATTCGACAAGCATGGCCACCTTCGACCATGGATAAGATTTAGGTTAAAGATAATAGCGGCCTCTAGTTTTCCCCATTTTAAATGGTTGTAATATAACCGATCATACCCATTAATTGTATTATAGTGATAAAGAAAATTGTTCTAATTTCATTTGTAATTTGGGCATATTGTCAACTAACCAAAAATTGACAATACCATTTTTGTCGTTTTGTTATAGACACAAAAACAGGTACTAATCATTTTGTTTACTTTTTTGTTGTGGTCATGTCAATAATTTCTGGGCTGCGAATAGGTTTTTGGTCATTATTTTATCATCCCATTATTTTTTAGGGGTTGTAATTCTTAGAGCGGACGTCCAACCGGATTTCGACAGACGCTTGTCATACTACAGTACCACCCAAAAGACCGTCTTTGATCCATTGAACCAAATTTTTAGAGTGAGAAACAATAATGAATTCTAACAGAACGCGGCCAAATTAAATAAATTATTTTGTAATTTAGGTCAGTTTTTGTATAGTTGGTTTTTTAATAAATAAAAAATAATTCTTATTTGTAAGTTATTTATTTTCAATCTATAGTGTACTGGAAGGTTTTGTTCTTTAGAACTATAGTTACAGAGAGGCCTCTTAAGTTTTTTTTCAGCCTGGAACATGTTATGGAACCTTCAATGGATTCACCTGAAGTTTGAAAAATTACACCTAGCAGTTGAAAAAATATTTGGCAATTTACCTTCTTGCACCTCAATGGTATCTTTCAAATAAAAAACGGTTTGCTGCCAATGAGTTTTTGGTGCATGGGGTCCTGTTGAAAACCCAACCTTGTTGGTCAGCTCGAAGAAAGTGTCAAAGTAACCAGCTACGGCCGTTAAAATTCCAGCCTTCATAGATTTAAATACAAAATTGTTGCTAAAGTTACAGGTATCAGTGCCACAAGTGTTTAAATCTATGTCTGTTACTACAATGGAATCCGTTATAACCTTGTCCTGGGCTACAGTCTCGATGACAGCCTCTTGTACAACCTCCGATTTCATGCACTTCATCGAGAAACCATACACATCATCCCAAAAATTTATTAAGTTATCATAACGCTCTACAAAAAAAAAAAACAGTGTGATGTGCAATTATTTCTAACGATAGTTACCAATGTCTGATACTCCACACAAACTAATTGTACATCGGCTGGGTAGAATTAGACCACCAGGTTTTAGATATTTATCTCGAGCAAAAATAAAACTGTCCAACATTCCCTCAAAAAGCAGAAAATATCCCATCCATTCTGAAACTACTATATCAACCATTTCAATGGGCAAATTGGTCTTCTCCAACTGCCCTTTAATTAAGTGAACCCTGTCTGCCAAGTTGTTTTCTCTTAAATTGAGGGAAATACATAGACAAAAGCAGAACACAAACGTACCACTGGATATACCTCACTATGTCCATAGCTTTGTAAACTACTTCTGACTGGTCGACTCCGTATATTTTTTGAGCACCGGCTTTTGCAGAAAACATTGCCAAAATTCCAGTTCCGCAACCGACATCCAAAACAATTTTACCGCGAAATTGGTCCGAATTAGTTAGTATTGCATCCCTGTAACTCTCTGTTCTCACTTTGTCCTAAAACAGCACTATAAATTAAACACAATTGAAGTTTATACATCAGAGATCATACATTTAACATGTCATGGTGTATTCCAAAATGAGAATAGGAATTAAAATAATCATAACTATCACAGCCGGAATTTGAGACATTTATTTGACCCTCCTTGGTTAATTTCTCACCAGTTTCCACTATGGTTCTTGTAACCTGCTTCATTTTCTCCATATCTCTTATGTAACTATCAATCAGCATATCTCTTTGTTTTAACTAAAATACCACAGCAATTGAAAATGAAAACATTTTTTTTGAAATTACACCTGAAGATTTAAGCTATGAATATGTCTTTGCAACTCAGCAAAATTTAGATTGCTGATTGGAGCTTTACCGTCAACAGCATAATGTGGAGTAGATGGGGCACTACCTAAATCTTCAAAATCTAGAAAAATCCATGAAAGACTTTCCTACCATATCTTGATATTGTGCATAAAAAAAGACGACCTACCATACATTAACCAAGGTTCCATTTCACCAGGCTTCAAATAACAATCATCTTCCCACAAGGCAACAGGTGCTTCCAATAGAAGTTTAGGATGTGGCTTTTGCAGTCGTATGTAATTGATCATTTTTATGTAGGAATAACAGTCCATGCTGTATTTATTCTTTAAAGTGAGCAAATCAAAATCATGCTCCTTTCGACAATGGTCTAAAGCCACAGCAATTGTATGAAACTGCAAAGGACAAAACAAACAGGATGTTTGTTCACCACTTACTTCCATTTCATCCCAGTCATCAGAGTCATCATCTTCGCTCTTGGCGACCCCTGAAAATACCCTAGACCCAGAGGGTACAGCTACAAAACGATGAAAACTCAAATAATTTACTTTTAAAATTGCAGAAAGAACTGTAGTTTTTACCTTCCATAATTATAAACACACGTGCTTGAGTAAATAAATTATTTTCAAACAAATTTCAAAAACATTTGCTAGATAAACTTGAGAAAAGCGGAATTATCTAAAAATATGGGATGGAGGAATATTGATCAAATTCAATCAGGTGTTGCAATTATCATTTGACAAATTACAGAATTTTCAGTATATCGGGTTAACCGTTACCTCTTCTTCGTTTCAATATGTCGTTTTACATAATCATCGGGCGAGTGTCCAGTGGTAGTTTCTTTTCGACGGTCAAACATATTTTAGTCAAATTGTCTCTAAAGTTCTTTCAAATTTGGGCAATTAATAATTAAATTTGGAAAAAATTATTGTGATTCCATGTACATATTAGCTAACAGAAATGAGTGAGTCAGCGTTGCAAAATTCCTTAATGCCTTTTGTTTACTTTTTTAATGGAAAGTCGCGAGAAGTTCGGAATGAAGCAAACAGAGAAACATGCCAAATTCTCGTCTGTGCCTGTACCCAATGGCGCAAGTGCTCCACTTGTCACAATCCTTGGCGAATGTTCCTAGCGTAGATGGTAGATTTACCACAAGCATGCGCATTGTGGAGGCGATTAGCCTGCCTGTAATGCATTGTTGTTGAGAATTGGTATTGCCTGTGTATTTTGTCGGATTAAATTCATTTTCCACGGAGAGTGTTAACGAAATTAATATGGATGATTTGTAATGAATGTCGCTGATTCCGTTCCATCCCCGATTGACAACATGCTAGCTTGGCGGAATTAACTATACGGACTATTACGATAGTAGTGCAAGTGTATGTACATTTCGTCATGGAGTGGTGATATGACTGTCTAAAAGTTTTTGTTGATCGAATTTTGGATACCCGAGGAACATCCGATCCCGAAATTGGTAGACCAGGATGTCTACAAGCAGGCATATTCCGGCGGATAAGGTAAAATCGGCGGAGATTTGTAAAATAACCGCACCCTTTTTCTCTATTATGGTTCAAGACATAAGGCGACCTAGATTTTCACCCCTGGGAAACTCTCCCTTGACGTTTCCATTTTGAGGATGTTGTTTTCGAGCATTATTTTTCGCAAAACTTTTTGCCTTGTTTAGCATATTACCCATTTAAAAATCGTATTGTCTCGATGTTTTAAATTGAAAGTGAGTCACAACACAACTAAATGCAATTTTTACTTTTAACGACAAAAACACCTGCTGAAATTTATTTCGATGCAATTTTTACTTTTTAAACAAATATTTTTTGCCTTCTCTCCGAGTTCTGCTCATATAACGTTTTGTCAATAGAACGGGTGACACATATTTTATTTGGGTTTTCTCTTATTCTAAATTCGCGATTTAAACAAAACTGCGTACTCTAGGTAATACCTTGGTTACCTTCGACTTCTGTGATTCATGTTTTCGTCGTGGCCAATTAAAAAAAAAACAAATGAAAATCGAAAACCGCGAAAGTTACCATTTTATTAGTTCTGGCTACTGGTTGTTTAACGGTAAAAATTAAAATTAGATCAAAAACCACGGGGTACCGAAAATGTTCATCTTAAATTTGTGCCTACCTAAGTTTGGATAAAGATTTCGATGAAAGGATCTTTCTCAGATTGGCAAACGAATTTTAGGCAGAGGTCGTCACAAATCGTATGTCCTTGTCCTTGTTATTTATTTTAAGAGTTTTAACTTTTCCTATAAGTATTTATTAATTTTTTTGCAACTTTTTTAAATTAGATAAACAATTATTGTAAATTCTAATGCCAATGACAGAACTATTTTTTGTCAAGTTGTAATGTGATTTATTTGTTTGTTATTTAAAGAATGTCGATTTGTATTGTTTGCTCAACATGCTGGGGAAGTAGGTACAAAACGGATCGAAATATACTATTTTTAGCTTGTCGAGTTTGTGTCATGATTTGGATCGATTTTTATTATTGTTATGTAAAGAATCATTTAAAATTGCTATAGTCGCGGAAATGATGTTTAAAAATCGGCAAATAACCACCATTACTATTAGGAGTTTGTTACGGAAGAAAATGCTTTGGTAGGCAATTAATCAAAGTCGAAAAAAAAATATATATAAAAAAATCCGAAAAGAATTTTTAGTATTCAATTTTCTTAAGTTTCCAGTCTTTATCGAGCGGACAGATAAAATAGTTGTACAACTCTAACAAATCGAAATGGTGGAAATGAAAGTGTCGACTATGAATCATCTTCCACCTTCTCGTAACGCTTTAATCTTGTTAAGGAAAATTATGTCCGACCCTCATATTACGAATATTATCTAATATGTGCAGAACAAAACTTAAGTTTGGTTTTCAAAGGCGAAAAACTTGTCAATATTTATAGAAAATAACAGCGTTAGCCTGTGCCTAATATAAGGAAAAGTGAAACACGAAATATGAAAGTTCGGATACCGTTTTTAACGGCGTCAGCTGTTTCGTAACGGGCGATGCGTGACACGCGATGAAAATGTCTTTTTCTGTGACGCAAATTCTCCCTCTTCATTGAAATATTTATTTAAATGAGTATTTTCCCTATACCTACAAAATAATATTAGACCAACTTTCAGCACAATAAACCCACGATAATTATAGAAATCACTTTCTTTTATAATTCCAATAACAATAGTAAATGATTTTAACATTAATGATTTACAAAAACGCGTCAACAAGTGATACGTATAAACGTGTGTCACCCATCGTAATAGTTGCCTTCATTTTATAAATAAATTATTGATGGAATGGAAAAAATATTTGAAGAATTGGCGCGATAGCAAAAAAATGCAATTAAGTGGAAGTCCAGTTGGAATGTATACAGAAACTTGTTTCGGTCGAACAAAGAAAAGAAGACTCGTGAACTATGCAACAAGAAAGAACATCTGTTATAGACCTAAAAGTAAAATTTATTCTTATTAGAATAAAGTTGGCAAGAAAAAAGAAGCAGATAATTTCAACTAATTTATACTAGAACAGTGTTTGGTGTGTTATTTTTATGAAAAACCAGTGAATTTAAATTAAACTGTTTTTTCAAATTCTTTGAGTTCGTTCCGTTTTAAAATTAAATATACTTGTATAGTAGATTAGAAAATTTTAGGTGGCGTAAATTATATGTGGAAAGCCGTTTTTAAGAAATAAGCGAAATTTTGGCATCGTTGTAATAAGTGGAGCTTTGCCAATGCCGCAAACGTTACAGCGTTGTTGCCAATCATCGCAGAGTTTAAGAAATTCGAACTAAGTCAATTAATAACTAAATAAAATTCTGGCAATTTTGAGCAAATATTTTGTTTTGGATTTTCCCTGTAATGTCGTTTTGATTGACACGAAATAATTAATTACCAATAAATATGTTTTGTTTTTTAAGTTAGTTAATTTTATTATTATTATAATAATTTATTTGATTTGATTATTGGTTAAATTTTATGGTTTCAGATTAATCTGCGACTGATACTAGTCAGCGGAAAGACAAAAGAGTTCCTCTTCAGTCCAAGCGACTCCGCTGGGGACATCGCTCAACATGTATTCGACAATTGGCCAGACGGTACGGTGCAATTTTTAAGTTTAGAACTAGCGGATTTCATTGGTAGCGATTTTTTTCAGACTGGCTTCAGGAAGCGGTTTCAAAGGCGGAGATACTTAGACTTATTTATCAAGGCCGATTCTTACACAGCAATGTGACTTTGGGGGCGCTCGGACTACCGTTCGGGAAGACGACAGTGATGCACTTGGTGCCCAGGGAAAATCTTCCCGAACCCAATTCTCAAGGTAGGTGATTTCAGTCATGAGTAGTAGGTGAAAGAATGCGAATTTTAATCAAAAATGTCCCCTCTAAAGAGAGTCTCTTAATTCTTTCGCCTTTAATATGGGACCATATTTAGTCCATTACAAATGAGTGGGGAATTTTTTATAACATTCTAGAAGTTTTTTAGAATCTACAAAAAATATCACAATAGTAAAAATATTTAGAATTTATTGGGTGATTGAAATTGATTTGCAGGTCGATTTCGCATGACAAAAATGATTTTATTTTTCAGACCAGAGGCAAAAGAGCAAAGGGGGGAACAGTAGTTGTTGTTCGGCGTCCTGCTGCATTTTGTAATTCGCACCCGCCCCCGTTCACAACCACTTCGCTACCGACATAATATTTTAACTAAAAAGAATTTTATATAGACTCGAAATACATCATTAGAGAAATCTTAAGTGTGGGAATGAGCGTTCTAGGTGTCTGTCGTTTTAATTATTTTAACTTATAGAATTTTTGTCCTGTGCGAGAAACTTGCAAGCTTGGAGTTGTCATGTAAAACTGCCCGTCGAAAGTTCGAACGTTTGTAGGTATGTATGTTTGTGTGCGTGTAGAGATGCCAGTGAGCGAGACTTGCAAGTTTGAAGTTGTGATATACCGGTGTAGAGAGAGCAGCGCATCGTTACTCATTGTGCCAGATTGTGTATGCGTGATAGAGTTGTTCTCAAGATATATAGTTTTTTTTTTTCGTTAATTTTTATTGTATATTTACGCGAAGGTTATGTATATTGTTTTATATATTTAGGAAATATCTCGCCCGCGCATTGTTCGTCGCCCGCCCGCACAGTCCTGCCCCACACGCCCCGCCATCCCCCACCCAAATAAAATGAAACTTGTGTAAATTATAGCCTAACGTAAGTTAACCTTAAAATTTTAAAAAAATATGTCACTCTGTGTATTATACTAGGTGGTAATTGAAATATTAATGTACTGAAACAAATGTTTTTTCGTCTAGCAAATATTTTAGTGTCGTTACATACCGTTCGGTTGGCGATTGCAAGTAGGCGGTTTTTTATTCTTTTGTTTTTCACGTCAGCCTTATCGACAAACTTTTAAAACGCTGACACCACCCAAATCTTCCTATAAGACTTTAAGGTTTAAAATTAGATAGCGAACATGTGGGAATATTCGAAGTAGATCACTGGAAATTGAATTCTGGATTATGTTTAAATTAAATATTCAATAGTAATTACTTATTGTACCACGTGGGCTGACGTAGTATCTATGCGTTCAGTATTGTCGGTTATGTTCTTGTACACACGCGTTGAGAAATTATTTTTGTATTATTTTGTAGAATATAGTATAGCAATATTATTCAGGTGGTGTCTATAATGTATATATATTATATCACTGTTTATCTACCTAGCTTAAGCATAGCAAAAGAATTTAAGCGAAGCAACTGACATGCGCAGATTTTTAAAGTTATCTGAAAAGAAAAAAGATTGTTTATTGAGAAAACTTACGATTCAATTGATATATACGTTTTCGTCCGGTTTTATGATATTAGGCGCGGGTCGATTAAATTACGGAAAATTTTTATATTGTAGACTAATGATTTATCCGACCCTGGTAAATGGAAATGCCCTTTCAGTCGGCAAAATTAGTAAAGTTACGTTTGATGTTCGATAATTTCGTTGGGCTAAACGTCATATCAATTCTGTTTCGTTTTCTTCATTTTCCTAGTGCAAAATCTTAAAATTTCAATCCGCATCGGCGACATGATATCCCTGACGATGGTTAGCAGGAAACTTTGTCAATACCAAAGACGTACGTTAAAACCGCAGTGTACACCATCAGCTAGCAGGTTGGCCAACCCCCGTTTGATTATTGTTTGTTTAAAATTACTGAATAGAAATAAACCCAAATTTAGAAGAAACCAGTAACTTTTGGCGTCCGTTATCCTTTTTCAACCCGGGAAATTTGTGTTTTGAGTAACACAGTGATTTTTTCTGTTTAGTTATGTATGACTTAAATATGTGGCCGCCCTGCGATTCTGGCAATCAACTTGAATTTGAGAATCGTTAAACAGTTAAAGTGTTTATCTAATATTTAGGTTGTGGGGTTCTCGATGCCGTTATACTTCCTCCTTATAACTAATCCCTGCAGTCACTGGTTCTTCTGTTGATATTTGTGATACTTGGATTGGAGATATGACGTCAATGTTTAGTTGGTCAGTTTGACTTCCCTCGGCATTCTATCCTAATCTTAACCCTTCGAGCAACGATACTCATAGAACAAAGTCACGTTATTGATGCAAACGCGTTATTTTACCGAATAAAACTTTAGAAATATAGAGGGTGTTCGTGCATCGTCCTGGACTCTTTGATGTGTTCGACATCGAACGCACCCTGTATATTGAAGCTTTTATTTCTCAAACTATAACCGCTAGTCTTTAATTAAAAATCCACCGCTCCCGAGTAGTGGGAAGACTAAGAAATAAGTATGTGTCAACGTTAGGTTTAAATATGAATGTAAATATAAAAAACCCAACATGCTCGATTTTACTGTACTGATTTTTTTTGTTTTATATTGTTCAATCATAATGTTCAAATTGAATATTACGTAGAATAAAGTTATTTAAAATTTTTCGGTGTTTTTTTTTTTGATGTTGTTGGTGTACGAATAAAAGGGTTCATTTTAAAGAAATATTTTACTATAACAACCTACAAAACTTTGTATTACAATAATATAACAATCGTATAATAGAATTTCGGAAGATACAATAATGGTTTGGTGTGTAATAAATAATACAATAAAACTGTGTAGTGAACATTGACGTGATACTACAATCTCGACGTTGATAGTTTACAGTAGAACAGTAAACAACCCATTTGGGATCGATTTCCTATGTCTAGCTAATATAATAATAATATATTGCGTCAACTGGGATGTTTAATATTTAGATCTAACTGACCAAAACTGATGAAAGCAACCAAACGATTTTTTCGTTATTTTCAGACAAAAACAATGCGGCCTTTCAAAGACACGGAGTGATCTCAAAAATCGTTTTTTTTGTTACTATTTCAAACCGAGTTTGTTCAAATTGGATGGTGGTGTTGGCGGTATTAATATAGACTAATCCAGCTCCAGCTAGATTAAAATTATTAATTTAATATTAAATATATTTTATACAAAAAATGTTCGAGCGTAGTATCGATCGGCAGACAAGAAACTTGTATTTTTGGTTACACCCTGTATCTTGAAAAACAGATCTGTTTGTACGCACTTTTTGCCTTAAAGTAAATCAAAAACGCACGCTTAGCTTCTTAAGAAACACCATACATGTCAGATGTGAATTAAAATTTTCTGTTCTGCTGAGCCAAATTAACTGGAAAGGGTTAAAAGTATTCTGTGGTTGAGGAAGCTCGAAAGTTAAATAATATTCGGTATGTTGTGAACTTGAATCAGTAAAGTTTATTTACGGGCACAAATTTATTACTGCAGTCTTTGTTATTAGGTAGGGCATATGTCTACTACATGTTGCAAAAATAAGCAAACTTAACCAAGTCTTCCCAAAGTCCCAAAGAAAATTTGTAGTCAATTTTTCTTTTTACAACATCTGCAGCCTCAAACCTCGTAGTTCAGTTAAGTTTAATTTTTACTTCTTAAAGCTTGTTGCAATGTTTTGCCGTGACGTCACCAAGGCGAAATCATAAAAATATTTAATATATAGTAATATATACTATGCCTTTAGCTAAAGATTTTCTTGAATGCTGAAAACAGAGAACATGAATAACGATTATACTGGGTGTTCCGACATGAATGCACCATATATTTATGGCAAATTCTTCGTCGAAAATAAGCCCTGTTTGCTCTATAAACGTACACCCCCAAAACGCTTTCTTTCAGGGTGTTGAATTTCTCAAAAAAGTATTTTTTTAGTAAACTTCTTTCAAACAGTTATATAAAGCATATATATAAAATTGTGTGTGTATAGAATATGCCTTACAAATTTGGTGCATTCGTTTCGGAACACCCTGTATATATTATATTATTAATAAATATTGAAGCTTAATGAATAACTTGAAACAGAATAAAGAGGATTTGTAAAATTATGCCTCCCTGATGGAAAAATGAAAAAATGATCGGTTTGTCTTTGGTCGGCCCCAACGAAGCGGCCAAAATTTCGCAAAATGTGGCCGCGCGTTAACGTCCGACTGATGACGTCACAAAATGTCTTCGGCGGCGATTCTGCGTTCACTTTATCGAGGCCAGCGTTTTGGCGATGTGTCTCAAAGTATTCTGGGGCACCGCCTCATGCAACGCCCTCTGAAAACCCGGACAACCGACCAGACAGCCAAGCAAAGTTTTCCCGTGACGTCGGGTTTCCAAATTGCCGTCGGCCAACGAGTTGGCAGCGGCCAACAGCACCCTGTCCCGCAACTCCTTGGGCATTTGGAGCGTCTTTTCGGGTCCGACCCTCTGAACTATACCGGCCAATAGCCGAATCGATGCGGCACGGACCACAGCGTTCTGGTGCGTGCAACCACGACCGGTCAGCACAGTGATAGCACGGTTGACGGGGAGATGCTCGCACATGACGTCAAGAGCCGAGTTCGCGTCCGCCCGGAGGAATTTGTTTGTGTCCGCGGTGCGTTGGAGTAGTGGTCCTGCGATTTCGTCCAGTTCCTGATAAAGACGAATTTAAATAAACAAAAAATGTTGGGTCTCAGCAAGGATCATACTAACATTCACAAAATATCAAATTTTTGAATTAAAGCCAGCTAGTAGGGAGAATTTGCGCTCTGCAAATATTGAGGAAAAATAATGTTTTTGAATTTTTTTTGAATGCGAAAAATATTGTATTATATATAATATATTGTATAACGGACAAATTGGAGAGCATCTAAAACTATTTGACACATTACCCGAGTGTCAGTCATGGTTCCGATCAGGCTATAGCTGTACCACAGCCTTATTGAATATTAAAGATGATATTATTGAATCAGTTGACAAACGTCAGGCTACAGTATTAGTTTTACTAGACTTCAGTATAGAGTTTGATAGGCTGAATCACAAACTATTATTATCATTTCTTCATTATATAGGGTTTAATACAGAAGCCATATCAGAAAATTATCTCTGGACAGCATTGAGAACTGGTGGCGTCCCACAGCGTTTAATATTGGGACCACTTCTATTCGTTCGTATGCGTTCATCTTTACGCTGACGACACACAACTTTGTACATCCTTTGATCCACTAGATGCACATGATGTACAAGAAAAAAATAATGAACACTTAAACCGTATAGTGTCGGAATTTAGGTTTTGTGCTCTGCTTTACCGTTTCATAGTATAATTATTTGAGGGCGCACTTGGTGACTCACTTACAGAATTTGGTTGCAGAACCGATGTATATTAAGTTTAAAGCATCGTGGATATATATCGCAGCAATAAAACTGTTTTCTATGAGAGATCTTTTTCGTTCGGCTTTATAATAGTATCCCGGAAGAGTATAAAACCTTATCAGTGGTTGCATCGAAGAGACGATATAAACAATTTCTGTTCAACAAGTACACTTTGATTACTATTAAACCAAATTATTATTGCGACTCAGATATTATCTTAGCGACTTTTCGAGTGTGGTTACTTTTCGCTACAGTTGTTATTAATACCGTTCCCGTTAGCCGACAGGTTGAACCAGAATCTTTTTTAATTTGACTTTCAGTATAACTTATTGTCCTAAACCGTATTTTGGCAAATAAACGTACTATTATTATTATATTATTATTATTATATTTCTATAGTTATTGGTTTGCAAATAATCAATATACGAACAGTATTCCATGAAGCGTGTAATTGTGTCCCACCTGAGGTGGAGGATAGCACATTTGGCGACACAATTTTGAGTTTGTCATGCAGAATTGTGGACAGCTTTTACTATGTAAGTAGGTAGGTAATGTGGTATACCACATAAGCATCGCATTAACTTGTGAAAAAAATGGACAAACGTAGATATTATATATACATGTGGCATAAATGGGTACGATCTTTTCGGATATATCCTAGATTCTGAAGATGTCACAGATACGTTTAGGAGAGAGTCAACCAGAGTATTTTTCACCGATTCAGAATTCTACATTTGAGAGACGCACATTTAGGAATATCAAACCAGAAAATGGAGAAACCCTTAACACCTACCTGGATATTTTTCCTAAAAGTCCGGCAGCAAACTGCAGGATGTGCATTTGGTCTGACAAACGAAGAAGCTGTGAAAATTAACATCAAGGAGAAGTTAATTGATGATTGGGCCCCACTAGAGTTAAAAATGAAATTGTTGGAAAAGGAATGTTCACTTATGGAGGTCTCATGGAGATCTGAGAGTCCGAATCATGATTCAAATGTCCAGCCAAATTCCATAAATGTTTTAAATCTGATCGTATGGGACATTTCGCCAATAAATGTCATACCAAGTCACGTAAACGTCGGCGCCAAACACAAGCACACAATAAATACAAGAGAGGACGGTTCTGCTCATTATCAATTATGTTGACAATCAAAAACCACCGGGTGAATTAAATGATGGAGAAGGATCCGGAAAGTAATGGGAATGCTTAATCATATTAAGGGGACAGAACGAGATGAGCTCATGGAGTGCTCTGTTGGTGAGGTTCCCATAACCTTATTGATTGACTCTGGATCAAAAGCTAATACCATTAATGGATCTGACTGGAACCATTTACAGTCTAATAGGAATGTTGTATGGAACAAACATTGGATGAAACACTTCGGTAGAAGGTCATAGTTCATCGATATAACATTCAAAGCGGACGGAGGCATAAGAATATGTGTAGATATACAATGCTAAATATTTTTTCCGCCTTCATTTGGAGTGGAGCTATTTTCAGAATATTCTAGCTAAATTCCATAACATTAACTACATGCATGATATTATGCTACTGAAGCAGAACATGATGAATGCTTAAAAGTACTGGATACCTTTCAACGGACCAATGTGCAGCTGAATGAAAATAAACGTAAGAGAAAAGTCCAACAATTCAATTTCGTAGGATATCATTTATTAGAAAAGGGATAGAAAAGTCTATACTAGAATTTCGACGGCTCAAAGAACGAGAAGTCAAATTTCTTTGGACACCGGAACATTAGCGGAACTTCGACTTGCTGAAACAAGCGATGATCAAACCTCCAACAGTGAGTTACTTCGCCCCTTCTAGGTGAACACACTTGGTGCCGTTCTTATCATGTTTGACCAGGAATGGCCGTTTGCAAGTAAAGGATTGACTTTAGGAATTCGAGTTGGTCACTGATCATAAGCCCTTAGACACTATTTATAGACCATCATCTAGACCACCTGCCAGGATAGAACGATGAGAATTAAGACTACAATATTTTTAATTCAAGGTGATTTATCAATCTGGGAAACTAAAAATTGTCGATTCCGTATCACGATTGTGTGAAGTAACAGAGGCAAAGACGTTTGACAAAGACAGACACATCCTAAGGATAGTCGAGGACAGTGCTCCCAGGGTTCTTAGACACCGACCATGGCCCAATCAACAGCAAATAGTTCTAGTGATCGATCATTACTCGAGGTTCCAGCTAATACCACTACATCGTCCGCTATAATAAAATGCCTTGAGAAACTATTCTTCCGTTTTGGAATATCTAAATCCATTAGATCCGATAATGGTAAACAGTTCATTGGCCAAGAATTCAAGGAATATTGTGAGCGAAACAATATAGGACTCATTAATATTGGCCCGAAGCTAATGGAAATGTGGAAAATATGGATAAATCAATTCTGAAGAGAATCCAAATTTGTCAAAATAATAATAAGATAATATACTATTAGAAAAACACACTTTCTGCATTATAAAAATGTGTGGAGGAGATTGAGTCCAATTTTAGTCCAAATTTAAGGAAAAATTTATGCATTGAATTAGAAACTTTTGTCTCCTACAATTTATTTATAATATAATATAACAAAAAAAATGAGTGCGCTGCTCTCTCTTCTTAATCATTTAATTGCTCTTCTAATTTCTAGTTCAATCAGGCGTTAATTAAGCACAAGAAAGTTTAGTTGTGAGTCACCCTAGACAAAAGAAAAATGTTTCAAGCTTCAATTTCGGTTTGAGAATGTTCCCAGAAACTCTATAAGACATTTAGTGGACTAGTTGACTGGAGTGTTTTACAATGACAAAATGCTGCAAATTTCGAGGTTTGTTAACATTTTTTGTCTTTCGGCAATTTTCCTCACAACATTTGTTAAAACCGTAAAACTTAAATTGTTGGATGGTGGATGGTGGCACGGTTTCGTTACCTCAAGGAACTCATTGATATTCGACGAATTGTTAACGATAAGAAAAAAAACAGTATTGCACACTTCCTGCTTTTTAATTTAAAATACCCAAGAGACGAAGAGACGACACTTACCATATCCAAACCCCTTTTGCACATCAAAAACAATTCGCTGGCTGCGTGACACGCGTTTCTCGCTACCTGAGACCTCAAGTTTCTGATCTGCTTCGCCAGCACTACGCAGGTGCCGTGCATCTGATGTTCGACGATTTCCGGATTATGTCTCGCAATCCTGGTCAACATTTGCAGTCCTTTGATCGTAGTTTCCCAGTCTGGGTTTTCCATTTGAGCTAGAGCCTGATGAAGCGTCTCCTTCGGTTTGCTCGATGACCTGCCCTGAACCTGATCGGGCAATGTTTTGGGAGACGTTTTCAGCGACTTCCTGCTGTTGTTGCGACTGAATCTCTTCTCTAGCCTGCCGGTGACTGACATCTCCAGCGTATTAATTGGAACGACGACCGCCGGTGATGAATGAGCACTCGCCTCGTAACTTTCCGTATCGACAGCCGACTCTTCGTTTCTTGGTGGTGCGGAATTGGCCGTTTTCCTAATCGAAGTGATTTCCGGAAGAAAGTTTTGTAGATCTATCACAGACTTGCTCTTCCTCCGGACTTCGACGGCCGACGACTGGTCGGATCCGGAAGGGACCGCAGTCGGAGAAACGGGGATTGCGTATTTGGACAACCGCGTTTCGCTCCTGGTAGATGTATCTTCGACTCGATTTAAAGAGCGGCGATCTATTTCTTCCTGCGGAGTGCGAATTTTATCGCCTGAGCTCGGTGATAGTGTTCTCTGAAATAGAGAGATACCCACGTTATGTAAATGTATATGTTATATTTTTATATACAGTTTTATGAACGACATTTTAGTCACGAGTTTCTTTAGACACGAAAGGAGCTCAGCGGACTGCGCGAAGCTGAACACTTCGCGCAGTCCTGATCAGTGCATACTTTAGATGAAGGAGTAGACAAAATATTTAGTGAATCAGTTCATGTTCGAATAGTTTAGAGACCTAATAGGAGATTGGGATAGATAGTTATTTTTATTGTTAAAAGCAATTATAGAATTAATATTTCTATTCTTTCAATTAATTACCTGAAACTTACCCTTATTATTCAGAAAAACACCATTACCGTAATAAATGTAATGTGGTGGTCTAGCTAATTAAATAGATCTTGCCTTAAAAATTTGGTTGTATACTTCTCAACTTTCTAAATATTGTAGTTGATATTTTTTAAAATTTTCCTTCACACAGACGTAAGCTAAGGCCGAACAGTTACTGTTCTCTGCTATTAGTTCTTTTGTACGTCGATCTTTTATTTAAAAAATAAACTCTACAATATCGAACGCTTTTTATCGCAATATAAAAGAGCGAACATGGGGTTTCAGTAAAACTTTTAAAATTAACGTTACTCCTGCTTAACCGGGAGTCCTTGCGAAATTGTAATAAAAAAAATATTCGTCGAACTGCGTTTTCAAATTCTACGACTTTTTTTAGAAGTTTTAAATATAAATTAGAAGTTTAGAAATATAAAGCTTGCCAAAAGTGTTGAAAATCAAACCTCAGATAGACAGGTTTTTTTTCTTCATTTTTTGGAAAACGTATTAATGGGGTTTCAAAACTTCCGAATTTCAACAAAGACTTGAATTACTCTTTTTGAAAATTTAGAGTAAGCATAAGTTTAGGCTGGAAGATTTACATAAAAAATGACGCGTTTCCGGTTTCTACGTCAGATTAAAAATACTAGGGAATATTTACCTGGTCGTTTTCAACGAGGGTTTTCGCCGAACTGGATCGGCGTATGTACGAATCGACGCAATCTTCAGACTCGTTATTGACGGCTTCGTCGACGTCAGAACTGACCCTCTCCTCCGTGTCCATTTTAATGAAAGCGGGTTGGGCATCGGGAGGGGGTGTGAAATATCCGGAAGACTCGGACTCCGAAGATCTGGGAGGCGGCAGCGACAGCTGACTGACCGAGTCGCTGTCGTCTCGATGCGACAGTTTGGTTGTAGTGGGCGTCTGCTGAGCTGGACTGTTGAGCACATTTCTGAAACATTGCGAACGACACTTATACCTATAGAGCCTAGCATGGGCTATTAATAAATGTGGCCAAGTATGACAAGAGAAGAACCCTTAATAATAGATTATTATTATTATTATTATTATTTTGGGACAATACGTGGGTCAAGGACAAAGTTGGAACCTTTTGCAAAAACTGATTCTTCCGTGTCCAAAACTTGGTACGATGATACATTTATCACAGTATTTGGTAGTTGAGAGGTTTGATGGTTTCACTAGCATTGACGTTAGTTTTTCAAATTTCTGGATGTGATTTTAATTAAAAGATAAACGAATATTTAAAACTTTGTATAAATCAGTTTTGAAAGGGTATCGAACTTGGATGTGGACAAGATGGAAGCAATTTCAAGATGTAGACACAGAAGAGTCTTATTGATTTGGTATATTTCCTTAGGAATATGATGATTTTTTTTTTGAAGTAAAGCGAAACTACATTTTCGAAGAATCTTATAAGTGGATGAAGTATTGACTTGATAGGATATTTTAAGAAAATTGGGGATAACGTTATGGTCTCTACAACGTAACAAAAAAAGGTCAGTGTACAAGTAATCTCACCAGTTTCAGTCGGTGATTCTCTAACTTCCGGCGCTTGATGTCGTTTCCATAATTAATTAACGTTAGAAGTGGGACGCAATCACACATCGCAAAGTATTTCTTAAAAAATGTTGAAAACATTTTTTGGTTTACTTTGGCTTCCACAAAAATATTATTTCCTCCAAACCGATTAACCCGATCGGATAAATTCTTGAATAGGGAAACGCGGCAGATCTGGGACTAAGTCTTTTATTTCAGGCACTTTTTCGATTATCTTCAGGGTCCATGTGAAAATCGCGCTCAATTTAGGCGCGATGACGTCATAGTAAGTGCCGACGTACGGTGTGCGGCATTGTTTCAAATAAATTTAATAAATATTATTCTCTCGAAAACTTATAAAGTCCTCTCCAGCTCCCACCATTTAATTGTAAATAATAATTAATATAATTTTTAAAAAACTGCAGTCTTCCACGGAAACCTTTCCTGACAAAAAACCATACAACTTGTATTAGATCTTTTGGTATCTTTAGATAGAGGAAAGGATACAGTATATAACGTATAAATTTCAAATATTTAGAATTATAAATAACGGAAATATCAAACGTTTTATGAAAGAAATCTGTTTTTTTGCGAATATTTTTTCCCCCGGAAGGACTAAGGAATTTGTAATTAAACAACCGACTATTTTTTTTAATAATCCGCCTACCTCCTATCTCCGAGGCAAATTCCTAGTCAAAATCGGCTTTTTCGAGTTTTATTGTACCCAAATCAACCTTAGAAAAGCAATTATTTACTTAAAACTTCCTTTTCTGGGACAAATAATTGGTTTTCGCTTTTGATTTCGAGCAGATTATAGTGAAAACCTGCATTTTCATAACCTACCAGACTGAAATATACATATTTTTAATTTTTTTGTATCTGCGGATAGACCTTAGGGAAGATATTAAAAAAAAAAGTAGGTTGTTTAATTAAGTAAAATGCGAACAGGATGATTGGCGAAACGTTAGCAAGTCTGATTCAGCAACAACCGACGCAGGAGGAATCCAGAAGTTTTATAAATAGTAGTAAACTTTGCTGCATTGTTTTCTTTTCTTTTTCTTCTTGTTATTGATTTTTGTATTTGCATCAGAAAAAGCTAGGAGGTATTTTAAACATTGTCATTGGTGATCCGTGATCGGTAATAGAATATGTCATGTGATTTTTACCAGCCAATAGAACAAAGCCATAAAGCCGAAGATAGGGTCTGCTTGATAGGTTGATAGTCATGTTGTGTTGTATTTTCAGTGTCCCCAAGTGTTTGTTGATTTTAATAATAGCTCATTTCTAAAATTGTTGGCGATAAGCAAACAAGCATTGTAGTATATATATGATTTATGGACTGTATAAAAATAACAATGGGTAAAACGTCAAAGCAAAACATTTTTAATAATTTTCTTTCTTTTTGTTACCCAAAGTTAAGTAAAAGCAATTAGGTATGATTTAATCTTTCACTAAACCGTCGACCTATACTGTAAAGTAGGGGCGAATTTACTTCCAAAAAAAACTAAAAAATAGGACTTTCTATTCAGTTATAGCGTTACAAAAAAAAAACGATTTCTCTTATAATTTATAATAATGGCGTCTTTAGGTTAACTTGGGTTAACTCTAATGTTTTTTTTTTAATTCAGATGTAGACAATACTTTTGTTTTGAGATGAATAAGTAATAAAAATTATCATCCACAAATTAATTTCAAGAATATATTATAGAATGATACACCGTATTATTGATTTGATTTATTAAGAAGCACCAATGAAGCAAAATCATATTTAATTTTGATCAAATCGTTAGCGTTTCTTTTAATTTTAAAGCGTTTTTTTCTCTGAGAAAATTTCTCAATGAAAATTTTGTCAACAGTAACTAATGACCCAATCAAAACTATTTGCGGTCTAAATTTAATTAGGATTATAAGAAACTTAATTTTTTAATACTTTGTTTACCCTAGAAATTTTGAAACACCTGGTATATGCAATGCTTGTTCTGATGTGTTGTGTTTCCCAAATTTATTCGGGTCAGTAGGTGCAGCTTATAAATTTAGATAGGCGCATTGATTGAACCCGTTTTATAAGCACGCTAAATGAAGATTAACTATTTTCTTCAAAATCAGACCGACCGACACCTAAAGTAATCGAATTGGAAGGTGCGGCGAGGATAACGGGCAGCGGATATTGTCCGGTAATGACCGGGCAACATATCGCAGACAAATACTCTACAGATCGCACTTAATTTATTTTCATTTTATTTTATTTGCACCACTTTATAGACGAAATCCCACAAAGGATCGCTGAGCCAAAGGAAGAAGGAGAATAAAAAAGAACAGTTAATGAATAACAAATGATATAAAAAAGAAAAGAAAGATTACATTACAAGTATCCAAACCAGAGCAGTGCAAAGGTCAACAAAAAGATCACATTCAAAACTCACATTCACCTACAACCATTAAGTAAGTATGCATCAAATTGTTAACGCTTATTTCTTCTGCGTTAACTTTGTAAGGACATTGCCATTAGCTGTGTCATTAACTTAGCACCCACACGCTTTCCACGGCAACTATATAGACATTTAAGCAAGTCCCGATTACAACAAACATTTATTTATTGCGGTAAAAGTCCGCCTCCATATGTAAAACAGTAATGTTATCGAACGCGTTCAAAAAGTGCGGCCCCTTAACATTTCAGGGTCGAGGAGAGAAAAATCATGCAGAGTGGTGTGCGTGTTTTTTTTGTCCTAGCTTGCGGAACTATAAACCTGTTCTACAAAGAACAACTTAAACCGATTTAAGTTTTATCACCTTATTGTACTAATTACGAAAAAAAAGTAATATTTGATCAACAAAAAGCGGAAGTCAATATAATAATAATAATAATTTTTAAGGAAATATTTCTTAAAAGACCAAATACATGTACTTTACCATTTTTTTAAATTTTATTGAGTGTTTCGAAAAAAAAAATTTGTTCAACCTAGACAAACAATGTAATATATAATATATTTTTATATATATTTTTAAAGAAAATACGTAATGGAGTGTGCGTTCTAGGGCAAAACTTTCCTTACAAAAAATAAAATATTCGTCTTGTTGCCAACTAAATCGACCGCATGGGAAAACAATTACTTACTTTTCTCGAAACTCTGGCGGTAAAGTGATCGTCAACACGGGGGTAGATTTCTTAGCACTCGTCGAATTCTTATCGACAACTTTCCTTGTCCTACGCAACGGGGGACAACATTTCCAACCCCCAAAACCGCAAAACTTGACCAAACAACCCCCGTCATCGTCCCTCAAACCCCAAAGATTGTTTGCTTTCGCGCTGTTGCGCATATTATTATTTCGGAAAAGTTCGGAAGTGCAATTTTAGGTTTTGAAAGACGTGGATTTCGACATTTTGGGACCTCCGACACCGACAATGAGGTAGTAGTGAATTGCGTAGCTTGTAGTTGAGTGAGAGTGTAATACGCGAAGCGTCTTTTCAACGAATTTTCCCTAATTTATGCATAGCATTGATTGCTTCTGACCGGCGCGTTGACCTGAACTCACGTCGACGACGCCGAGCGTCGACGTCCCATATATATATATAAAATAGTCTAGAACGTCAGGACCGGGCCGGGGAGTTTTTCATTAAACTTAATTAATTTCATGTATCTTATCTAATTTTTAATAAAACGTCTGACGGTAATGTTACGTTTGCACGTCAACCGCTAGATTACAACGACTAAAAAATAAATAAGATATTAATTCTAAGAAGCTAGCGGGTTTAGTATACCATTACACAGAAAATGAAGGAAAATTGGAATTGTAATTGTAAAATTAGAACTAATTACCTTTAACTAGATTAAGTGAATACTAAAAAGATTGGAGTTGAAGAGGAATTCTGGTGATCAAGGGTTTAGTATAGCAAAAAAAAAATCTAAGTTTCAAAAAGTTTTCTGTTTTTCTCATGTGCTATTACTATTATTTACTATTAAATTTACTACAGAAATGTCACACATTTTCGCAGCATATTTGATTACGTTTTTTATTTATTTTCTTGAATATCAAAAAGGACAAGACAACCTTATTTGGTATTATCGTTATTTTGCGTAAAATTTACAACAGAAATGTCGTATACACACACACACACACACACACACACACACATCATTCGTTTTTTGTTTTTTTTTTGTGCAACAGTGCAACTCTGTTAATTTAGTATTTTGTTATTATCATTATTTAGTATAAAATTTAATACAGAATTGTCACATATCTTTCTAAGCATATTTGAATGCCTTTTTTATTTTTTAATGTTTTTAATGTTAATCTGAACCAGCTAATCTAGTGTTCTGTTATTACTGTTATTTGGTATAAAATTTGTTACACAAAAGTCACAAATCTTTGGTCGCATATTAGATAAGTTTTTTATTTTATTTTATTTTATTTATTCTGTGACAATAGCAACCGTGTTTTCGAACATCAAAAACGGATACGAACAATAAGAATATTTTAAAATAAGCAACACCTGTTAAATTTGAATTAATTTAAGAAATGTGCAACATTTTTCTCCTCGAACACGCGTTATGAGCGACATTCTTGCTTATTATTTATTGTGATTGTCTAAATTTGATTAATTGAAGGCAATAGTGACTCACCTACGCACTATCAGGGGACCGTTGTGGTTCGTGTGATTCAAATTATGGTGACTCCGAATCTTAAACTTCTCCGAGGTGATAGGAACGGGTATACTTGATCTGAAGTCCCTATGCCAGTACCCGCCTCTAGCAGACGAACCTACCCAGAACACCAACAGGGCATTTAAAAAGTAGTCATACTTTTTTCAGGAACCAGTTAATAAGTTCTTTGATTTCAGCTAAATTTAATAAGTTTGTTCCTCAGGTCTAATTCATTTATGTTTTGTTTTTTCTTATTTTTATTTCTACTCTGTCTCTTAATGCGAGAGAGTTATTATTATTGATATCAAGGGAAGATTGGAGAGCGGGCAGAGTCGGCTCCTGGGATGGACTTGTCTGGTAAATGGACGGGTCCAGAATGGGTGATCTGGCCGGAGCTGGAGCGTACTGCGAGACAACGGGATCAAGCTTGTCGGTCCCTCTGGGTCAGTACTGCACTGTGTTTCAGGCGGAAATTTTCGCTTTATTGATGGCGGCCAGAGAGGTGCTTCGGCTCAACTACGGAAGCAGGAGAGTCTTCTTCTGCTCGGATAGTAGGGCTGCACTCATGGCGCTGAAGTCAGTGCGTACGCGCTCCTTGTTGATAAGGGAGTGCAAAGGGGTACGAGGAGGGTGGCTGAGGAGAGAAAGGTCACGTTAGTCTGGGTCCCGGGTCACACCGGTATCCGGGGCAATGAGGCAGCGGACGCCTTAGCCAGGGAGGGCTCCTCGCATAGGCATATAGGGCCAGAGCCCCGCTTGGGGATCGCCCCGTGTGTGAGGCGGGGAGCTCTCGAAGCCTGGGCGAGAGATCGGGCCGCGGGGGGCTGGAGAGTTGCTCCGGGAATGAGGCAGGCAAGGCTTATGATGGATGGGCCCGCCCTTCCTCGGACCAGGGAGCTGCTTAGACTGACCAGAAGGGAGTGTAGAGCACTAACAGGGGCCTACACAGGCTTGCAGGCTGTGCAGGCTTAGGAGGCATCTTTGCTTGCTAGGCATTGGAGACGACCCGGAGTGTAGGTGGTGCATGGAAGGGGAGGAGACCCCGTATCATCTGCTCACCGAGTGCCCTGCCTTGACATGGGCAAGATTGGGAGTCTTCGGAACGGCCCTGATCGATCCGGACTCAGTGCACGGTATTGGGCTAAAGGAGTTGCTGACCTTCTACAGGAGGGGCGGCATTCTGGACGCCCTCTAGAGCGGCCTGGGGGCACAACGGGCCCATCTGGTGGCCTAAGTGCTTGGACGCCCGCGAGGGCGCCCCCCTTTAATACCAGTACCAATACCAATATTATTACTGATCTGTAAAACTGCCACCGGTCAAACAGTTTTGGCTGTACTCCATAAGGGTAGTATTGTACCTATTATGATTGTTTAGGGTACCAAGAGTGACAGGCAGACGGACAGGCAGTTGACCTACCTGTGGATTAGTTTTTAAAATTAGAAGTATAGTTAATTTCCGGCAGGTTTTAGCAAACTTGTTGCTGAGAAACAGATTAGAGCATCAGGTCACCAAAGACAAAGACAATAATGGACACACTTACCTACCTTGGACAAAATTGTGTTTGAAATCAAACATGATCATGTCATCGCACCCATGGGTAAGAAGAAATTACGCAAAACTGTGAAGAAAATGAATTTTTCTTTAAAAAAAAACACCAAATAGAAAATCATTTATTTACTGGCGGCGACGATATTTGAGATTAGTTAAAGAGTTTTGAATGGAAAGCAGGAATATCTATTATATGGATGAAACTTGGGTAAATGAAGCTTTCACGGAAGGATGGCCCATTGGGATAAATGCACCTTCGGGAGAATGTAAAATATTAATAACTCTCGTTGGTAGCAAAATTAGATTTGTGGTGGTATTTCAATCAAAACGAACTGGAGACTATTGTAAAGACGTGAATGTTTTTGAAGAATACTTCCAGCAAATGCATCTTATTCCTTTTGGGTTTCTTATAGTCATGGATAATGCGCCACTACTTCTCAAGTAAAAGAGTTTGTAAAAGAGTTTGTAGCAAAGCATAACACCACTTTTCAAATGTGGCAATTGTGTAAAGCATGGTGAACACTGGAGTAAGTGCGACGAATATGTGATTGAAATAGTAGAAAGCATGTGGAAAGCTAATAACATGCTGGAAAATACTGTAAAGCCCCTGATTATCTGACTTTTATATAACTTTTAATTTACCTGATCTTAGAATAATTAATATTTCATTTATCTGCCTATCTCTATAGTTTTAATCTTGTATAATTATTATTATATTTGTTATCCTAATAAACTATCTATAGTGACGCCACTGTCATATTACTGTCATTCTCCATACTCGTCTTGCTATACCAATGCAATTTATCTGAACTTTACGTTTACATTTAAGTTGCTCACCCTGTTTAATGATTGCGATCATTGCAAAATTATATTTTGTTACCCTCTCACTAATTAACCTCAGATATGTGTTTTAATTTAAGTATAATTTGTCAGCATTTTAAAAATTGAATTTTAATTAAATTAAATTAATTGCCCAATGAAATTTTGGAAAATGTTTTAATTGATTTTTTTACCTGCGGACGTGGTCGACGAATTGCTGGACAACGAAAACGAGTAGGGGGGATCTCGGCCGCTCTTGGCCGCCCTTTTCTCGTCGAAATACAGTTGGTCCGACGAGAAGCTCTTCCTGAAGGGATCCTTTTGGGAGAAATTTTCTCTCTCATCGTCGGCGCGCGCGCGATGCTGAAACGGACCGGGACGATGATGGTTATTATTGGGCGCGTGGTTGCCATTTTTCTGATACCCGGGCGGGGAGAACGATCTACCCCGATCGTATTTTTTGTGGCCCCTGCCTCCTGCGGCCACAGCATCGGGTTGGAGGATATATACTGGACGCAGTACGCCTCCGTTTTGTCCTTTAAGAAAAGAGGGGTGATCTAGTAGAAAACTACGACATTATAAGCGGCATAAGCGGAGAAAAGAAAGTTAGAGCAGAAATGAATGATTAATGACTAGGAGGTGCGTTTTTTCTTTTTCCTTGCACATATATCGGGTGCATAAAATTTTCTGGAAAAATGGAAATTAACATTTTGGAAACTCTCTGTGATATATATTATATATTATATTATGGTATAGTAATAGTACAAGTAATGAGATTCACTAAAAGTGTATATTACCTTCCATCGTAGATCGCATAAATAAGTAGAGACAAAAAATTCGAAACAATATTAGAGGAATCAGGAATAAATTGCAACAATTTCGCGGCTAGGTAGACTTTTCTGTTGTTACAAAACAAAATGTGTTATTGTTTTATGTTTTTAAATATTGTTAAAATTTGTTGCAAATCACAATCAACAAATTTCGTGCAAATGGAAAATTGATTACTGAATAAGGTGTATACAAATTTTTGCCACCTGGTGTTGATTTATTGAGTAGTGATATTTTTGGAAAACTCATTTTCTGAGCAAAATTGATGTAAGAAAATAAGAACCAAAAATTTTTTTCTTATTTTTTAGATTATTTTTTTGCAAATATTAATTTTAAATCAATGCACGTGAGCTCGATATCAAATGCGTGGATAAACCAAATTATGATCAAATTTCTTATTTAACACTTCTCAAACTCACCAAAGGATTCGCACTTGTAAAAATCGGAATGCAATTAATAAACACCCTCGTAACGAAAATGTGAATTTTTACTTTTACGATAAGCGGAATTATGAACAATATTTATGGTAGTGTGAAAATGTTTATTTTCATCAGTTTTCGCATAAATTTTCTAAATTAAAAAAATAGTTAATAGGGAAAATAATTATAAATTACATATGGTTTGGAAAATATGCAATTTTACCGGCACTCACTGCGCACCACTGGAACGTCCCTAAATGCTAAAATACAAAAATACTAAAACACCTGGTATATTCATTACATTTCTAGAACCAAGAACATGAACTTTTGGGGCTCGTCTAAATATTCCTACCGTAGTAATGTGGCTTTTTAAAATATAAGCACAAATTAAGCTGCATGTTTTACACAAAAACCAGTCGAATGGTTTTCACTGACTGTGGCAAGTGGCTCGGCCGTAGGCATGAGAAATTAACTGTCGCGTTTAATCTGCATGCGGGTGAGCGCTACGGGGCTTTTTTTTACATTTTGTTCCCATTCTTTCGATTAGCTCAAATCATTTTTTTATCCACTAGATCTTTCGAACTGTTTATTCTTTTAGGCATTTGGTTAGTTTCGAAATTTCACGTATACAATCTAACCAAAAAAGCAGTGGGGATCCTCGATGCTGCTTAAAAACAAAACATAAAAAATTTCAAAATATCTTATAAAAAAGGAAATTACGGAAATTTATTAAGAACGTTTACCACCTATACGACGATTTTCATCTATTATTCGCTAAAAAGACACTCTAATGCAAAAAGAAAAATGAGTATAAAAATTGTATTTTTAGAACATTTTCAATTTCTAGATTCTTTTTGGTTTTTATGTTGCTTATGAAGGCAGTTCAACATTTACTGGATCTTGAATATAATTGGTTAGGTGGTCTTTAAAGGATAGGTGGTCACAATTGCCTAGGCATTTCGATGAAAAAAAAATTAAAAAAAATTTCCTTAAATATATGTCTTTATTATTATTTGAAATTGAAAAGCAGTTTGCATTGCATTAAAAATTCTACTAAAAGCGGTTTTCAAATAAAGAGATGCGTACGTTACCTTTCCGGTGTTGGTCCTGTTTCGATAAAGACACCGGATCCAGAGCCCACACCTGAGTCCGGCCGTTGACGGGGCCGTCCTAAAAATTCGAACATTTACCAAAAAAAAAAAAAAACAAAAATTTTCCGCAAATTACCACGAAATTATTTAACGACAGCGGCTGTAACGCGAATAGCCTGCAGAGGATCATCGTATAATGCACCCAATCGACCGATAAAAATGTCAACCTTAAGGAATAAGTCTTTGTGTCTAGTCGGGCGATAAAGAAAAGGGCGGTTTGTGAGGGGACCGGGGGGAGGTCAGCTAATCGATATTTTGTTAGTTACGGTGCCGCAGTATCAACTATTTCATATCGCATGTTCAACAGTTGTTTCTGCGTCAGCGAAAGCGATGGGAAACGACATTCCTGATAGTTTGCGGTCAAATCATTCTGGAACGTCGTATATAGTTATAGAGCCCGTTTTTAGATTTCGCTCGTAGAGGATTTGGGCGAATATTTACTACAAAATGTTTAATTGTACACAAACTTGTGATAGAGTACCTTATCTATGATATGATGGCGACAATAGTTAGGAAACATTTTTTTCTGTTTTTAATTATTATTTATTTATTATCATTCATCTCCTATTTGTTAGTGCAATATCTTATACAATAATTTAAGAATGAATTTAGGATTTAAATATGGAAAATCCATTTTGTTATATTATGGAGAATCGAATGATACGAAGAACTTTAAATTTTATGTATGAGAGAATTTCAAAAAATACAGTAACCCGATTTTTATAACGATCTCAATATCAACGGTACAAAATTCAAAAACTTAACCCCTTTCCATCACCGTGAACTGAATCGAAATAAATTTTCCAAGTTTCCCTAATTGCTTTTTCTATCAAAAATCAGCAAAACTCAGGCAATTCACGACTACAAACGGCTAGTTAAAAAAACGGAAAATCCGGACGAGCGCCAATTTAAGTTGATTTACTTTCTACCAAAAGTATTTCGAAAAAACTATAAAAATTAAATTACTGGAAATTTTGGCTCCTTTTTGCTCAAAGTACATGTGCAAATAATCCGCTACAAAAACACTTTCGAAGAATTCCCAAGCTGAAACGCCACGCGTGATATTGAAATATAAGTCGTAATGTAAAAAAAAAGGAAATTTATACTCGGGGTTTTCCCCATTTTTATGACATAGTAAAAATTACAATAACAAATAATAAAAATAAACATAATAAAATTTTAAAAAAAATCCGTTTTAATATTACTAATTATTTTTTTTTAACTTAGTGAAAAAAAATCAAGAAATATTTTCGGATATACGAGATTAACAGGACATTTTCAGGACAAATAGAGATATCATGACACTAAACGGAACCTAAGACTTACGTCTGACGCGTGGTCGGCAGCATGCCTCGAATTACGCATCCAATAATTGACTGATGGGGTGCCAGAAGACGCGGAAGAAGTGGGCGTGGAAGACTGAACCTTATTGGAGAGTTTCAAACAAGATCCGGATAACCATTCCATCTCGATAGGGTCCACCGGCGATGCGTATCTTACGGATCCATCCATTTCAACAGTGGGCAATTGTTTTCTAGACAATCTAAAAATGACTCGAGTAAATATTAATTGTAATAATAATAATAAAGGTTTTCCTTAAATCAAATGAACAATATATTAGGAGAGATAGAATTATACCAGATTGTTGTGTATGAGCTTTCAATTGCTTATACAAAAGGAAGAAAAAGTATTAACAAAAAAAATCTAACAACATTTAAGTAATACCTTAACGGATGGGACATGTCATGCCATGAAAAAGAATTACTGATTTGATAACAAACACTTGAACAGCTTGTTCTTGGATGCTATTTTATTTCTTCTATTTTAATTATGATGATAAGTTGAAAGAGATTTTAAATTCAGGTACATCTTTTTAAACAAATATTCGTATGTGGACTGAATCTGAATTCTGGATAACGCAGTGACTTTAACATTTCTATTTGATCCTTCAGTATTGATTTACCGTCCGTAATTAATAAATGACTGCAAATTTGCAGAAATTGCACCTGGTGTGCTGTGTGTGTGCTTTTTAGCACTGATATTCAGCTTTTTTTAAACACAACACAAATCTACATAACTGTAATTAAGTTTTTCTACTCCCGTCTTTAAAATACCGAATTACCCACCGATCTAGCGTGCGAGAAGCGTCACTTCACCACGTCAGTTTCGTTTCCCATGAATCCGAGCCACTTCGGACATTTCCGGGATTTTACCGCACGGATTTGGAAGCAATCGGATATTTTCGGAGATATTTCCCACGCTTTGAACGTTTGTTAATTCTGACAGTCATGTTAGTGAATGTATTCGTGTTGTTTTGCGAAAATGTACCCAAAAACTAACGGTCGTAGAAAAAGCATAGTATGCAACACGTTCGGTAATAGTATATTATGCAACAAGTGCGGTAAACGGCATTTAAGTTAAAAAGTTTACCGAACGTGTTGCATACTATACTTTTTCTACGACCGTTAGTTTTTGGGTACATTTTCGTAAAACAAGACGAATACATTCACTGACATGACCGTCAGAATTGACAAACGTCAAAATTCAAAGCGTGGGAAATATCTGTAAAATTCCGGAAATGGCTCGGATTCGTGGGAAAGGAAATTGACGGGAGTAGAAAAACTTTTTAACTCACTCGTTTATTAAACACTCGCTCGGCTGGGCTCCACTCGTGTCAAATAAACTCGTGAGTCAAATGCCGTTTACCGCACTTGTTGCATAATATACTATTAACCTCGACTTATTAGTTAAATAAAAAAATAATTTGAAACTTTTTTAATTTTTTTACATAGTTTTATCCGCATTATAAAGGAAGGAACTATTTTTGTAGGTTCAAAACAGATTACAACTGACATGAAATATAAAATTATATATGGCAAACTTTTGCAGGTTCTTAAAAAATATTTTGTATGTATTTTCTCCAAATTCTCTTTCCGTTGTACTCTAGGAAATTTCCTTAAAGATAAAATTTGCAGGTGTCAATTGTGTCATTTCTATTACTTCTGGATTGATACAATACAAATACAAACACAAATATATTTATTTTATCTACTTTTGCTTGTCAATGGTGTGGCCAAAATATTGTCTTGTAATTGGACAGAATCTGCTTGTTAGACAATAAAGCGTTATTTTTATTATTATTAATATGTTAATTTTGTCACTCCTCCTCTGATATACGAGATTAATGTGCTGAAAAAAAAACGATTTCAAATTCGGTAAGAAAGGGCACCAGGAAGTCTTTAATTTTTTCTTTTACATTAAAGGCCAAATATTTCTACCCCATCGGTCGCTAACTCTCTTACTAGCACTACTCACCTAGTCCTCACGACCCGAACAACATCTTCGTGATCCGGAAACTCCCGAGTAGCTTCAACGACCGCGCGCAGTACGTCGAAGCTTGATGTCAGCTGCGCAATGGCCGCCAAAACTTCCAAAGCGGCGTGGCGCACTTTTCTTCTTCTGTCCTTCAGTGCGATCGACGCACGTTCCGCGATCCGACCGACGTCGACATCGGAACTGGGAAAGAGGCGGACGCAGGCCATCAAAATCTGGAGAGCGCCTTCCCTGGTTCGGTGACCCATACCCTTTTCGAGCACTTCCGATTGCACTGTCCTGGACGACACTTTTTTCATTGCTGCTATGGCCAAGCGCACCCCAGAGGGCGCCCCCATTTTGCAAAACCCCAACGCTAGACGAGGCAGGCAACCTTCTAGCACATTCGACCTTGCCCCGTCCACCAGGATGTTCAGAGCGTCCTTGAAAAGTTACGCGGATTACCTTCCTTCGCCTAGCTCGGTCTGAAAATTACTCACGTCTGCTAAAGAATGCAGCCTGTCTCGATGGTGGCAGGCAAATAGTGCTTCGAATAAAAGGGCCGCAGGTCCTGCTTCGAGACTTTCGCACGTCCCAGGCTCCTTAAGCATCTTCACCAAGTCGTCCAGCGCTTCAGATTTCGCCCAAATCTCGTCCTACCGCCAGATATTATTTGATCACCAAACACGTGGTTCCAGAATTTATCACTTAATCGTGTTTGAACGCTCCGCTTTGGTTTCGAATATTTGATCGCCGTTGCTCTCAAAATATCAGAATAAATTGCTAGTTGTTACTCAACAGTTGTTTCGATGTTTTATTCTACGGCTGATCGTTTTCAAACAAGTGCTGTTTATTCAGAAGGAAATGAAACGCACAGAAGATGTGGCAGACGATATATAAGACTACAGCATTCAAGAAATGCGTGGGAGGAGGAGTTGTTAATACTTTCTTTATACTCTTTATAGTCAGAGATGCTTAAGACAAAAAAAAATTAATACTGGCCATTGTGCAAGAAAGACGTGGGTTTAGTTTTTTTAATAGACCACTTTAAAAATTCAGTTCCGGTTCCGGTGGTTTCCCTACAGTTAAATGTCTACCATATTTGACAAAAAACGCATTTTTTGTTGCGCCAACGTAGACGCGCGACGAGTCTACGGTGGACCTCTATTGCGAACAAGAGTTCTAAACCTACCATACCACATAGTTACCCAGTTGGTGACTTTTCAGTTCATGAAGCAAAGATTAGTCTTAAGAAAGTCTTAATCACAATTCTAAGTGCTTGAAGGTAATATAATACCGACGAAGAAATATCAGCAATTATGTAATGGATGTTTTTTTTTTCGATGTATAGAACTTTAAGTTGGCATTACTGTTCAAGATGGCGACCGATTTAACAGCTATCAAGTGATTTATTCTCAGTTTTATTTGGCAATTCATCATGAATAGACTCACGCCTGAACAACGCTTGCGAATAGTGCAATTTTATTTCGAAAATAATGGTTCTGTGCGGAATACGTATCGCGCACTACGTCCATTTCATCGTCGACAAAATCGTCCATCAGAGCAGTTAATTCGATTAACTATGGAACGTTTTCCCACCACGTTTACTCTTATTAATTACTCGCATCCCCAGAGACGCCGTACGGTGCGTAGAGAAGAAGCTATTGCTTCTGTAGAGCGTAGCATTGAGGAAGACCCGAATGAGTCCATCCGCCATCGAGCACAGGAATTGGATCTGTTTCCATCCACTTTATGGAAGATTTTGCGGAAGGATCTTGGTTTACGTGCTTACAAAATCCAACTCGTGCAAGAATGAAGCCAAACGATCATCAAGTAAGGCGTAAATTCGTCGAATGGCCCAAAACGAGATTGCCGTTGTTCCCGATTTTCATAAGCGATGAAGCGCACTTCTGGTTGAATGGCTACGTCAACAAACAAAACTTCCGCATTTGGATCGAAGCTAATCCTCAAGTGTATGTCGAAACACCGTTACATCCAGAAAAACTGACTGTTTAGTGCGCTTTATGGGCTGGTGGAATCATTGGTCCGTACTTTTTCAAAAACGATGATGGCCAGAACGTTACAGTCAATGGTGATCGGTATAGAGCTATGATTACTAACTCTTTCATTCCTGAATTGAATAACCATGATGTCCAGGAGATGTGGTTTCAACAAGCCGGCGCAACATGTCACACAGCTCGTGCCACAATCGATTTATTGAAAGACACGTTTGGTGACCCCCTATTTTCACGTTTTGGACCTGTGAATTGGCCTCCAAAATCTTGTGATTGAACACCGCTAGACTACTTTCTGCGGTAAAGTCATTGGTCTATGCGGATAAGCCACAAACGCTTGACCATTTGGAAGACAACATTCGCCGTGTTATTGCCGAAAATTGGACTTCCAGATTGGACTACATCCGCGCCAGCCGTGGCGGTGATATGGTCGGATAAATAAAATTCATGTCAATCGAATAACCCATCGTTGTTTTATTGCAACTTAAAGTTTTATACATCGAAAAAAAAAACACCCCTTACAAGGATGTCGCTCAGTGGAAGAACTTTGGTGAAACAGCTGGGAAGCAAAAGAACCTAGTAAGAACTACTCTAAAAGGAATAGGAATAGTCTCTACCTACGTATTGTGTGATTGTTGTTTTAATTTAATTAAAGCTTCAATTCGTCAGGATCCAATTATCAGACTAATTACTGTTTACATTGAAAGGGTGACCGGACCAGGGTTATGAATAATTGATACAAAGGTCGACAACCGGCAGCAACATTCGGTATTCAAAAAATACCGATGTTGACGCCACGTTCCGGTGGCTAATAATGCATGCATCATTATATCCATTATGACTCCAGCTCATTACAGGAGTGTTTCGTGCTAGCAGACGAGGCAAAGGTACATTGGGCTCAATTCAATACAGACCACTTTAAGGACGAATTCGTTGACCACAAATACAGCATTCCAACTCAACTTTCAGGATTTAGATTTAATCCCGTTATACTGGTGTTGTCGAGTGGCCAAATATTAGTTTTAAAAACTTCGTACCAAAATCGAGCGATAAGGATTTTTGTTCCATTTCGAGTTAATTAACCCATTTTTTTCCTTCAAACGCGATATAAATTTAGGTCGAACCGGGCGATGATAAGCGGCCGTAAACGCACAGATTTCCCTGGAAATTGTAGAACTGCGAACTTTCGCATTTTCGTTTCGATCGCCCATTCAAATATTTGCATTAAACTGACGTGATCCGGAAGGCTACTTTACACGTCTGACCTCGATATTTCAAATTACACCGGCGCGGCGGCAAATTGCATAATGGGACCCCTACGAGCAAAGCTTTTTAGCATTTTGCAAAGAAACAAAAACGCCTTATTTCCGTACATCGACCACAACAACAAATAGAGTTTTGGCCTTTATTGGAAAACCTGGTTAGTGTAAGAATTCATGTCCTCTTTATTCCCCGCTAGAGGAATTTGATCCTCATTTTGCCACAGACAATAAAAAATTGTTATAGTCGATTCGTCAGTGAAAATAATAAAACAAGCTAGGGCGATAAGAAAGGACTATTCTGTTAGAAAAAATTATACTTCATTTTACAAAACGAGGGCGCGGTTATAAATAAAGTATAAACTATTTAAAAATGTCGGTAATATTAGTACTTTAAATGGTCTGATACCATCAACATGAAAAGGATGTCATATTTATTGGACATGTTCGTTTTGCTAATCTCCAGAAGTTTAAATCATTTAAATACTATTTATAGTATTGTAGACATCAAATAATCTTGAGAAGGGACTTTCAATATGCGCATGTACGAGCCATTTCAAATCTCGCTGTCAACCAATAGGACCCGTCATTCCAAATCTTGCTTTTGACAGTTTTGAAAGTTTGTCCATTCAACAGTTTTCAGATTAGATGTGGCATCCTTCGGAGAGTATGTTGTCAAAATATTGCTAAAGATCCCATTAAACTTTGAGAGCAAAAAGAGTTAAGTGTATGTGTGTGCAGGTTAGTTTGTGAAATCTAGGGGCATATTCAAAAGATCATTTCATTGGATATGAAAATGCCTGAGAGGCATTGTAATGGTTATTATTATATTCATAGATAATTTAAGGTAAAAAAAGTCCGTGATTAAGTGAGATTTAATTATATACCTATTAGGTACTTACTTAATCGTTGGTGCTATCTTACCTCGCTAGTAAAAGAAGACAACGATTTTCGCAGGTCGTTGTTTCGCACGACGTCGCTCGGTTGCTCATCTACGATTTCTTCGATTACCACCGATGACGATTCTTGCTTCTCGACCTCATCCTCCTGTTTTTCTACGGGAACGACTTGAAAACTGTCATAAGCGCCGACTTCATCTCGCGTTTCCTCCACTTTATCATCACCGCTTTGCCCGAACACGCCGAAACTATAAGATGGCTCTAATTCTTTCGGAGAGTCGCCGCCGATTTTCTTCTCGCGTTCGGGACTGCGCGTGAGATTGTGGAAAACTTCGATTTCATTGTGCACAGGCGACGGCGACAAAGAATTCATCCTACTTTGTTTCAAAACTCGGGCCTTGGGGAGTGCGAGTTTGGTTGGTTTATCATCAAACGACGGGTCTTTGACCGGCTTCATTTTGGCGACCTCTGTCGCATTGTGCGTAAAATTTACTAAAAAAAAGAAATAAGGTGACAGTTTCTTAATAATTTTTTGGCTAATATTCGACTTAATCAAAACGCATAGTTTATCAACGCAAAGCTACTTAGAAACTCGACCTCATTTATATCGAATAATTCTTTTCAAGGGCCTCTCCACAAAACCCCATTCCCTATTTTTGGGGCTATTATTAATCAAAACCGACCAACAACCGCCTCTGCATTGTGTCCTTTAGACCGTGTTAATCAGATACAGAAACATTTACATTTAGATTTGTTTTGTGCGACGGCCACCAATTTTCTTTCGCGAACGGTTAGGAAGTGAAAGGAAATCGTTTGTCAGTCATAGTATAAAATGTCGGTCACTTATAAATCATTTGAAAAAAATTATAATAAAAGTTTTTAATTTTATTTATTATTTATTAATTTTTAATGGAAATGAGGTTTACATGAAATATAGGAAACCTCGGGAATTCAGACGGGGCATGCTCAAAATTGTTTTTTTACAAAATTTTAAAATACTTGATATAATTTAGTTAAAATGTAATATGATGTCCACTAGCAGCGACCCCTTAAAATAGTATTCTTGAAATATATCTAGCATATTTAGTGTGTTTGTAATATTAGTACACTAGTAGTGACGCTTTTAAATAGTATTCTTGAAATATATTGAGCATGTTTATCAAGTGTGGGTTAAGGTACAAACTTAACCGCATAATTTTATAACACCCTGCATGATAAAGACCTAAAAAAATGATTTTCATTTAGTGGAAAAAGGTATTGTTAATATCTATAAAACGAACTACTATACTACTATAAGGTTGTTCGGAAAGTCATTTCGTTTTTTCCCGTCAGAGGACTTAATTACGTTTTTTCGAAACCAACTTCACACTTAAGCCGCATAACCATTATATGTCTTGAGAGCTGATATTGCAAGGCTTGTGTGTGAAAAAGTTCTATTAATTCTACGCAGTAGTTTTTGGTTGGTGCCCTTTTAAATATGGAGAGCAATAAGCAGCATTTTCGTCATATTTTACTTTTTTACTTCAGAAAAGGTAAAAATGCTGTCCAAGCGAGAAAAAAATTGACGGATGTGTATGGAGAAGGCGTGTTAACAGTACGCCAGTGCCAGAACTGGTTTGCAAAATTTCGATCCGGCAATTTTGATGTCGAAGATGCACCACGGTCTGGAAAGCCGGTCGAAGCTGACAAAGATGCGATAAAGGCATTAGTTGATGCAAATCGGCGAATAACCACACGAGAGATCGGTGAGAGATTAAATTTGTCGAATTCGACTGTTTATGGCCATTTGAAAGGCATGGGCTTAACCTCGAAGCTCGATGTGTGGGTGCCCCATGTCCTTACGGAGCGAAATTTGTGTCGTCGCGTTGACGTGTGTGATTCGCTCCTCAAACGTCAAGAAAATGATCCATTTTTGAAGCGGATTATTACTGGGGACGAAAAATGCGTTGTATACACCAATGTTAAACGCAAGATGTCATGGAGCAGAAAAGATGAACCGGCTCAAAACGTGTCAAAAGCCAACATTCACCAAAAAAAGGTGATGCTCTCCGTTTGGTGGGATGTAAAAGGAATCGTTTTTTTTTTGAGCTGATTAATTCAGAAGTCTATTGTCATCAACTGGACAAATTGAATGTATCACTTAAAGAGAAGAGGCCCGAATTAATCAACAGAAAGGGTGTAGTGTTCCACCAGGATAATGCGAGACCTCACACAAGTTTAGTCACTCGCCAAAAACTTTTACAGCTTGAATGGGACGTACTGCAACATCCACCATATTCTCCAGATCTGGCGCCTTCCGACTACTATTTGTTCCGGTCCCTGCAAAATTTTTTGGATGGCAAAACCTTTACCTCAAATGAAGATGTCAAAAACCACCTGAACCAGTTTGTTGCCAGCAAGGACCAAAACTTTTATGAGAGGGGAATTATGTTACTGCCAGAAAGATGGCAAAAGGTGTTGGACCAGAATGGCCAATATATAATTTAATGAAATATTTATTCATTATACGAAAACCGTCTATCATGTTCCCCAAAAAAAAACGAAATGACTTTCCGAACAACCCAATATAAAACGACGAATTACTGTGTTTCATTTTAAATAAGTTATTGAAAATATTTTTCTTTAAACACATTTAAAAAATTAACATTGACATAAAACTTTGTATAAAATTTCATTAAAATCAGCTACGAAAAAAAAAATTCTCTCCCATAGAGTCGAGTTTATTTCTAATACTATAGTTTATTTTGTTATTTAACTTTTCATATGAATTCAAGTTATTACCAGCTGTACTGTGAACAATAAAATTTCATACTCTTAGCAACTTGATTTTAACTAAGAACTATAATAAAAAAACTTTTTGAAGAATAATGATCGTTCTTGTATTCTAGCGTATGCTACTACATGAAACAATTCGTTTTCTTAGCCTTTTTAATAATACTTACGATTGATTGTTACTTATTTAACTTTTAAAACGCATCTTTTTGATAACTAAACCCTTATTGCATTTCTAACAATTTCAACCTTCCAATTGATAACTCCAAATTTATTCGCCATATTTTAGAAGTTTTCTCTTTTATGCTCAATTCGTCTATTGTTCACCTAACATTGTTTGCTTTCAGCACTTTCGACTCACCTCTAATTTCGGTATTTTCTGTCTCCTTCAGCGCGCGTTTCCTTCTAGGTATCCGAGAAGGGCTCGCGCCAGTTCTGCCGACTAAATTCGGAGTCGATTTGTGCAATTTCGCGCGTGCCTTCGACGCTATTTCCTTTGTAGGGGTTGACGGAAGTGAGACTACCCTTACCGGTATCAAACTCCTTCGGGTTCGAACGGAGACGGCGTCCGTGACCGTGATTTTTATTGACGAAACGTCGTCATCCGCCGGATTGCTGCTGTCGCTTTCCGGAGTCCGCATTTTGACCGATTCGCCGCCGAACCTAACTTTTCTGGGACTCTTTCGGCACTCCTCGTAGAAATCACTCTCGCTGTCCGTCTCCAGCACCTTGATGACGCCGATTTTCCTAGAAAGATTTTTTTATTCACCCAAATCGTTACACTTTTAAAACAGGTATCTTTAGGTTTTCGTTTATAAAGAAACCCAACAAACCCTAAATGGTGATTGAATATAATTGCTAATAATCGCTTCATTTCATTTTTCTTTACGCGGTCTTGTGAAAATACAAACTCGAGTTAAGTAGTTAGCAGTAAGTAATGTAGTAAAATAAACAAATGAGTGACCTATTCGTTATTCGTATATTATTTCGTTCTTAGCAATGTTGCTAGCAGACCAATTTCTGGTAGGATCATAGAAACCACGTTGAATATAAAACATGCTTAGCTGCCATTATTCTATATGGTCATTTGATGATCGATATGGAGACATTCAAGGCACCTTTTATTATTATAAATTAGATTCATTCATTTAACAAGCAGTGTCACTCAAGTCAGTTGATAGAGTCAATGCCGCGCAGTTGCCAGCAGGTAATTCTCAATAATCTATATTCTATAAATTATTAAGGCATAATTTTAATTATTATGATTGTACTAAAATGTCTGTTTAATGTTTTTTTTTTAAATAGAAAACAATACAATACTGTTAAATACAACTTTTTGAAATAAAATAAAATAAAACACTGTTAAATACAATTTGTTGCTTTACTTTTGTCGCCTTCTTTTTCGTCAAATTTTATATTAATTATTATTTAGCTTTCACCAACTAACTTCTGGTACACCCAAAATGTTGTGAAAAATGGCTTGCTACGCAAGGAAAGTATTTTATCATAACTAGCAAAAAATATGAACCAAATTTTTTTTTATTTAAAAATTACTAAAAAAATATATTTGTTGCTCTACTTTTGTCCGATAGGCTATACCAGAGACACAGAAGCACTGTCTAATACATACACTTATGAAGCAACTATGAAAAAAATGTTGAGAATGAAGTTGTGGCATTCAACAACCAACTTGGCCGTTGACAAATCGTCAATAAGTTAGAATGCAGCTTTTTTACGCCATTATTTTCTCAAAATATACCTAGATCTCGTTAGATGTTTTGGGGAAACGAGTTAATTGCATGGCTCAAATTGAAGATTACTGGGTGAAATGTAGAGGCATGCTCAAAAAATTATTCCTTCTCTACGAAAATATCAATTTTCTTTTATAAAACAAATTAAATACCTCGAATCCTCTTCGCTTTCAAATGTCCTGCTGATGCCGCTGCCGGGCCGGCTTTCCTCGTGGATTTTCATCGTAATGTTCGGTCCGCTTCTCAGCGTAATTTCCGTTTCCAATATGACCTTGTCTTCGATGATTTCGCTCGAGTCCCAAAGACTCTTTTCTTCACCACTTTCATCCCCGCTGTATACCACCGGAAGCGTATACATCTCGCACATGTTTCGCCCGATACGGCTTCGTTTCGTTTAATCTGAATGAGATTTTACCTCTACGTTAAAAAAGCTTTTATGGAAATATGGCTTAAAGAACAGGGAAAATGGAATATTCGAGTCAAAACCAACACTGTTTTTAGAAAAATTGAATAAATACTAAAGTGGTCAAAACAAGATTTATTAAGTTATTAATTAAGAAAACATTTCGTTTAGGAAACCGTTTATACTTTTTATGGAACTAAAATGTGTACATATTGTGAAATCTTCGAAAACATAGAAAAATACGAGCAAAATACTTAAATATATTGAAATAAACAGTACCCGCGCAAAATGTTGGGACATCCCTTTTATTCTTTCATTTTATTATACTTTTGTTTTATTATGTCTGATTTTTTAAATAAAAAATATCTCAAAATGTCAAAATGACAGCAGGGCGCCATTTTAAAAACTTTTTAAATGGTAAAATGATAAGAGGGGGGTCATGTGATACCTCTTTTTAAAGGACATTCCACGTTCTATTCTCATACCAATCTTGAAAGCATTTGATTCGTCAGTTTTTGCAAAACTGGCAAATGAATGGTTGCAAATGTTTTATAAATATAATATAATAATTAATTATAATTATTATTTATATTAAATTAAATTGTCATTAAAAATGCATTTATTTATTTTTTTGTCTTGCAAAATCAATCAATCGAATCAAATGACGTTTAAAAATTAAATAAATGCAATTTGAGAAACAATTTAATTTAATACAAATAATAATGATAACTGTGAGGTTGTATGTGGATACAGAATTAGAGAATGAATGAAGAAAAGTAATAAAACATTTGCAACCATTCATCTGACTGTTTTGCAAAATCTGACGAATCAAATGTTTTCAACATTGGTATGCAAATAGAACGTGAAAAGTCCTTTAAAATAAGTTTCACATTTTGACATTTTGAGATATTGTTTGTCAAAAATTAAACATTTTATTTACGCATGTCAACCTCAAACTTCACCGTGCTACATACAAGGGCTCAAAAAATAAAAAGGATATAGCAAATAGCAAGTATATGTTTAATTAGTTTCTTCAATTAATACTCATTTTAAAATGAAAAAAAAAACATGTATTTGGTTGTTTTTGTTTTGTTTTCTCTTTTATAAAGTATCACTTTTTAACAATTTATAGCATATATTAACATGCTTTTTCACAAAATTTCTTAGTTTCACTTCCAGTTTTTGCTTACGATGTTGCCAAATCGAACGCCCTATATCTTTAAAATCAAACAAAAATAAAATCAATGAAATCCTACACAAACTTAGCGAAAACATTCGGGGAAATAATTGTTAAGGCGTAATAATAATTGCATAGGATCTCATTCGATCGCAGGTGCGTGATTTTAAATCGCGTGCCAAAATCCGAACGAGGCGGGAGATCGATAAAAGTCGGCGTAAGATTTTTCCCAGATTTTCTTTCCATTCGCTCTAATATACCCGGTTGAAAATTACCGTCTAAATATTACGTTTTACCAATCGCAGTGCGCGGTGGCGAGATAAATTTTTTTATCGTCTGAATTTACCAAAACTGTTTCGTAAGGGTTGATTTATCAAATTTTAGAATTCGTAATTAGTATCCGACAAATTCGAAAAAAATCTTTTTTATATACGAGTGCGAATCAATAAATTGAAACCATATGTTTTCGAGATATCAATTGAGTTTCAATCAATCGCGAGGGTCAATAAATCTTTATGACGAAAAATTGTGTGTGAGCTGCTGCAAAAAGCACTAATCTTCATATATTTTCCTCTAATCATTTTCTTCAATATTCACGAATATCAATTAAGGATCTTAAATATTGCCCCATCTTCTTTTTAATAGAGAAATTCTTTTCAATCGCAACAACGCTTTTGGCGAAAATTGCAGCTTTTCTTTTAAAAATCCCGTCTGCTACACAAATTAAAATATTAGAGGGATTCAAAAATAAAAATGTTAAGAAAACACACACGTGAGCTTCATAATTTATAGACAAATAAAAATCCATCACTGGTTCAGGGTGATTTATTTTTGGATCAAGCAGTAGTTTTTGATTTAACGGCTATATTACTCACATGGGGGATGAGGTTCTCGGTAAATCGAAATCCAATGCAAAATAAAAAAGCTAAAGTCGTATTTAAAATATTTTTTTTTTTTAACAAGACGGAACAAAATTAAAAACCATTTTAAGAGGAACGACTTACGTTATTCACGAAAATTTTAAAAGAAGGTAGCCGTATAAAAAGCGAAGTTGCCGGTTTCCCGGAATTCAAAACAAATCACCTTTCGAACTTTCCGGGAAAACGAAACTTTGGCGTGTTTCACAACTAGTTACCGGAAACTTCCATTATTCGTACGGAAGAGTTTTAATTTGGAAGTTGTCGAGTTGTGAGTGTATGTTTTGATTAGAAAGTGAGCCGGGTACCGAACGAATGAGCGCTTCACGTGTAAACCTCCCGGCAAACACTGAACAACATTCGAAGAATGATTTACCCGAACCGACGCCTGAAACCGGAGTGACGCCGCCACAGTGCCGGAGTGCCGGGTTTTACCCGCTACGAAATAGCCACTTTCACGCTTTAGCCAGATGACATCTGACAGCGGTAATGTCATTTGACGTCGCAGCCAACCTTGATTTCGACCACTGTTTGAAAATACTTCGAACTGTTATTGACAAACTGCCATTGACTACCATTCTTTTGATTAACGGCCCCTCGAGTATTTCATATAAACAAACCCGCACTTTGTTCCATTTTCTTTCTAAGCAGCGATTAACGCGCACTGAACTCGTTCTTTTTCTAAAAGTTTTTTTAAATCCTGGCCATATTTTGAAAGAAAAATGCCCCATCCAAACTGAAAACTGCCCAACTGACGAACTGTCAGCCGTCATGTTGATTAACGCCGAAAGCTCTTATTAACCAATCAGCCGGAGAAAAAATTTAGAATATCAGATTTTGTTGGTTCCAAGAAAGATTTGAAAAAATAAAAGTTTTTTTATGGTAGGGTGTTTATTTTTGCTATTCTGAAAAAAGGAGTAAATTGAAATATATTTCAAAATGAATCATTTCTTACATAATAATAATAATAATATTAATTATAATAATAATAATAATCTACTAAAAAGAAAACCACTCACCAAACAGGCTACTGTAATATAAATGGTAAAAATCGTCCTTATTGTAAAAAATAAATGTTTTTATCCATTTTCGTAATTAAGTAAGTACAAATTGTTTAAAAAATATACTGGTACCTTCTTGATTGATTTAGCAGCTTTATATGAAAAATATCTTTAAAATAGTGGTGAGGTAAAAATAGGAACTGTTTTTCTGTTGTATTAGATTCAGCTCTCTAAATGATACAAGTGTTTTAGACAAGTATGACACGCGTACATTGAATTTTTACACTTATTTGAACTTTTTGAAAACATAAGTTTTGATTCTTTTTAAATTTTATATAGCAAAAGTGAAGAAAGACGTTTTATTAATATTTCCTGTTGACATTCGGTTGTCTGGCAATTTGGTAAATATTGAACAAAGGCGCGATCTTTTTTAGAATAATGTTATGATAATCTCTCAATATTAGAAAACTTTGAAACATATTTCGCAAGAATACCCCATATAGTTAAAATAAGGTAATTTTATTAGTCAATTTTCTAATGACATCTGGAGATCATTTTTGACAGGTTTATCTCCTAGTCCTCTCAGTTAAAAATGTCTTTCGAAAGCTTAACAAGTGCAAAAATGAAGGAAACATCATTTGATAGTCCTGGTGAGTATGTCCTACCCTAGAAGTAGATATATGTAGCTACTATAACCATCTTCAAAGACATGTACCCTTAACGTCAATATTCAAAGAGTTAGAAATTCTATACGGTAATAATTAGAGATAATGTACACTCGATCGCAATGGATCTGATCAGGACTAAGTTTTAATTTTCTCGCAAATAGGTCATTCGGTCTGTGTGACATATTTCCAAATGAAATCCATCGATAACGTTCGGGACTAAATAAATTTCAGTCACGAATGCACGTCCAATATTTTTGGTGGGCACGCGATATATGAAAGTCGGGGTTAACGGAAACCCACATAACTTCCAGTCGGTGTTCGGAAAGTTCCGAAGAAAACTATGAGCGGTACATCGGAAAAAATTACCTTCGACGGTACAGAACATTCTTTTTTATCAATTTTAACGTTGCTTTTGTTTCGGAAGTTGTCGCATTTTTTGTTTTGTAAAGTTGAAATATGGAAATTAATAGATATCCACGAAGTGAATCATTGTTTCCACTGAAAATGGAAATAGGAAAATTTAAGTCCTGTCGGATCTGGATTGGCTCAATTTTACAGGATCAGTTTGAATTATTTTCGTGAAAATTCAACAGGACTTTTAAAAAATCGTGATATGATAAAATTTACCTTATATATGACGTGCCTATTTTTCGTAAGTGATTATATTTTACAAACAATTAAAATGTTGAGCAAAAGAAAACAACAATAATAATTTATTATACGTAATTTAGGTCAGTTAGCAATTTTATACGAAAATGGCAACTATTATGTAACGATTTACGTTATTTGTTGAGTATATATTTTTAAAAAAAAATTGATAGAATCGACAGATATCTAGGAAAGATAGATTAATAGATATAAAAAATTTTGTACTGGGTTTCGGAAATGGGGTAAATTTATCATTTGGGTGAAATATTCTTATTTATACTCATGTAGATTAAACTAATTTAATTTATGAGTGAATATAATAATTTAAGATTTATTTTCTTTTGTAATTTCAATTCTAATGTAATTGCAGATTTCCATTACGTTATCGAGGTTGCGTCTGGCCAAAATATTTGTTTCGGTTCGACGGTGCCTCGAAGTACCGCCCCCATCGGTAGCGGTCTGTCGCCGTTTCAAAAAATAATCGCCCCCGAATGGTTCAAAACCAGTCCCGGCTATTACGACATCGAAAAATATACGTCCTGTTTGTACCCCGTGTTATTTAAGGTAAAAATTTTACATTAGTTCGTCTGCCAATGACAAAATGGCCAAACATCCCCTTCTACCAAAGGACTATGAATTTGTTCCCCCTAATTTTTTCCCAGTGAAATTAAACTAACTACATGTTTAATGACAAAAACAAATCTTTAAACCTGGGTGTCGTCTGAGATGTTACAACTTGACCGTATGTACAGACTCGGTCTCATAGCTATCTTTAAATCTGATGACAGCTGAATGAAAATATTTTCGAAAATTCTTATTAACTGTGACTACTATTTCATTTAGATAAGAAGTAAAAAGGGGGTTGGCCCATTGGCCAGCGAAACGAGACGCTTTGAAGAAAAAATATCGCTACGAACTCCGTCCCCAGGACGATACGACGTCATCCGCGAGAGGCCTTGTGAAGAATCTAGGGCACCTTTTGGAACGAGGAGCAGAATAAAATTTCAACCCAACAAGAACCCTGGGTATGAGCGAGACCGACATTACAACATCAAAATATTAATCATCCTATATACTGAGCATACTGATTTTGGGGTTCAAGTAAACTTATTTCTATAGTTTGAACCTTCCCACTTTTATAACACTTATTTTGTATTCCTTGTTGAAATGTTGACGTTCCAATATCAAGGATTTTTTATCGGAAACTAATTCGATTCTGTAGGCCGGCGACATATGATACGCGGCAAACGAAAAAATGCCGGAAGCTGAAGAAAGCCACGGGCATCGAAACGATATGCGTGCAAACGCCGTTCCATACTTGCGAAAAATGCGAAAAACTTTGCGAAGGAGACTACTGGCAGATGGACTACTCCACTTTTCTGTGCCACCTTTGTTGGGAAGAAGAAAAGCACCTCCAGGAAATGCATAATGTCAAAACGTTGAAACGTTTCAAGGCAAGTACACTAGCTTTGACGGTTTTAACGGTCGTAAGAGATTTTTTATTGGTGTGCAAGCTTTAAACTGTGTGATATGCCAAAAAGATTTGAGTGTCGTCTACGTCCACTGCTTGACAAACCTAACCTTTCTTCAAAGAAAGGCACTAGAATATAACGTCCTGTTCGGTGATTTGAAATCGCCTTTTCAGCCAATAAGACCTTGCCGCGTTCAACATCCAACATGGCTGCCGAAGTTCGTCAATTAGACCGGTTTTATTTTAGATGTTATATTTTCTCAAAATAAGCCCGTTGAATGTTCTGCCAAAACGAATTAAGTGTCCTTTAGGATTGCAGCTTCATATAATATATGGCCGTTCTACGGTAAAAGTTGATGCGCCGCGTTCAGTATTTATATTTTAATGGTAGTATTTATATATAGAGTTTTCCCAACAATATACCGTTTTTGACGACATAATCCGGTATTTAACTTTGGTAGATTTTTATGAAGGTCTAACCGCAGGCCTACCTCGCGTGGGTCTCTTTAGATTCGCAATTACACAACCACTAAAAAGGTGTCGAACTTCCATTGTCTTTATTTTATTTTATTTTTTTTTAACTTACACAACGCTTCGGACAGTTGTGTAAGTTAAAAAAAAAAATAAAGACAATGGAAGTTCGACATCTTTTTAGTATTTCTACTGAATCAGTGTCTACCACATTCAAGTCCACAACGACGTTCTAGAACCGTACTGCGGTACTTCGTGCATACAAGTGCTGCAAGTTCTTTCACATTTAAAATTATAATTTTGGCAGCAACCGGCAAATATGTCGCCGAGTCTTTGATCCATTTGAATTTGACGCATTCAACGGTAATTACGTCATCGGCCACAATCTCAACTTCTTCGTCGCTGCACTTCGCAAGTGACTAACAAAATTGAATGTTAGTATTTGGTAAAAAATAAATTGTAATAAAATGTATATGGTACTTCAATAAAAATGGGACACTGAGTCTTGAAAAACAATTGAATAAGAGTAAGTTGGTAATTACTAATTGCAAACAAGACGTTTCATAAAACTGACAGCATATTCCGATTTCACCAACCCCCCACAAATCAACCAATAGCAATCTGGTAAAACATCCATTAAAAATCAATTATCTATATAAGATTTTGTATTGCTAGGAAAATATTTTAGAGTGATGATGTCAACCCCTTAAATTGTAAATCAGTTTAAGCTTTCTAATGTGACTTTTAATATAAGAGATCAACCTACCTAATGAGCAAATTCAACTTGAAATCGAGCGACCTCAAGTAGAAAGATTCATAAAAACACATTAAGAAAATTTCCCTACTCTTAAAATACAACAGTCCGCATGGTACAGTTCTTGTCGGTTAAGATCTTAAATACGACCCTGGCTTGTGATACAAGTGCAGGTGGGTCTTAAACTCAATCCGAAGTCAAAACACTAAAAGGTTGCAAAAACGGTATATCGTTGGCGAACTTTACCTATATGGTACAGACGCAGGTCGAGGTTAGGTTCATACACGTTTTCGTAATTTTATTACGTATCACGGAAGCTGGGCAGTTGTAAAAAAACGGCTATACAATTTCTTAATTCGTAAACGTCAAAATATGAATTATTAATTATAAAATATACAATTTGCTCAAAAAATAAACTCAACAAAAAATTGTCAACAATTAAGAAATTGGGTAAACGTGTTTTTTACGATCCAGAATTAAGAATACGAACGACGAAATTTAACTATATATGGTTAGTTAGGCACAAATTCCTCAGAATTCTCGTCTTATTAATGCTTTGTTGTTGCATTTTATTGAAAATTTTGTTTTTCCTCTTTGACGTTCCGTTTGGTCATTGCAGAAAATACGAAACTGCTCTTTCATGCACAGCCACGAAGGTACGACAGCCGCAATCCGGACCCTACCCCCCAAGAAGGTCAAACAGAAATTACGCCTGGAAAAGTATTTAGACTTATATATTCAGTGTTAAAAATTACAACAATCGTCGCGATCAAAAAAGACAATAAAACAGGCTTGAGGCGTCAATCCTCGTCGCCGTTTCCCCTTCCGTCCGGATTCGCCCTGCAATCGGAAAAACCGGTGGCGACGCTCGTGACGCTTCCCGAAACTTTCGCCGTGTCCAAACTGTCGCTGGTCTGCGACGCGGTCGACGACGCGGCATCGCTGTAAATCTGCTGAAACAAGGACGGATCGAAATTCGATCCGGCAGTAATGTTGGGCCTCGAGTCATGATCGAGACCCTTCAAAACGTTCTCGGCCGAACACCCGGACACGTATCGATCCGAGAACGCCCGACTCGTCTCGGCCGAGATCAAAGTGAGCTTCTCCAGTAAGACGTCGATCCGCTGCTTGCCTTCGCGCAGGCGCGCGTCGCTGGGCGGGGAACTCGACCCGCCGCCGCCGCCGCCGGTTCGATGGATCGGATCGCTCGAGTCGGACGACAGGGATAGTATATGGAAATCCGCGTCGTCCTTTTTATAAGCCCCTTTGCGGGCTTCGTCGTCGAAATTGACCAAATCGAAATCCTCCTCGACGCACAGCGTGTTGATGTCGTTTTCGAACTGTTCCGCGACCACGTCGTCGTTCGAGTCTTCCGGGTTTTCGCTCACGACTTCCGACAGTCGCAGACGAAGCCTCTGAGTGATCTCGTCCAGTTCGATGAATTTGCGTTTCAACGCCCGGCTCAGCGGCTCGTTCTCGCGATCGACGGCGTCGCCGATTTCCGTCGCCTTTGCAATCGATACGGAACCGATAGCGCCGTTGCCAAATTTCGATAAATTCTCTAACGGAGTCACGTGCACCTGGGAAATTTAACGTCAGGACGGGCAGTTATAGGATTAAAACCAACTGACGTTTAGCTGTCCGTTGCATTTTGCGGAAAAATCCATTATGTTGAACCAGCCGCGGACGTTCGGCAGTCCCGCGAGCAGGACGCTCAAGTCGAGGGCCGCGAAACCGACTACCACGTCCGTCTGCATGTTGGGCTGCAGCACGACGTTGCTGCTTTTTTTCCAAACTTTAAAAATCAACTTCGTTTGATCCTAACGAAAGGAAACATAAAGAAATCATAAGTTAAAAACAATTTCTTTAACATCAACCCCATTCAAATAAAATAGGACCTAATCGAATTTTGATTTTTGTTGCAATGGTTTCAATAGTCGAAATATTTTTTTCTACTCCCTTCTGTAAAATACCTAATTATGCACCGATCTAGAATCCGCAAAGCGACACTTTGTCACGTGCGTTTCAGACATTTCCGGGATATTACCGCACGGGTTTAGGAGCAATCGGATGTTTTCGTTGATTTTACCACACGGTTTGAATTTTGACGTTTGTCAATTCTGTCAGTGAATGTATTCGTGTTGTTTTGCAAAAATGTCATGGGAAACGTATAATATGCAACACGATCGGTACACTTATTCCAGGAGTCCTGGACCTTTTTTCAAAATGATAAGCAACAAGCTAATTCTTTGGAAATCGTTTCATTTCATCAAGACGCCCCACCCTTTCCTCTACGAAAATTTAGTTATCATACCAAAATGATTAGCAACAATTTAGTTTTTAATTAAATATACAGATATTGAAATATATAATTTGAAATTCAATTTGGCCTACGAACAAATAGGTTTGGTATAGGGTGGCCACCGCCTCACAGTTGTATCTATTATTTATTTATAAAAAGTGACGAGCAACATGCTAATTTTTTTACTGTAGCTTGCTAATAATTTTTATAAACAAATGATCACATTGTCCTACAAATAAACTGGTAGGATTTTTCAGCCCTACACTTTAAAGTTCTTGCACAAAACTATTTTTAAAAACCATCCGCAACCGCCTAGATTTTTGTGAGTGGACTCGTTTTAATAAGACGCCCAGCTATTATTTTGAGAAAAGTTGCAAAAGAGATAGCTGAAAGAATGAACAGGTATCAAATCATGTCAAATTGATTATTATGTAAAAGTGATCAGCAACAGCTTATTTTTTAACCAAGTTTTGAGATAATCAGATAAATAATCTAAACCAACATTTGTCCTACAAATAAAATGGTAGGTTTTTTCAGTCCTACACTGGAAAATTTCGAAAATTGCCCCTAACTTAAACGTGGCTACATGTCCATACGTGTATATTCGAATATACGTGTATATATATACATACACACACTTATATCAAATCGGCGGTATATATTCGCATCAACGCGCATGCGCGTAATATACCAACGTAGTATCCAGCACACGCATACAACATAAATTGTGCATTAAAAAATTTTGTTTACTTGGCTTGTCAACACGTGTTAATTAATTTTCTTTTATAACATTTAATTGTGAAAGTGATCATGGAGTGTTTTCTTTGTAATATACTCCGTGAAAAAAGAGAGACGATAAAAATATGAAAAAAAAAAGTTGATTTATTAAATTATAAATAATAATGAAACAACTTAATTGAACTCATTTGTATAAAACAGCATCATAGGAATATTGTACGAATATTTTAAGAACAAAAAAAAGTTAATCCGTAATTTAGATGTTAAGCAGGAATAATGCTATTTTTTGTCGGACTAGCGAAATCTACCTATTTTTATGTAGGACATTAATTGATTTAGATAGAAAATGTCATAAAGTTTCATTTAATTTTGTTGTCCTACAGTTGCTGATGAATAACGTATTATCGTGAGGTCAAGAACTTTAAAGTGTAGGACTGAAAAATTCTACGAGTTTATTTGTAGGACAATGTGATCATTTGTTTATAAAAATTATTAGCAAGCTACAGTAAAAAAAATTAGCATGTTGCTCATCACTTTTTATAAATAAATAATAGATACAACTGTGAGGGGGTGGCCACTCTATACCAAACCTATTTGTTTGTAGGCCAAATTTAATTTAAAATTATATATTTCAATATCTATAGATTTAGCTGAAAACTATACTGTTGCTGATGATTTTGGTAGGGTAACTAAATTGACATGGTTTTATACCTGCGTGTATAGTTAGCTACCTGATACAACAATTTTCGAAGAGGAAAAGGTTGGGCGTCTTGATGAAATGAAACGATTTCCAAAGAATTAGCTTGTTGCTTATCATTTTGAAAAACGGTCCAGGGCTCCCGGACTATGAGTCACTCGCTCCGCTGCACTTTGCTCGTGCCAAATAAACTCGTAACACGAATGCCGTTTACCGCACTTGTTGCATAATATATCATTAATGAACATTAAAAACATGTGACTGCCAACCTCCGATTACAAAAATTGTGACGCTATTGGAGAGGAAATAGTACCTATGGTAGCTATTAATTTTTAAATATTTTGGAAAAACGTTTCATATTTTCTTTCTTCCGAATTATTTTGATATGCAGACACCACTGTTGAGAAACAGGGTACAAACTTGTACATTGTTTTTTTGGACAACAACACTAAAATTCGGGCGATTGAAAATAAGAACCTCATTTTTAATAGTTTACTGTTTAATTGTAAACAAAATACTATTGAAGCTTGTCAGTTCAATTTTCAACATAGGCATTGGAATTATATAATTTTAAACCATGGAATTCCCTACAAGAGCTGCTGCCGCTTTTGTTGTTATTAATAATAATATTGTAAGGAAGAAAAATAAGAAAAGTGCGTTGGTTGGTGAAAGTCAACAAAAAGAATCATTTTTTCTTCAATATAACGTATCTCCATATCTTCACGTATTTATTTTTTTTAGGTAGAATATATCGAAACACTCAGTAGGTTGCATAGTGCATTTCTTTCTAACACCTTTGTCTTATGGACACAGTGACTGTGGATTGATTGTTCCTTTTTTGTCTTTTACTGTTACTGATCATATTGTATTGTTTTCAAAAAAAAAAAAAAAACAGACGCCTGTGTTCATTTCATAGTTTGCAAAACACATCAAGTCTGTATGCACTTATCAACTTATGAATGACATATGTAATTTGTTGTGTAATTAACTTTTTAATTTTCTATATCAACCACAGTCTTATAATTTTGTAAAGAGGCCCTGATGAAGGTTAAATATATGATGAAACATTGCCGAAAAATCAGATGTTTAATTTATTGACCTAGAACAGATCAAACAATGGGGGGACAATCAATATTACTTACGTTTGTCAGTAATTCGGCTGGCAAATCAACGTCGCATTCATAATTCCACATGGGGGCCACACTTTTGGTAATTACGGGAGTAATGTGCAAAGTTGCAGATGGTAGGGCCTCGAAAGTGACGTAAGTACTTGGCAAGCTGTTGTCATCCATTTTAAAAGTTTTGTGTTTTGATTTTTTGGGTTTGCACCTTCTCCTGCTAGGTAACTGATTTGCTCCTATAATGTGAACTCTGGCCTTGAAATAATTCGACGCGAACTTTACTTCTGGAAGATTTACATCAACTTCTAAAGTGTTTTGTAATGAATTTGGAAATTGGTTTTTTTTTAGCACATTTTCTGCAGTATTAGATTCCTGTCGCATAGTCTCTGTGTTTGTGCCACTTTCCATACAAGTAGGCTTCCTTTTCTGTTCTAGGAGACTTACAAATGAAGCCAACATGTCTTGAGTTGTTGAAACTTGATTTTTCTGGCCATCCATTTTTACTTCAATGTCTGATTGGATACCAATATCGCATTTATTAAATTTATGGTTATCTCTTAGCCCTATGGTGTTGACTGCTTTAGTCACTGTACTCTTATCTCTGTTTGATGATCGACATGTGTTTGTTGATTTATCCTGCAGCTTCTTTTTAACTATGACTTTGTCCCTAAAATAATTCTTCCCATTGGACAAGTTCGCTCGTGGCAAAGATGCAAATCTTGCTTTTACAATGTCTTCTTTAAAACCTCTTTCAGTTTCCAAGTTTTCAATCTGCTCTTCTGTACCTAAAGCTATCAGGATTTGAACTTGGCCTATAAATTCTTCATTATCTATAGAATATATGGGTTCCCACCAATCTGTTCCAATAACAGGTAGCTGAAACAAAACGTTGTGAAAGCGAATTTGAATAAGGATTCTCAGAAGAGGTTTTAATTAGCTCTTATACCTTTCCTCAACAAACCTGGAAAATATAATCCAATGCCTCATGTAGCAGATTATGTTGGCCACATCCTCAAAGGCATTTTGTACATGAGCAGCGAATCCTCGAGGTAGTCTTCTTCCCTGCCTTATTTCTTCCAATTTTACTTTCTCCAACACAAATTGAAATATAGGTAGCAAAAAGAAATAAAAACTATTTACTATTTTAAGTGAAGACCACAGGACATGAACTGGCCAGTTATGGAACAATGAAGAAAATTTGTGCTTCGGTTGCGTTCAACTTAGCTATGGTTAACCCATAAGGATAATATGACATGACTAGCCAATATATCATCTCTGGTTATTATAGACCGGGTTTTTAATAACAAAGGTAGCAATGGAATCTATTGATGTTAATAACAAAAAATACATGTATGACCTAACCTAAGAAACGGTTATAAGTTTTAGTTACGATAAACAATTTGTGAAATTTGGGTTTTGCTTGCATTTTGCAGCCAGGAAGCAAGCCTTGCATTCAGTATACATGTATAGTACAAGGACAAGAGCTAATGAAAACCACCCTCAAATAGCAACAGCCTAGTGACAGTATCTTAGGTAAACAATGCAGGAAAATTAAAAAGCTTCAAATCTTACTTTGTTTTTTGTTAAATGCTGCAGAATTGTTCTATTTCGGTAAGCCAAATAAAATTGGTGCAGGGGCACTTTTGTTATACCAAATAGGGCATCTGCGCCTTCAGCTCTCTTCCAGAATTCAAGAACCATAAAATTTTCACGCAGCTGAAGCAACAAATTTTCTTCATATATCAAAGGCACCCTCTAAAATTAGGAATGGAGGGCATTTATGAAGACATAACAGGAATTTGTCAACAACTAACCTGACAAAAATTGTATAGTGGATAGGAGCTATTAACTAATCGACTATTTGAGGACTCATTTTGGCAAAAAGGATGACAGATTATGTAAGAATTAGTAATTTGGTTTAAAAACTGAGCTTCAGATACGTAAACAAAGCCAATAAGCAATTCTTTCTAAAATCATAAATTAATATAGATTTGTTCCAGAATTAGATGTTACCTTAAGATCTATATCTGTTTCATTAAGATCAAAGTAAGTTGATCTCCTTGAAGGTAGGGTAGCTTTTGTTTCAGCATTGTGATCTGATAGAGACTTTTTTCCTTTGCTAGAAGTCTTGAGTTTTTCATTATTATTTATGGGTAAAGGTTTTTTAAAGTCATTCCATTCCCGACATATATCATGTACAGTTTCATAATGCCTATTACTTAAGGTAGCAGCCCCTAAAATACACAAATCTAACAGGAGAGTCTAAATACTTTAGTTACATACCAACAAATTCTTTACCAAAATATAGTCTGTTGCTTCCCAATTGTATTGTAATCTTAAGATGACCAACAATTATGGGAGATACTTCACTGATATAAATTGGAATATTCTTTGTTACAGAAAAATTCTCTCCTTGCTCGATAGTAGAAAAAAAGATTTTGGCAACTCCAAATGGTTCAGAAATTTTCTGCATTTTGCTCCGACAACTTATTTTAAAACACATTTCTAATTTGTGCAAATCTAACTCATGTAAATTCGAAATTTCATGTACAAATACTTGACTTAGTTGAATAACTGAAACAATAGATATTAACTGCAAATTGAGTGCAAAAGGTTCTCTACTAACATTCTCCAACCCTTCTTGAACAGAACCTAACGGAAGTGTTGGTCAATCCAGAATCAACTTTAGATTTTTTTAATTTTTTTGTTAAGATATCTGGTACTTTGTACTCCAGAAAGTAACATTCATTTAAAGCAGAATATTGAAGTTGTTCTTTATTTGAAATTCTTTTGAGCCCAGTTTCATTTAATTGAATACCATGCAAAATTACTTTAAGGGAATCAACAAATTTAAGAATGTTAGTATTGTTACAAGGTTTCATTATTTCCCCTTCATTACGCCGCAAATCACAATTTAAATTGGTATCCATATATGCTAAGCATGTTGTGCAAGTACATATCTTCCCCACATTATGCAGAGTTTTTTGTGTCTGGTTAGACAATTCCAAAACCGGCATTGTCCTTATAGTTTCCATAGCACTGGTTTCTTGTTCTCTTGTTAAATAATCACCATTCAAATATGCTTCTAGCAATTTTGAATCTGCAATTTTATCTGCATGCTTCGGTACACTTAGAGAGCTGTCACGAGGTGTAGTATAATGCTTACGAGAAGTAAGTTCTGCGCTAAAAGGATCATTTTTTAATATTGATTCTACCATAGCGTTCCGTAACTTTTGGCCCTGTTCTAAAATTTTTTCTACCAATTTCCCATCGACCATTTTAAAATTTGAATTCATTTTTACTTATTACGACAACGATACTAAAATACAATTGACATATCTGACAAAACCATGTTCTTTAAACAGATTAAGACAAACCGTTATTCCTTTTATATCTTTAACCCAATAAAGGTTAATTGGTTCTTCTTCTTGACTTTGTTAGGCAGACCACAAAAATCATTCGACCAATCAATCGATTTTTGACAGAAATTCTTCGAGTTACGACCGCCTGTGATTTTATGTCATGGAAAGGAATACGAGAAAAGAACACAACTTATTCTATGGCTCAGTGAAGGACCAACCATAACAAGATTAACTCAAACAATTTTTATAAAAAGCAAGTTAGTTATTTTGTAGTTTTTTTGTATTTATTTAAAAATGTCTTTAACAACAATGACAAAAATTACACAAACCAACACAGCCTGCTCAGCAGCAGTTGTTTTCCTACACGGATCTGGTAAGAAAGGCCGAGCAATCCGTTAATCGGGAAATACTAGTGGTGCCATATGATGCATTTTTAGGTGACTCTGGTCAAGGATTTCTGAATTGGATAAAGTTTCTCATTGGTGACTTTACCTCACCCCATATAAAGTTTTATTTTCCAACTGCTCCATTAAGGCCTTATACACCTTTGAATGGTGAAGTAAGTTGTATTAAATGCCTCAAAGGTCTACAAAATGTCTATAAAGACTATTTGATTTAAGCCTAGTTATGTTTGGTTTGATAGATACATTATAACTCCAGATGTGGCTGAACATGTCGAATCCTTAAGTTCTATAGGAAATGTTATTAAATCCATTATTAATGATATAGTCAAAGAGGGAGTGCCGTTAAACAGAATAATTGTTGGTAAGCAAAAGTCTACGCTGTTTCAATTTGATTAATATTCATTGCAGTATAATTCAAGGTGGATTTTCAATGGGGGGTGCATTAGCTCTACATTCTGCTTTCCGATTTACTCCAGGCTTAGCAGGGGTTTTTGCTTTGTCTTCATTTTTAAATAAAAACTCTACTGTGTATACTGAACTTAAAGCTCCTGAAACACCGCTGTATATGTGTCATGGAGAGAAAGATTCAATGGTTCCAATTTCATGGGGAAAAAAAACATTTGAGGAACTAGAGAAGCTGCATGTTAAAGGTGAATTTGTGCCTATAAGGTTCACTCTCCATGAGTTAAAGAAAAGTGAACTGGAAGGGCTGTTTCAGTGGATTGCCAAGATACTGCCTCCCATAGACTCGGATAACCCATAATGCTGTTGAAAAGTGATATTATGGTGCTATTTTTACATATGTTATGTAGGAGTCATAAATTTATACTACATGTAATGAATACATTTTTTTTATAGAATGGTTTTTTATTATTAAACTCGAGGTATCCAATTATACATTTTCGACAATTCCTCTTGATATGGATATGCCCAAAAACATTTTAAGAATAATTAATTCTTTTGTATTTGGCAAGGGCAGAATTAGAAGATGACAGTCTACCTAACCGCAATAAGTTTTCAATAAAGATATTTGCGTTCTGTGGTTGGGATAGTTTGTTTATATAAAGAAAGGGCAAATCTTTACTTTTATCCCGACAAAACCGCAGCTATTACAAATTTCGTACAATGGGAAGAAAAGTCACTGTGGCTTCTGCAACGTTAAATCAATGGGCATTGGACTTTGAAGGAAATCTTGATAGAATTTTGCAATCAATTCTTGAAGCTAAAGAATTGGGGGCTACTTTTAGGACTGGCCCGGAACTTGAAATATGGTGAGGATAATTAAAAAATATAATTCTGCCGTGCCACTACCGCCGCTTATTAACATTATGTATTAATTTGTAGTGGCTATAGTTGTGAAGATCATTTTTATGAAAGCGACACATACTTACATTCCTGGGAAGTTTTAGCTGAACTGCTAGTTGCTCCTCTTTGTAAAGATATTTTGATTGATGTTGGAATGCCTGTTATGCATAAAAATGTTGCATATAATTGCCGAGTGGTGTTTTTAAATCAAAAGATTTTACTGATTAGACCAAAGAGAATTCTATGTGATGATGGAAATTATAGGGAGAGCAGATGGTTCTCACGTTGGCAAAAGGTTAGGGAGACATCCATAAGTTATTTCACATTATATTTTCATAGAGGTCACATCCTGGGCATTAAAAAGTTAATTTAAAGTTTAAATTTGTTTTTAACAATATTGAATTCCAACATTTTCCAAATAACACAATGTACCATGTTCTTGTTTTTGTTAGGACAGGAGAGTTGATGATTTTTATTTGCCTCGAATGATAACCAGTATAACTGGCCAAAAAACTGTTCCAATTGGGGATGCTGTTATTTCTACTTTAGACACTTGCATAGGTAAGCTTAATTTTTGATAAAAATGAAATTTTCAGAATTCTGTATTAAAATTACCTTGCTTTAATTTACCAGATAATAAGAAGCTGTTTTTATTAGGTTTTGAAATTTGTGAGGAATTGTGGTGTTCGGAGAGTAGTCATATTCCTTTAGCAATGGATGGGGTTGAAATAATTTGCAATGGGTCAGGTAGTCATACCCAATTGAGGAAAAATTATATCCTGGCGGATTTGGTGAAAAGTGCTACAATGAAATGCGGTGGTTGTTACATTTTTAGTAACTTAAGAGGCTGTGATGGAGAGAGAGTGTATTTTGAGGGCACATCGTCCATCACTTTAAATGGCGTAATATTGACTAAAACGAAGCAGTTCTCGCTTGAAGAAGTTGTAAGTACTTTGTACATTGTGAAAAGGTATTCATAGAACTAGATTTTGTTATGCGTGATTTAAACGATGAGTGGTCTTTCTCGATTGTTTTCACAAAACGTTCCAAATTCCGGAATTTTTAGGACGTTATCACCGCGACTATTGATTTGGAAGATATTAGGTGCTACAGAAATAGCAAAAGATCTCAGGCGCATTTAGCGCCTGCAAATGAGTCTTATCCAAGGATTAATGTCGATTACTCGCTATCTCCTGAGCATGATACCAGTCTTCCCACAGCCCAGCCAATTCGAATGGTGTATCTGACCCCTGAGGAAGAAATTTCGCAAGTAACGAATACTTATTAGATAATTTTTTTGTTTCAATTCATCAAGATCAAAGACAGAAATCGTTTACGATTAATTAAATTTTTGCTTTTTCACTGATATCTTCGAACATAATCTGTTTTTTGTTAATTTGTCAAGGGCATATAATTGACTACTAACTATTATATCTTGTGGTTTACAAGATCTCAAATGTAAGGTTCGAATTTGAGGCGCCCTTTAAAACATTGTTTTTGTGTCTCCAAGGGACCTGCCTGTTGGTTATGGGATTATCTGAGACGTTCCGGTCAGGGAGGTTTTTTTTTGCCATTGAGCGGTGGAGTGGACTCCTCAAGTACTGCTCTAATAGTACACTCCATGTGCAGACTTATTATGGAGATTGTTCAAAAGGGTGGAGGTAAGTGCATGCCCCTTTTTTCAGTCTGATATTTTTAATAAATAAAATAAATTTTAACAAGTTTATGCTTCATCAGAAAAGCTTTCTCCATTCGCTCTTAATTTACAATGTATTTTGAAAATATATTATAAAAAATTGTTTCTTGTAAAACGCTGTATATCAAGACAATATAATAAAGAAGGTTCGTTTATTTTTTCAATACATTGGACTGAGGTGTTTTTTATGACAGCTGTTTCGACAAAACCCTGCCTTTATCAAATACAAAATATGAGAATGTTGCGACACCTATATATGTAAACAGGTAGTAATATATTTTTAATTACCGGTGTAGGATTATAAATTTAAATTTAACAAGGGAGACTCATTTAAGTCCAATTGGTCATTAAGTAATAAAAAATTTTGTTTTTTGCTTTTTGATTGATATGTAAAATATCAAAATTATCGTCAAATTTGTGCATTTCTGAATTTAAATAGTTAAAATCCGAACTTTTATTTTTATATGCCCTTTTATGTTCGTTAATGCATTTCTTAAATGTTCTACCTCAGTAAAGGATTTCTCTGGTAGGATAGATACGTAGATGACGTTTTTGCTTAACTCTTTAAACTTTCCCGACTTATAATTAAACTACAGAACGAACTAAATTTTTCCATTTACCACAAACCCTCTACACCCGGACACAGTAATATATAATAACTCAAATCACCCTTACACACACAAAATGGCTGCCTTTTATGCTTTTGACAGACCAATTAATATACCTTTTCCTGCTGAAAATTGTGAAAAAGAAGTAAATATTATAAAACAAATAGCTTTTAACAATGGTAACGACCCCTCTTTGATATATAACATTATAACTAAAAAGCAGTTTCAAATAACTCTGAACTCTTATCTATCCCATATTAAACACTGAACCCAAAATACATAAATAAAATTCATAGCAGAAGCTAGCAAGAAATTTTTGAAACATCCATCTAAATTTGGTCTTAAGATTGCTTTTACAATTGTAATTGTAAACACCATAGAAAACAATAAAGCTAAATTATGAAAAACTTAAAAATCCGAACATACAAGTTGAAATGTGGATCATGTTCCAAAATTTATATCGGACAAACAGGTAGAACATTTAAGAAACCCATTAATGAACATAAACGAGCGCACAAAAATAAAAGTTCGAATTATAACTATGCTATTCATTTAAATGGAGAAATGCACAAGTTTGACGATAATTTTTATATTTTACATAATCAATCAAAAAGCAAAAAACTAAATTTGTTAGAAGCTATGGGGATTAACGAAATGAGATGTTCGATTCTATTACTTAATGACCGATTGGATTTAAATGCGTCTCCCTTGCTAAATTTAAATTTATAACCCTACACCGATAATTAAAAATCCGTTACTACCTGTTTATAGGTGTCGGAATAAAGTCATATTTTCTATTTGATAAAGGCACGGTGTTGCGGAAATAGCTGTCATAAATCGTTACGTAACTGTGAAAATCTGAACATTTTTTGTTCTAATTTAATTATTTTTTTTTCAATACAAATATAAATAATAAAGCAGGTTAATTAAAAGGTACAGTCGCTAGCACTTAATTTTAATTACTGTATCTAATTCCTACTTGAGGATTATATATTTGCCCATATGGTGTGAAGGACTAAAGTTCAACAATCGGGTCTATTTGACGTAAATTTAAGGGTACCCCGGTCGATCCATTTACCGTTTCTAGATCCCAAAGTTCTCGCCGATTTAAGAAGAATTACCGGCGATCCCGAATACTTGCCAAAAAACGCCCAAGAGCTCTGTAACCGATTTCTAGTGACGTGTTACATGGGTACAGAGAATTCCTCGAAGGAAACCAAACAGAGGGCCGCAGCATTGGCGGCCGCCATCGGAAGGTAATCAAATACTAGTTGCTGTGCCTAAAGGATTAAAGTGCTTATTTAAAGCTACCACCTGCATATCGTCATCGACAAGGCGGTAAACGCGTGTTTGGAAATATTCAGCACCGTCACGGGGCTGTTTCCGAAATTCGCGGCTAACGGGGGCTGCGCCCGCCAAAACTTGGCCCTACAGAACATCCAAGCGAGACTGAGGATGGTTCTCAGTTATCTGTTTGCGCAGCTAGTGCTTTGGGCGAGAGGCAGACCAGGAGGATTATTGGTGTTGGGGTCCGCTAACGTCGACGAAGCCCTAAGGGGCTACATGACGAAGTACGACTGCTCGAGCGCTGATATCAACCCTATTGGTTTGTCAAGTTTTACTGAAATGTCGAGCTGGTCGGTCAGTATTTTGGTTCTCTAGGTGGCATCTCAAAGACTGATCTGAGGAAGTTTATGACATACGCGAAGGAAAAATTCAACATTCATATTATCGGGGAGATCGTGGCCGCCCCCCCGACCGCTGAACTAGAGGTCCGAAATATAATATAAATATAAAATGGCTTGGTATAATTGGGTTGCGATCGCTATTTTAGCCATTAGTGCAGGGCAAGCTGGCTCAGACGGACGAACAGGATATGGGCATGACATACCTGCAGTTGAGCCAGTTTGGGAGGCTAAGGAAAATCGAAAATTGCGGACCCTACTCGATGTACTGTAAACTAGTGCATACTTGGTCTGACTCTTGCACCCCCAAGCAGGTGGCTGAAAAAGTAAAACACTTTTTCAGGTGAGAATTATTTTACTTCGTAACTTTTGTCTCAGAAATAAGTAATGAAAAATTTTTAAAAGTTTATCATCTTCAATAGTAGACACTGCTGAAGCCAATAGCCAATAGTGTTCTCTATTTTTTTTCAATTTTAACTTTTTTAAAACAAAATTATTTGAAAAAATCGTAGAACCAAATTTTTAGCAGGAAATAATAATAACAATAATTATAATAACAACATCAATAATAATAATTATTATTATTATTTTGACAATTATTGTCTAACAGATTAAATTTTAAAAAAATCTTTAATCTTAAGAACTATAAACTATAACTATAATAAGTGTTGAACTATATTCACTCCAGCAAAGTAATAGTGAAACATACAATCCATTATAGTATTTCAAATTTATTTCAATGTCACCATAGAAGTCATTCAATAATTTCAACAACTGATAGAGAGGAACTTTGATCAAAAAATTGGTTCTTGAAGTTGCTAGGTGAGCTACAGGTGATGCCCTAACAGTCCTTGACGGAACATGAAAGTTTATATAAAAACTGAAATGAAAGGTACTGCTACAATTCAACAGTAAGGGAACCTTAAACATTAGCAATAACTCACTCTGTGGCAGTTCCCTAGCCGGGTAGAAACATCAATTTCATAAAGTATGTAAAGATAAATCTTTAAAAATACGTAGATAAGTAAATAATAATTTCACTTACCTTTCACTTTTTCAGAATAATTAGAAAATATTTTATGATCGGCAAATTATTTTGAAGAGGAATTAGCTAGTTAAAGTTAAAATTATTATTGATAAATGAAGCAAAGCTAGTAGGGTTTTGCTTAGTTGTACCGTTTTTCTTCGAATATCTTTGAATGTTTATTTCTCGGTTTACCTTGCGATAGATGTTACGCCATTAATAGGCACAAGATGACGGTCCTAACTCCGTCTTACCACGCCGAAAACTACAGCCCGGACGACAACAGATTCGATTTGAGGCCGTTTTTGTACAGGGCAAACTGGTCGTGGCAGTTTAGAGCGATAGACAAACAAGTGAGTCCGGGAAATATTAAGGAGCACCGCGCAAATCTCATGGCGTTCCGTTTCAGGTTGAATATTTAAATAATTTAAAGAGAAGCGCGTCGACATCATCGACGGGCAGCGCCAATAAAAAAATTAGCAATTCGAAAATACGAACCGGCATTACCGTTTGACTGTGATATATTTTTTTAAGTTTAAATTAAGTAGACCTTCGGTTGCTCGTCACTTGAGCGGTCTTCATTCTTTTGTTGCATTTTTTATATTTTAATCTAGGGAAGAATCAAACCTTCATTATGCCAATTACTGTGAAGTCAAAAACGGCAATAAAATACCGTGGTCTTTTTTCAGGCTGTAAACTAAAACTTTATCCATATCTATGTTAACAGAGAAGCACAAAAAAACTTATTTAAGCTTCCTAGATTTGTTAGCGTTGAAAATTTTGTCTTTAATTAGTTATATAAAAATATTATATTTGTTTAATTATTTTATCATTATTCACTAATGAGATGTCTCGCAAACTGTTAATTAAAATATTAAAAAATAAAGGCAGATTGCTGAAAATTAAATGAAAGCGAATTGATAAGTACGATGAATAATCGGTTGACGTGAAAACATTTATTGCAATAAGCCAACACTTAATGAGTTTTTTCGGCTTGTTAGGCCGTGGTCTATTGGTTTTGCTACCAAAGCTTTCAAGTGCTACTGCGACAGCCATCCTCAGTAGACCTTAGATTGTAGCGTGACGACTATTGCGGTACTGGTGCCGGTTGTCGCCTGTGTTGAACCGCTAGGACGGACGGAGGACTGACCGGCTATTTACGGCCCGCCCCTTTGCCGAGTTGTTCGTGTGTGTTTTCTTTAAGATGTTGGGCCATATTTTATTCACTTGTAATCATTCCTCTTGTTAAAATTGTCTTTGTCTCTCAATGTAATCTTGCATAATAGTGCTTCTCCGTGGACAAAACTTCCGTGTTTTCAAATCTGATGTTATGATCCTCTTTCGAAAACAAGTGCTCCGCAACCGCCGATTTTTTCTACTTCATTAAGGACATTGTGGTAACACCCACAGATATACTAGTCAGTTTTGACATAGTCTCCCTGTTTACGAATGTTCCACTACTGGAAACGATTAACAAAATCAATGAAAAATTCCCGACTGAAACTGAAATGATAAGCAGAGGTGAGAGCATGAAATTGGGTGATAGAGTATATCGACTGCTACCTGCAGAAAGGGTCAAACCACCATCCCAGACAAGATGGGAATTATAATAACATTAATAGACAGGGCAGCTGCCGGCGGAATTAAATCATTTAGATAGAGCGCTCCAAGCAAATGGGTACAAAACTAATGAAATAAAACACCAAACAGACATGAGAGTAAAGAAGAAACGCCACCGGACGGTCTAGTCTTCCTCCCTTACATCGAAAGCCTAACGGACCGGATCGGTAAAATAATTGCGAACCATAATATAGAATCAATTTTTAAACCCACAGGACAATATCAACAATAAAAAAGAAAAAGGATAGCAAGTAAATAAAATATGGCACAACATCTTAAAGAAAACGAACAACTCGGCAAAGGGGCGGGCCGTATTAACACCCGCACAGTCCGCCGTCCGTCCGAGCGTTAGAACACGTCGTACCTGTGTTCGACATCCGCCGACCAGTACAGCGGTCGCGCTACAATCTACGGTCCACTGAGGATGGCTGCCGCTGTAGCAGAAAGCTTTCGTAGCAAAAGCAATAGACCACGTCCTAACAGTCCGCAAAAACTCATTACTTACAATACCGGTCGTGAGAGCCTACGGAAGCATGTTAAGCAAACACTTGTCAAGAAAAACAGGAAAATCAATAACTGTCGTATGGTTTCACAGCATATCTGTCAAACAGCATGTGCCAAAATCTGTAGCTCGCATGCTTGGGTAGTCCCCACTTCACGTCCAGATTCGTTGTTATTTTTAAATATCTAAAATGTTGCCGTTGCGCCCTTGACCAGACGATATATTGTAAATTGGGGTCTCGTGTCGGCGTGGGGTCCCTGAAAGCGACAAATGACTACTCAAACGTTTTAACGTTTTTTGTAATGAATCTGATGTTGAAAGGCGATCGTAAAGAAATGGTATATCGAAAAAAATCTATATAAACATATAAATAAACACGTATCTCAAAAAGATACTTACAGATATTTCGCGAAGTTGGTCCATAATGTCATCAGTCTTTGGTGCACCCGCTGATCGTTCTCGGGAAAGAGCGACAGTTCCGTATTGTCAGGAATGTCGGCATTGTAATACCGACTAAAGAGGTAATTTAGTTCCTCGCCATGACTTACATTACTGGTACCTTCAAGTCAAAATTATTCCATCAATTATAAACTTTTAGCAAGTCAGCAATTTCGGTAACATCGTATTACATTTGAAATATGTCAAAAGTTTGAAACTGGATGCAATAGTGGCACATCCACAAAATAATAGTTCCAAATAATAATAATAGTAAACAAATTAAGTTATTCTACATTAAAAGCAACGACCAACTGCCTTGGTTTTTGGAAAATAAACAAAAAGTGGCATTTTTTATATAACATCTCGTTCTAGATCCACATTTCCAAAAGATGTAAAAGTTGCGCCTGCTCTGCTTCTGTAGTCAGTTTCCCTAAAAGATGTTCTATAGAAAAATGTGTCAGAAGCATCTTTTTCTACTTTGAAAACACGCGTTATTTATTTTGACAATATCGCCCGAACCATCCGAATGAAAGTTAAAAGAAGTTACTCATTTCTATGACTATAAGGAGTCTTCTTCGCGCTGTTTACAAACTCTGCGGCCATCACACTGGGTTGTGTTGTTGGGTTTTGCGCGTGAGATCGTTAAAAAAGGCGTGAAATTCAATAGTGACACTAACTCTCTCTAGCCCAAGATAAGATAACTATGTGCCGGTATTCTTTGTTATTAAAATACAATGGTGCGAGTTTTAACTGAAATGGCTATTTTTTGATATCTGCCATTATAGCACCCAGTGAGCGATAAGGCAGTAAATAAATATCAAGCGTCACACGCTAGTTACTAATAATTATTATTATATTATTAAATTAGGACAATGTGCACTTATAGAGGTTTTGACGCTATAGGGAATAATTTTGTTTATTTCTGCATTTTCAAGGTATCTTAGGGTTCAAATCCAATACCAATGGCGCCTAAACAGGTTGCTCTAAGAGAGAACGATATTACAGCTTGGCATCTGCTAAGGCGGTTTGCGCGCTACTTATCGACAGAGTTACTTAATCAGGTTCATTTCTGGTAAGTTTTACGAATCCGTCGACATCATCACGTGCTCTACATACCCGCTAAGGTGGCGTACACATTGTTGCCCATTGGACCGCTATATCCGAATTCGTAGAAGTACACGGGTACATATTTCGATTGTAATTCCGCCTGTTTTATGACGGGCTTCTCGAGATCGTGTCCGCTGTGAAACTGAAGAACGCAATCAGTCTCTGTTCTTTCATTATTACTTGGAAAGGTCTCACGTGAATCGCGAAAACGGGGTCGTCTTCAAAACTCGCACCGTTTGCGTAAAACTGCTTAATTAACTCCCCGATGTGCTCTTTGAGGCTCTCGTCGGTTACGTGCATGTCGAACGGTACCAAAAACTTAGGGTTATAGTCGTAGTCTTTCGAAATCGCGTTCACGAAATCTATCCGGAAAATTATCCCTTGCTATATTAATCTTATGAAATTGTTGAACATACCGCCGTTATTTAACAACGCTAGGGCTTCATCGGAGTTGATGCCCGCGACGATGGGTACTTTGTTAAAACGACCTTCTTGCAAAAGTCCATACATTTTGTCGGTGATGAAGACATGTTTGTGGTCCTTTTCAATCACTGGGGCGTAGAAGAAGCCTTTCGATAACGGGACGTTTCCCGTCGAAGTCTAGTTGGGAATAACTAGTCATTAGATACATATGGGGGCTGTCTGTGTTGATAACCTTTTAAACCCGCCATGAAAAAAGAACATGCCCAGATGCTAATAAATGTTCAGTTAAGTCAGTGGAGATCATTGGTTAGGAATTTAGGCGCATGCGCGAAAGATCAATCCCTCCTTTGCCACCCGAGACGCATCATTTTTTTCGTCGACCATTGTATTATCTAGTAGCTATATGAAATATATAAATGGCACGTAATAATAATAATAAAGTCTTTATTTATTCATACTTTAAAGAAAATATTACATTTAAGTAAATGAATAAAGGACGGTATCTAACCAAGCTGCTCTAATACAACCCAAGAGTGTTAAACATTATTATTAAAAGAAAAAGTCTTATTTTTTTCACTAACAAAACAAAATATGGCAGGCGGTTAATATGAGGAGAAATATAACGTTAAGTTCGGTTATGTTCGGTCTCTGACTTGCGTTATATACGATTTAAATTTATATTTAAATGTTGGGTGGGCAGTTAGTTTGAGGTGCTGAGTTTTTGAAAGCAGTGTAAGTGAATCTTCGTTGGAAAAGAGCCGCGCTATGTCTGAATTTAGTCAGTCAGTCTAGCATATAAATATTTCGGCTCCTTAAGGGTAATCGTTTTGTGAACTATTCGATAGTATTCAGTCTGGTTGCATTTTTCGGCATTAAATTTTCAGTAAAAAAAAAAAAAGGTTAATGTAAAATTCCACTTGCAGTAAGTACGTGCCACTTACCAGTAAGTTCGTTACGTTAAATGACGCCGCATCTAGCTGTGAAGCGGGTACTGTTTTCAAATACTCCAACAATTCTGTGGAATTACGTCTCGCCGGAAGGGACGGCTCCAACTGACCCGCAGTCAGCCACGTTATGTTGGTTTGATTCCTCTGATACGCTAATGGACTCAGAGCGGAACCGCTTTGCATTATAGCGGCTCGAAATAGCCCTGCAAAGAGAAAACAAAGTGAAATGAATATTCTGGCAAGAAAACTGAACTGACTACCTTCAGCTTGCTGACTCAAAATGAGATAGCCAACACAAGCTCCGCCGGAACTCTCTCCAAATATTGTTACTTTGTAAGGATCGCCGCCGAAATGAGCGGCATTGTTTCGAATCCACTTCAACGCAGCGATTTGGTCTTTAAGACCCAAATTGCCCGGCAGTAATTGGTCGCCCGTTGAGAGGAACCCGAAAGGACCCAGTCTGTAGTTGAACGACACCAATATAACATTGTAGTCCATAAAAAAGTTGGGTCCAAATCCGTTCGATTTGTAAGCCGCTCCGGATACGAATCCTCCGCCGTGGATGAATACCATGATCGGCAGATCAGCAGTGATATTTGCTGATGTGAGGTCCTACCCAACAATTTTTTATATGATGTTCTAGTCGTTTCATTGTGGTATTATATAGGTATGGATGTAAACATAATTTAACAAAGACCAGACAAAGTGAAAATCCGTGTATATTCCCACTTCTGAGGGAACCTCACCTTGGGTGTAAACACATTGATAAATAGGCAATCTTCATTTTCTAAGTCACTGTCAGTGCCCACTTGATGGCAAATGTATTTTTCTTCAGTGGCATTATAGATGTTGGTCCACGAATCAACTGGCTGAGGAAGCTGAACACGTGTCGCAAAGCATCAAAATTTCTAATTAGAAGACAAGATAATACTAGTGATACAGACTTACTTCAAAACGTAGCGAGCCAACGGGAGCTTTCGCGTACCTCAAAGAGAGGAAGGAATGGTAAGTGGTACCTTCTCGAGTTTTTTCCGTCAATCCCCTGATTTTGCCTTGTGGCAGTTCTATAACTATTTCGCTAGAATACTTAAAGAGAAATATGGGTCTTGAAAAAAAACTGAGATATCTTAATATTTAATTTAATTGATTTGCAAAAAGTATTGTGTTGGTTACACAATAAATTATTAGTTAATAGTTTCGGTTATTTTTAAAATTTTATAGATTTCTTTATATTTAACTAACCAACCATTTTCTTTAATTTTCCGATATTTCAAATTTTTGTTTCTACAGAGAAAATGTATAAATTAAAAAAATACAAAATTAATGAGTTATATAAAAAGCCTGTTTTGGTTACTTACCGAGTCGAATATTAGCAATATAAATTGCATAACGCACAACTTGATGTTTGTCCAAGTAATCATTTTTTATTATCGCGTTAAAAAACACCTCGAGTACTTTTAACAAGTAAATTATAAATGGTACTGCCGCTATCCGCCTCCGTACTTGCTACGTTACTCGAAATAAACGAGATTAAATTAATCGCTTTAAACTGTCTGGATTTTGGGAATAACCGTTCGGTCGCGTCTTGTTTGCTTAAACGATTGCGTATTTTCAATAAGCTAATCTCCAGTAAGCAGACATAATTCAAAGTCAATTATTTTACTTATGTTTATGTTTGATTTAATCGACTTTATTATAACGAAAAATAAAAAAATACAATTAATTGTTCAATGCGAATCGAAGGACATTGTATGAAGCTCGATAAGCCTTTGAGTATAATGCCCTTGGTCAATAGGGAGACTTTCAAAATAAAACGGCAACCATGTACGTTATTGTTTAATTAAAAAAAAAATCAACGAAATAAAAATCTGATTTGCGTAATACAAAATAATAAACAAATCGAATGTGATGATTTAATAGTTATAAAAACTAAGGATGTCGCCTGTGGAATTAAAGTTAGCCCGAGAGGAGGAGCTTGCCAAATTTTCACGGCTAGGAATAAACCAAGCAACATCTATAACTATTAATAAGATAACAACAAATAATACTGTTGCAATTAAAATAATTACCTATTTTTATTGCGAATAACATGGCAAGAGAAATTACATATCAGCCCTTGAGTCTTATCTATCTAAACCCCAAAAATAAATAGAATTTGGGAAAATATAATTTTCACCTTCTCAATTTCTAAGTGGCGCATTCATTGCTCAGAATAAGTAAAAACAATTCTTGTTGTCCCGCTTGAAAATTAGAGCCTGTCTATGAATTTGTACATTTGCAAGCACCCGTTTCAAAATTCCATAATTATCTCCTCTACATTTTCAATAACAAGCTAGAATGTATTTTTAAAAATATAAGAATATTTATTTAGGCCTAAAATCTTCTAAAAACTTTTGCGCACGTTTATAGTCTCCATTGAGAAAAAAAATGGAAAGCGATTTAAACTTGATGACTAATGAGTGGCGATTCTGTTTTTCTTGGCACTGACGAGCAGGGCAACAGCCAAAATAATGGATGCTCCCTACCACAAACCTGAAAGAGAAAAACATGGGCACTGAAACACGATAGCCGGAAACGCATTTTTTTTTAATGTAACGTGGTACAGAAAGTCCCTTGCACATGAAAAAAATAACCCTATAAAATGCAAATACAAACTACTGTCAAATTCAAAAACCGGCAACTCTGGATGTATGCCGGACGGTATCCATGGCAACATAGTATATGCAATAGATATATTACCTCCAAGTAATGATTAGTGTCAATTCGCGACAGGTAAAATGTACATAATGATAATCTAACTTATACAATATTTTTATCGTCAATTTACAATGTGAATTTATCCGGACCAATGGAGAGGAGGTTATCACGAAAATGTCGAAAGAATTTCTAGTCAAGGTGGAACTATGTTTGAAAAAAATTACATGCCCTGGTGTCTGGCTGTGTTCCAATGGCAAGGTGTCCTTACAATTGTTTATGCTGGATTCCAGCATCCAAACGGAGCTGAACAAACCATACTTTCCTATCAGATTTAATGAAAAATTCATATTCAGAAAAATTTTTGATCAAGAACGACGGTTAACTGAACTACATAGAACCTTAAATGATCACTGGTTCTATGCCGAACTCGTTCAGTGGAAGACTTGCAATGAGGGATACATCTTGGCATTTTTTTATACAACACTGGATGACTTGTTGTATCCTAGTGCTTTTCGGACATACACCAGCGGTACCAATTTAGATTTACTTATGGAACCAACTAAGCTGTTTCCTGGTACAATATCACCAAAATTAGAACTATGCACTAAAACCACAATAGAAGAAATTTTTAGTGAAGCAAATGGGCTGGAAAAGTCCAGCACATTGACTTTGATTGGACCTCAAGCAAAGAGAAACCACCCTAGGGCAGTTTGTCATAACAAAGAATACAGTAGACTACAGCAGCACAGTCAATTGTCTACTAAAAGCCGAAAGCCCATATTTAAATATACAAAGCCAGCAGATGAATTTCCACCCATAAGTGAGGATTCCTATATGGGAACTTTCAGGAAAAGAGAATCAAAACTTTCGGAAGACAATTTGAGGAGAAAAAAAAATGTAACTGTAGATACCACAATGGAACAACCCACCTGTTACTGTGGCTGTAGACCAATAAGTCTAAAAAGTGGAGTAAGCATTTTAAAAAACAAAAATTCTGATCAGCAGTCTTGGATTAGTCACAAAAGCCTCAGCAAGTGTTCATGTCAGACATGCTCGCAATATGATTGCTATTTCTACCAATCAAAAGATATGAATCATGCTTCCTCAGCAATTAAGGGTCACTATTGCTCATACTGCCCTAATTCACAAAGGAAGTTTCACATAAGCCATGATGATTCACCATGCAAATCAGAAATTTCTTCAAAAAAGAATATGTGTTGCTGTCTACCTCAAAGAAAGAGTAAGATGCTTGTAAAGCAGCTGCATGAAAAAATTCAAGACAGTATTAATGGCATTTCATCTTTAGGGCAATATGTCGACTGTAAAAGATGTAACGATTCAGATTGATGTGATAAATGAAAAATAAAAAATAAATTTCCCCGAATTACTTTTAAAGTTATTTACCTCGCTCAACAGCGCCATCTTTGGTTTATGAGGCCGATAAGGTCCCTGATGCATGACTTGCTCAACTGCAGTTTCATCCTGCAAAATTGCTTGCATTTGATCCACTAGAATTGCAACCACAAACATACCAAATAGTGCACTCTCTAGTAGTAAAATTACACAGTGCATTCTAAAAAAAGTATCTTGTGTTAAATTGTATGTTTAAAATTTTGATGTACTTACATTCTGGCCTGCTTGAGAGGAACATCTTGTATACAATCAGGGCATTCTTTAATATATGATATTACAACTAGGGTTACAGCATACACTGATAAAGCACCTGAAATAATTCAATGATGTTTAGCAAGCATATAATAATGGTTGATTGTGAATTACTCACCAACATATACAAGAAATTGTATGAAATATTTTTGATTTCTTTCACCTACACAGTTATTGATCCATGGACAATGGTGATCCATCTTCCGAATACATCTTTGACAAATTCTACAGTGATGGGCTCTAGGAGGTCTATAAGTTTCACAACGTGCACATATGGTCCAATTAACAAAATCACAACCTGCAGTTTTGAATGTTTATCAATATTGCCACATTTCTCTCAATCGCAATAAACCTGAGTCTGGAGAATGCATATCCGAAAAATCTAGTCTATTCTGTGGAAGTGGAATTATACCTGGATCGGTTATCACCGCTTTGATATGGGCAATTAAAAGGAAGAACAATATTGTATTAAAAAAAACAACGTTAAAGGTTCCCCATAAACTAAAAGCGAAAATACAGCAATGAATGTTCTGGGGAAACGATAAGCATACCTATCTATCATAGTTTGTAAAATAATCCATTTGACCACGACATAATCTGCATAAAATACTGCAACATAAGTGACAATAATACAAACAATTCCACAAGGATCCTTTACAAACATGTTTATAATTGAATGTTAATTGTTTCGTGCTTTATTTTTTGAAGCGAATCCATTTTCATCAAAATCCATTCCAATTTTGTTGGCTATATTTTCATTGTTTTGATATACAGATGATATATAAACCAGCTGCAAGCTCTCTTGTCAAAATGTAATTAACCTGTATTCTTCGTTCTTTTGTTGGTCAATCTGCTAGGATTTTTTGGCCAGTCTTTGAATTTGTTTTTTAATTAAACGCTAAATTGGGCTCATCCGCCGAGGAAAATTTAGCGATAACAATGTTTTCACGCACACAACACCCGACGCTCCCAGTGAGAAACGAACCCACAACCTCCGGCAAGTCGAGTTGGCAGATCTAACGCCTTCCAACCGAGTCAACCTCAGTCCCGTCTTTGAAATATAACTGAACGGTTCTTAACTTCTTATGGTGAATTACGTGAATCATTTAATCAATTATCTGTTCCTCATGAGGCCATTCGGTGAACTTACAAATAGGTTTTAAAATTTTAAAAAAAAATTATAACAATCACATCCAAGGCAATCGAACCCACAACCTTCGGCAAGTTGAGTTGGCACTTGTAGCGCCTTATCACTGGGTGGGTTTCGCCGGTTTGCTTACTCTTTTGCTTCTGTTTCCCTCACAATTTGAAAAGAAGAAAAGCATAAAGCAAACCTCAATCTGTTTCTAAATTTAGGTTTAGTTTCTCGAAGATTTCGAGCAAAATTAAAATAAGATTTAAAAATGATTAAGTTCGCACAAAATTTTTAGAAACTTCTGAAGCACTTGTTAAAGCAAAATGCTTTTTTCCGATGGGCTTCTGTTTGCAATTTCGATAGCAGATACGGGAGTTCTACTCTTTTTGCTAATTTATTTTGTATCCTTTAAAATTAAAATATGTTTCTATTAGGAAACTTAAATAAAATAAATTTCTGCACCGAATTATATTTCATTTCCTTAATAAAATGAAGGTAATAACATTGTCAGACTTGGAATGTGATTATTTAAATGCACAACAATGCTGTACAAAATTAAATGAATGGGTGATGCCAAAAATTATTGGTCATGTTTTCCTATCCATTCTTCTGGTACTGCATGGACATTGGATACTATTTTTACTAAACTTGCCAATGACTGGGTGGTTAGCATATGAATTAATTAAAGTTCCTAGTGGTAACTTGGGAGTTTATGATCCCACAGAGATACATAACCGAGGTCAACTGAAGAAGCATATGCAAGATGTCATGATTTGCTTGGGGTATTATTTATTATTTTTCTTTGTTTATCTATACTGGTGAGTAAATTTCCATTTATATCAACAAGAAGGTACATGATGCCAATTTATTTTAGCATGATTGTTGCATTGTTAAAAGGAGATCCAATAAACACAAGTGCAGATGGAGAAATGTCTCATTTTTAATTCAAAGTGTTTTTCATGATTTAATTTTATATTTACTTGTAAATTATTAATATTTTGCAACTGTAACCAGCTGATATTATTTTTTACTTTATTGCCTCTTAAAGATAATTTATATTGATTTGCTTAAACTTGTGAAGTAATCTTATTTTTAGCAGTAACATAGCAATAACTTAACCATAACTCTAGACTAAAATAGTACTTTAAGAAACAGAATTTATGGTCAAAAGAACAAATTAATAAGCTAAAAATTGACTTGGACTAAAATAGCACTTCTATGTACACAACAAAATCTAATTTAAAAAGAAATAAAATAAACATATTTTTAAAATTTTATGAAGATTATTTAACAAATATAAATTTGTCGAACGTTTGATATTACTATTCATATATATATTTTTATCTATGCAATCTAAGTTCTAAACTGTGGGATAATCAATGAATACCTAACCACACATTTAGTCGTTAAGATTTTCCGGCATTAACATTTTTAGTTTTGTTATGAAATGATTACAGATCCAGTGTTATTTCGGTCGTGTATGATGGTCACAGGAATGATTTTCTTTGTATTATTGTATTGCGTATCCTTTGTTGAGTGTCTTGAAACAATTAAATAATTCAAAATCATTGTTTTGTTGTACCTTAATCGATTATTAGCTCCTTCTGCTTATTGATGTAGAGTGCGAAGAAGCGTCTGCGAAAGAATGCTGTCGTAAATTGAATGGCATGGTTGTAATCAAAGTAGTGGTATATTCAATGATTCCGATGTTACTTTTATTAAATGGACAATTTTTTGTGACATTTTTATCATTTCCCATGCTGTGCTGGCTAGTTTACGAGATTTATACAGTGCCAAGAAGTCACAAAGGTGTCTATGATCATTTTGAGATAGCTGATAGTACCGTCCTTCGAAAATACATAAAAAGGTGTGAAACACAACTAATATATCACATGCTATTTTTCTTCGTCTATTTGTACAAGTAAGTGGAACTACAGCACTGAAATTTTTATCTTAAATTTTTGAATTTGTAGATATTTGAATGCACATTTGGATGAAAAAGTTGAATTTCAAGAAATTCTCGAAGAGCACTTTCCCGCCGCCGATGAATTCTAATGCCAGGTGAGTGGACATTAAAAAAAATAATTAAAAACCTTGTTATATTATTTGCTAGTTTATAATATATTACATTAAATATCTCTATTTTTTAAATGATTTGGTCGGTTTTGGTTTGATGTGCGCTTCAGCTAAACTCTTTTTCTTGCGGGAACAAAAGTCTTCCGCGATCCACGCTATAGCCGTCGCATAAGTACAAATATTCAGCAAATGTAATGTTATCACATAATTATTAACAGCTTCGCGAATCCACCCTAAAAGGATAAAAAGTAAATTAATATGTTAAGGTAGAGATGAGATCGCAATGCAATTTTTATGTTGAAAAGACCCATGTTTCCCCGTTAGCTTACCTACAACTGGGCCGAGCAGTATAAATAACAGACCACTGGTTGCTAGCTGCAAGCCTGACGCGGCTGGTAATTTTTCTAATGGAACATATGAGGGTATTACGAGGGCAATGAAAATTGTTCTCAGACCCTTTCCAGCACCAATAATTATGGCCACCAGCAAACTCCAATAGTATGTTTGTGTATGTACTAGTACTAAAATATTTTACACTTGAAAGATTTGGGGTTGGACTAAGGCAAATGGTACCCAATGATACATTACATGCAAAGTAAACCCAAAAATTGCGTAAAATCCTTAGATCCAGGCAACAATTACCACTTGCCTTTCCACTTAATTTGTGTAGGGGATAAAAATATAGTCAATCAGTTGATAAACAGCATAAAATCATTATTGCATTTGAGAAAACTGCAGTTAATTATCTAAAATACAAATCACTTGTTTGGAAAATGCAAAAATTGCAAAATCACTAACGCATATATGCGAAAATGTCAAAATTTCTAATCAAGGGCAAAGGGCGCGAAATCCTACTTAAAATTTGACGGATCTCTTTGGCGTGTACCTATTATCATTGGTATCTATTTAGAATTTCACATCTTTGAATAATAAACTTACTTATTCTTCCTAGCGCCATCCATATAACACCAATAAGGAAAAAAGTCTTGTTCTCCCAACCGATCTTATCCGCAATGAAAGGAATAAAAAACCGAACAACAATGTCGGTCGCGCCTAGCAACGACATAAACGTGGCCGTTTCATATTCGGCGAAATTAAATTCCTTGAGCACCATCGGCGTTAAAATCGAAAAATTCAGTTCCGCAAAGTTCGCGATCGTCAGGCCCAGCATCAAGTTGACATATATCGGATCTTTGAACAGGTCAAAGTCGAAAAAAATGGTTATTTTTCTCCAGATGCTCAGCTTCTCCTTTTCAGGCGGTGCCTCTTCTTTTTCCTCTTGTTTCTCTTCTACCTCTTCGCGCTCTTGCTGGTGGTGTTCTTTGTACTCCTTTAGGATTTTAACGGCTTCCTTCAGGACCTCCTTTTCATGCTGCGGCGTGTGATGGTTTTCTTCGTTTTTCAAGTCCGACTCCGCCTCTTCCGTAATGGTTGGTTTCGTTTGTGATATTTTTCTTTTCGCCGTCGAACTCGATCGTTCTCTACCTAAGATGTTTTTTATATTGGTATATGTGGATGATGAATTTTAACCATTTTACACTAACAAACTTATTTTGCACCGCAGTTTTGTTAGTCTCTTTCGTTTTTACTAGCAAAGTTTTAGCATGATACAACAAAATACTTGGACCTCATTTTTTACTATAAATTAAATTAATTAAGTAAGAAAACCATACCTATTTTGAGAGCCTTGTCAATATGAACTTCTTAAATGCAGCATTCTTTTTTTTAGTTTATAATTTTTGTCAAACTTAATATATTTGATAAATATTTAGGGAATTTGTGGCGTTGTTAACTTTAGCACCCGCGCTGCCACAATAGGCCAGTTAAGATTTCAATTCATGGTCGCAAATCCTCAGCAGTATTCTACTCAGATCTTTCACCGCATCCCCTAAGGTATGTGCTTGAATTGGCATAGTGTTTACACAAAATTCTATTAAAATTCAACAGCGGATTAATATTGACTTTTATTATATTAATAAACCAAATAATATTAGGCTAACTTCAATTTTTATATTATTTTTACTTAAACATAAACAGTGCCTTAACCCATATTATCTCAAGCATAAAAAAAATAAACACTTTTTTGCTCTGAAATTATTTATTTTGTTGCACTTAAGAATACATTACATGTGTCAAAAAAAAATAGACTCGATACATACAAAAAATACTGGTAACGTAACGTAACAAACGTAAATTGTGTGGCTGTGGCAGAATCTAAATCTGCTTCGGACTTTATTAGCGCGAACAATCATGACCTTGATTATCATAACGCACTTCATCTATGGCAGGTGCAAGATTTCTTTGAGTAATTGTTTTATCAGTTTTTAAAAGTCGCAAAGAAATGTAAGATTTAAAGTCAAATCAATCACTTCGTCATCAAAAAACATAAAACATATTTCAAGCGGAGTTTTTCCAGAAAGCCTATTTTTTAGTTCCTCACATGACCTAAATTCATCGGATATGTGTTTGAGTGTACTCAATCTAACCTTTCTTCCATTTGACAGTAGAAGCAAGCCTGTCGTTTGCACAAAGTATACATACGTCTACTTTTGAATTTCAGGGTTTCATCATCTGATGAGTCCCATTCAGGTTCAGTAGTTGATGAATTACAGGCCTGTTGAAGGACATCATCGGTGTATGTAACTCGAAAGTTCCAACTATATCAGTTGGTTCCCCAAACTCTTGTAGATTTATGTTATCGTTTATATCTTCTTCGTCAGTCAAGGTATTCACGTCGGGTGGAATATAGACCGCGTCAATATGTTCTGTAAATATTTTTTCACGTTATTTCTATCATAAATTTACAAGGAATGGAATGCTACAATACATAAGAATACGTAATTCCAAATAATACTTACGACTTTCATTGTTATTGTCCATAGCCGCCTCTAATTCCTTTTGAGTCAAATATCTCGGAAATGCCATTTTTTACGAACTGTAACGTGCACTGCACAAGGCACAAACTAATACTAAAGAACACGCTAATTGTTGGATGTTTATTCGACATGCGCCGACTTGTCTAGACTTGCAATAACAAAGTTTTGTTTCCAGATAACACCAGTAGTGCGTTCACGCAACAGTAAATATTTTCAAAAAAATAAAGCATAATCAATATAATATTTCCAATATATGTTTTCTGTATGTAATCTACATGCTATAGACTTAACAAAAATGGCAATACAAATCCAAATTTTTTTTTTTACTATTTTGGATTTACTTGAAAATGTGATACAAATTTATGTACCGCTTTTGTTAACTTTTGAAGTCATATATATGATCTGTCCTTTACATATAAATTAGCGATTTCTACGGTTTTATGTCCTTTAGTAGTGATAATAATAAAATTTCTAAATGGCTGTGCAAAAATATTTTCTGGATGTGACAAAAAAAAATCATAGGTGGTGCATCAACGCACCACTGATGCAAAATGGGTTAATGCAAAAACTAAGCGACATATGTAATATGGTATCATATTACTATTAAGATGGTGGTACAATTTGTAATTAGTTTTAGTTAGTAATAGTTTTTTGATGTCTTAGTATTAAAAAGTAAGCACAAGGCTTAATAATGATTTAAAAAAATGTATTTAAATTTTGCTCTCAGGTCAGTTGGCATGCTACGTGATTATTTATAAATTTTACTGAGTTAAGACTTTATACGAGGCCCCAGTGTAATTGTTTTGACCCTACTTTAATAAACCACTTTAAGTTTAATTCATTTTGCAAAGTTCAAGACACCACAGGTACTGTACGGGGTGTTCAAAAATGTAGTAAAACACAACGAGATTATGTTCATCCAATGATAGAGTTCAGTCCATACTGACAACATCAGTAGGCTTACTTTTTTTGACAAACACGAAAGTTCAAAATTAAAATATAAAAACGCTGGTCGTCCAACGGTTGTTTTTAAGTTCAATTGGCGTGAAACGAATCTTATTAACGTTAACTTAAGCAAATAAAAGCATAGTACAAGTTTAGTTTTCGCTGACTTATACAAAAAAAGTGTTCTTTATTGCTCCCTTCCGATTCATTTATTATTTTATATACATTAAACGTCATACCAGGGTATTCCGGTAAATTTGTGTACGACGGACGGTTGGATATAGGTCTGCTGGACCCCTGCGACCCCTTTTTGCTCTCCGTTAAATTAACAAACGACGGCCTAGTCGACATGGGTATGCTGGTACCCAACGAATTGCGATTACTTTTGTTAGTAGACGCGAGCGACATCCTAGAGCCCAAGTGGGACCTGGAATACCATCCGTCGTTGCACTTTATCATCATCGGTGTACCGGGGTCCGTTATTTCGTATCCTGAAACGAACGGATGAGTACTTAAAGATTGTCAGTCGCGAAATCTACGGTACCCGTGTGAATAGGGTCGTCTTCGTTGTGTAAATACTGGCTCGAGATCAGGCTCACTTTTCTCCTGACTTTAGCCCAACCAGATTCGTGTTTCGCGGCACCACCGTTTTCCAATAGGGCGGCAGATTCCGGATTCATGTCCTAAAACGTTGAACTTTGAAGTGTTCGAGTACTCGAGTCACGACGTCGATATTTACGCGAAATTTGGTGTGCCATTCGACCGGTTGTAACAGTAAGGAACACATAAACGCATGTAATGCGAAACCTGCAAAAATCAGCACCGTTCCTTCCATACCGTAGTAATCGTTCAGTGCCACGATAATGTACGGCCAAACTATCGGACCGAGAGCTGTGGTAGACCAAGACAGGCCTGTGGCGATACGTCTTCTGTCTTTGAAATACGTATTCAGCGCTAACGCGTTGGAAGATTGCGTGATACCGATTCCAGAACCTACGAAGGACGTTAATATACCACCGCAATGAAAGAATCCCAAATTTTATTACAAGAACTTTATTTGAGCTCACAACATTGTAAAATTGATTGACGGTCAAAAATTAAAAATCAGGACCTTTAGTTTCTGAGCCTCGAATATTTAGTACCACTTGTACAGGGGTATTAGTTTAAGCATCTCACTTGAATTGACGCGAAGCGGAAGCGGGAAACGACGTCACTTGTTAATTGTTAAATATAGGACATTTAAAAATATGTATAAATAAAATAGTAAATTTGCGATTTGCCAGAAATTTTAAAAATATCAACATACATTTAAATTATCAGAAGTAAGATAGCAAACGTGTTGCGTACTATACTTTTTTTTTGGGTATATTTTTGCAAAACAACGCGGATACATAGCCGCTGACAAAGCCGTCAGAATTGCTTAATGTCAAAATTCAAGTTGTGTATACTATTTCCGTAAACATCCGGTTGCTCCCAAACCCGTGTGGTAATATCCCGGAAATGTCCGAAGTGGCTTGGATCCGTGAGGCAAGAAACTTACTTGGTAAAGTGACGCTTTCCCCACCCTAGGTCGGGGTATAGTTGGTATTTAACAGAAGGGAGCAGAAAAATCTGTGAAAACATCCGATTGCTCCCGAACTCGTGCGGAATATTCCGAAAATGTCCTAGATCTTTATATAATTAGGTATTTTACAGGCGGGAGTAGAAAAATAAATTTAGTTTACATGTACCATCTTTTTATTTGTCCAGTAGACTAAAAACCACGTACACATTTAATTTACGTCGTTTAAGTTAAATTAAAACATTTGTCAGAGCTAAATATCATGTTTTATCTAATGGCAGCATCAAAAAGATTTCTTTGCCAGCCTTTTCTAAGAAGGTCTTAGAACTTTAGTGTGTCAGTTTGCCATATATCTTAGGTGGTATGTAGGATATTCGTTTTTTTTTTAACTTTATCAGACCACTGTATTTTTTGATACAACTACGAGGGAGTATGTTTACATTTAAACTAAAATGACTTCGTATGAGTAAGTGCGAATGTGTATGTGTCAAAACTCAAGGCGCGTTCAGTTCCAAGCGCGGCTCGAAGCGAATCAGATTGTTTCTGATTTTTAGAGCAAGTGCGAAGGCCAAGACTATTTCTACGTGATTTTCGTGGCAGAATAGTCGCTGAAAAAAAAATGACAAATTCTGGATTATCAAAGAAACACGAAGATATGATGAGGGAATTCATAGAATTATATAAAGACAACCGGTGCTTGTGGAAGTTAAATTGAAGAGTATTCCACTAAAATATGAATAGAAGAGGCATACACAATTTTAGTTGAGAAGTTGAAAGAAGTTAACGAAGATGCAGCAAAGGAACATGTGAGTATGTAGGTTTGGATAACCACGACTTCACCCAGTTCCGTCTTTTTCTTTTCTTTTTTCCATCCTCGCGTGAATCGTGTTAATCACTCATCCTCATAGTGTACCACACCTGAACACATTCGAGTGTTGTATAATGGTACTGTGTAGCTTTACGCGCCCCGGAGATAGCTATATGTATCTATTTAACCATGGTAGATGTCTGCTAAATACTTGCAGTGTCATTTAGAAGAAGGGCGGATGACTAGTAGGTGTTTTTCGCATCTACGTATGAGTCGGTCGATCGGATATTGTGTACTCAAAAAAGAATTCTGTAATAAACTTGTAGATGTATCGGAAGGTTTACCGTAAAATGCCGAATAGAGGATCATGTAGCCCCAGAACGTGTCGCAAAATCGGCAGAGGAACAACGATATGCCGACCAAAAGCGAGCCAAACATGGCCACTTGTCTATAAGTAAATTTCCTAAAGAGCGGTCCATTTATCAAACCTGAAAAACGAATGAGCTTTTGTCGGAATCAACTCGAGAATCGGATACAGATGGTTTATAGCAAATCTGAAAGCACATACCCACCCATAGAGGCATTAAATGCCGAGTTCATATTTATCACAGTCGTAGTTTGCGTCGGAGTTATCGCCAACTCCTCAAATTTCGACCTAAACACCAGGCCGAATTGTTGAAACATTGGAAACGTACTTAACTGTAAAACGAAGACTTGATTGGATATAGCAGCGCATCTGTCTACTCACATTACTAAATCCGCAAGCGAATACTATCAACCAACCCCATCCACCGTCGGGCGGGACAAAGTCTGGATCTCCCACCCTAAGTCTCCTTCTTTTAGGTTTTTCATCGTGGGATCCAATTATTACGTGAAGTTTATCGGGTTCCGTTTGTGATTCCATTACTTAACTAAAACAGGAGACAATTGCAACAGGCGTCTTTCTTCGACTAAATTCATTGAATTTATTTGTCATGTAACGAACACGGACTTTGTAATTTATTCTCGAAACGAGGAGAAAAATTATATATTTTTCCGGTAATTATAAGCCTTCTTGTATAAAAAATGCTAGCAAACGATTAGTTTATTTTATAATAATACACTCTATCAGCGGGTATCGATATAGTAAACCAAATCACATATCAGTTACGATAAGAAAAAACGTTTTTGACTTGCCCTCCGCCTGCGGCAAGTCATTATCATAATAATCAGTTGTCAATATTTGCGACATGGTTGGGTTTTGTATTACATTAGCCTTATTATTAAGCAAAACTAGAGATATTCTCAATAGATTTTATTAAGCTGTTGTCCATTTTTAGTAGTCTCTCTTTTAAAGTTTAATTATTTTACGAGACCTTTGGACTCGGCTGTCGACGACCTGAAATACGTTTCGCTGCTTCCAAAAAAAAAGGTTCATCCGGTACGTTTCGTTGTTATCTCAACAACAATGCTACTTTTGGCGATGAACCGTCATCAAAACGGTACAACGAATAAAATCGTAGTCATTCTTTTAGGTTATCTATCTATACGTAAACTGATATTATCGCCATATCGTGATATTCAGCTTTAATTGAACCAGCATATGTTTGAATATCGCCTAAATATTTGCAAAATTGGTTCATGCTGAGTTTTGCATAATTTGGGTCGGCTGATACGGGCGTCAGACAAGATAAAAAAAACACCATTAGCTGTACTCCTAATACGTCTTTTCCTGTAGCTTTTTGTATACTGTAGCTCAATAGTGACCAGAGAATATATTATAGAATATTCTAGCTTAAGCTTAAGTTCTTCAACGAGTAGTGCTAGAGGCCTTTTTATCGAATAAACGATTTAAAAGTTTAGATTTTCACGTAATTATATATTTTGACATGACAATTGTTTCGCCAACACCGTGTCTTTATCAAATGTCTGATATTTGACAAAGACACGGTGTTGTCGAAACAATTGTCATGTCATAGTATATAATTTCGTGAAAATCTGAACTTTTAGTTCTTATTTATTTTGATAAATGGATTTTCATCAAGTAAAAGCCTCCTCAGTTCAATATACAATTTGTACTTACTTATCTGTGTACAAATCCATGTAAGAATTTTATTTTTAAAGATAACCTTTCTTTTATTTAAAACTGCTTCTTGTGCTCCTAGCAATGCTTCAAAATTGCAGACCCAGAGCTCACTAAGATCTAGATCCCCGAATTTTAACGTGATATTTTAAAAATACATAAAATATTTTTGTTTTTTAATTTTTTTAGGGGATTTTTTTTTTCGGGTGATCTATTTTCTTAGAATTTTACGTTTTCTGATAAAAAAAGAGCGACTCACACGCCAAGCAAACATTGTTAATCTAATCAAAATATAAAACTTATGCATTTATGTCCCGGGGGAGTCAATATAAACTTCAGATATACTAGAGCAAAAAGTTTTATTTTCTTGAATTATAAATTTTACAAAATGTTTAATGTGATTGAGAAATAGTAACCAATGGTTTAATAGACTTGGTGTGGGTTTTTACCAACCAACCTGTTTTCTGGAGAAACAACGGCGGCAATCTCTACGATTATTGCTCTTTGATCGATAAATTTATATTCAGTTATTACTTGGACATTTGTGGACGATTTTATTTTCGTGATTTTTTCCGTAAGCGTAATGTTCAAGGTCGCGATTTCCATGAATCAATTCTTTTGTTATAGCTCGTTCCATGCGAAAAGTTTGCGTGCAACGTGCCTAATGTTTATCATCGTTAAAAAATATGATGGTGGAAGCATGAAATTTAAAATCTCGTATCAGGTTCGAATTGTTTTGATATAAAGATGACCTTTCGCTCATCATGTGATCTAATAAGAGACATCTTCGCGTTATTACATATTATTATTTTATTACGATAAGGAAACCGTCTGAAAATGCGGACCGTGTTTTTGATATATCACGGATATAACGTAGTTTGAGACGTGGTTTCAGAGAAGCCATAAACAAAGTATGACAGGACAACAATGACACAGTTCTGTTTTGTATTCCGCAAATATCGTAATTTTTTTTTTGGCGAGAATTTGGGCCGCGTTTTTATTTATCTGTGTAGGTACCCGAGAAGTTAGGTCTTGATAAATAAATAAAATACCTACATTTTTCATAAAGCAAATTGCAAATATGAATCCTTATGAAACCGCTTCTAAGGAACAGGTAGAATTTCTTTTTTTTTTAGTGAGTTACTTTTTTACAAACGTCTTATTTTATTTGTATACTAATTTGTAAAATGTATATTTCCTTCTTGTGACCTCTCAAGCGCCTTTTGAATGGAGATACACACAGCCTACTGCGAATTGTTAGTATAACTTATTTAAATTTCTGACAACGCATATGATTAAAACGCCCATCTGAAAAAAATAATTTCGGAAGGTCTTTTGATTAGTTTTGGTTACTGATAGGAAATTGCAATATTTAACAACTACACGTGATCGTGTTTTACTGGTCACATTGATATTCAAGAGTATAGAATATAAATGAAAGAAAAAATAAATGGAAAATCACACTCTGTCACTATAATTATCGTTAAGCCAATTGACCATGTACCCAAAATGGAGAGACGTACTAGATAGTTATAACAACAAAGTTAATCGTTATACGGTTTTCACATGCTTAAACCAAAGCAAATAAGCTAAATTTAGTTTATCTCCGTATTTTTATAGATAAGTTACTAGATTACAAACATTTTGTAGGTAAAACAGATTTTAAACATCTTAACTAATTAAACGAATAATACGTCACATCTCTGGCAGGCTCAGTATTTCCGCTAGCACGGTACTCAGAAATACCACAATTAGAAAAAAAATCGGGTTTCACGTATTCAAACGGCAAAATTGCTAGATATTGCGGTCAGCGTTTCAATACCAAGTGTATGATTAAAAAAAAACGATTACAACGGTGACTGGCTACAAGGTGTCTGGCGTTCAAAACAAATTCGTCAATTTTTTTAAATTATCTTTGTCTAAGATTAAAAAAAGAAACATGATGGTCCAAGGAAAGCGCTTAGGGAATAAAAGGAACACTTTTTGCAACCTTATACGTAAATATTAATTAATTTAAAATGAATTAATCAAAATAACTCTCATATTTAATTTTTTATTGTCGTCAAAAACACAATATTTGCGTCACGTTTATTTTCGAGAAGTGGAAAGATAAAAACCTTTCCAGTTAATTACTCGAGAAGCACTTTCAATACGGAAACCGGGCAGGAACTTGCTGTTGGTTAGTTTCTCACAAATAGCTCAGATTCATTTTGTTTGCAGGTTCATTATAACCATTCTAATTTTAAAGAAATAAATGATAATGTGAAGAGGCACAAAGTCGAAGAGAACGGCGACAGGTGTTCCGCGTTTTCTTTAAATTTCGTATCGGCGCGTTTTTCACGACTCGGCGACATTAATTGTGTCGGCTTACCATAATCTCAGCACACGGTCGTCGCTGTCAAACAAATCACCAAATATTGACGTATCACTCACTCATACGCACCAAAAAAAATTGTCGCGTTCCCAAAATCTAGTAAGGTTATCCGTCGCGCAAAAATAAAATAATTTCGAGGTTATGAGGTTATTTTATAGCCGATCGTGTCGCATCGCTCGTCCGACCGGCCGACTGCGAATGATGCGAAGTGAAAATACGATTTTTTACGGTGTGTCTGGGTGTGCTTTCCTCTTCCACTTTCATACAACTTAAACAAATAAACGTCGATATATAGGCCGTTTCACTTTCGAGAACCATTAGTTTGGTACCCGCCGACCGCCATACGTATTATTATTGTAAAATGTATGTATGTACATGGGCATATATTATTTCTCCATTACATGAGCGCAATTATGGGGTTTCTCTCGGGGTCACTGGCCGGTCTTGGTTCCTAGTTTATTTACACAATGTAGAAGTTATAAGAAGAATTAAATGAAAAAGGAACGAGGCTTTCATATTATGTATTTTTAATTATGAAATTTTACAATTATAATCGTTATTATACTTTTGTACTTTTAGTAAAATTTTATATTATATTTTTTCATTCTATTTTTTTATATATTCCAGAATTTAAAATAACGTTAGGGCCAATGTTGTGTTTTGGACCACTTCTTCGATGTCGTAAAATCGCCGTCACGATACATCATTGTTAAAATATCAAAAAACGTGCTGCCTTCAAAAATACTGTCACTAAGAAAATACTGTGATTTAAAAAAACAAAAAAGGTTTTAAAAATTTGTGGGACTGTATTTATTTGTCACTCTTTGAGAGTATTTTTTGTAATAAGCGTTTTTAGTAAAATGCAAATATATGTTATAGTTTTGCCCACTGATCTTGCCAGTAGCCGACTAACCTTGCTGGATTGTTTTATGTACGCATAATTATTTTATATATGGCAAGAATTGAACTGAAGTGACTTTTACTTAATGGAAATCCATTTAACACAATTAAATTGGAAAAACGAATGCTCAAAACCTGTAGTTTTTTTTTTGTAACAGCACCGTGACAGCTAAACTTTCAACAAGATTAATAAAAATTTTAGAATATGATATTGGCTTTAGACCTAAAGATGTTATAAAACATAAATTTGAACTAATAAACAAGGATAAAGACACTAACATTCCTCCTAAGGCAATTCTAATTTCTATTCGCTTCCAAAATATATTTCCTAGCATAATACTTACTCATAGACAAGTCAACCCTATCATAAAACAAGACTTGTTAGATGGTTTAATAGTTTGTTTAGACCAATATTATTTTGAATTTAATGGTCAATTTTACATTGCTAAAGAAGGGTTAATTGTGGGAAACACACTTACTTGCAGAAATTTTCATGGACAATGTGGAAAATATCATACATAAACATCATCCGAGTAAAAGATTTTTTGATGGTATAGATACGTAGATGATGTTTTTGCTTGTTTCGATGAAACGGAGAGACAACTGCAGTCCTTTTTGAATTATATTAATTTCATACAAAAGCGAATAAAATTTACCATAGAGACGGAACTAAATAACTCTTTAAACTTTCTGGACTGGACTGGACTATAACTAAATTACAGAACAAATTAGATTTTTCCATTTACCATAAACCATGTATTTATAGTCAAAAAAAAATTATTTGTAGTCAAATCGTTAGCTACAGAGGCCGATCAAATAAATACGGACATGATACTATTACGCTGTCATATAATTGTCCTTTTAATTACTAACATCATTAATTCAATTTTGTTTCTAATCAGTATAGTGATATTAGCATATTGCCAGCTTTTAAAAAGTTGTAGAAAAAGTGATGGATTGTCAAATTAATTTGTACAAACTAATACATGTACATCTAGGGAAATATAACCTATTGGGGTACCCTAAGGCTCAATTTTGGGGCCGCTTCTTTTTGCTATTTACACTTGTAATTTGAGTAGTTGTTTACGTTATAGTATAGTACATTTATACGCAGATGATACACATCTTTATATCTCCTTACCACCTAATAAAACAGCAGCTGACCAAGCCAAATCATCGGTTATGGTATTTGCCAGGTATGGCAATAACATTACAATAAATACAAAATACAAAAAGCATACGGAAATTTAAACATTTTATTTCCAAGCCGTCAATCACTTTCGAAAAAGCTAAAAACTTCTTTTTTTGATTCGTTAGTATTGAGCCAAATTAATGTTGATGATATTGTTTACCATGTTTGGATAAAACAGAGAATTCAGAGGTACAAAAATATTTTCTGCGATTTTTACATGTTAACATGTTATACAGAAGGATGTCAGTATCACATAAGTTAACAGTTAACGGTAGTACATATATATATATATATATATATATATATATATATATATATATATATATATATATATATATATATATATATATATATATATATATATATATATATATATATATATATATATATATGATGACACTATATTCCGGGATATCATCCGTTCGCTCGTTGAACTCCGACTGGAATCCTGCAAATCCTGCATCCGACTGGAATCCTGCAGACGTTTCGCCAAAATCTCACTTGGCATCTTCAATGCTCGCGCTCCGAAAACACTTCGAACACTCGAGCGCGAGCATCGAAGATGCCAAGTGAGATTTTGGCGAAACGTCTGCAGGATTCCAGTCGGAGTTCAACAAGCGAACGGATGATATCCCGGAATATAGTGTCATCACATTTTTCCATACGTGAATATATATATATATATATATATATATATATATATATATATATATATATATATATATATATATATATATATATATATAATCAAGGTCTCCGTTATAGTACATAAGATTAAATACATAAGGATTTTCGTAATTTGAATTTAATACTTTATGTAATGAATGGTCCTTTTGTTATAACCTATATATTTTCTACAATAGTGTTCTTAGGAAATTACAGAACCTGCTGGATGATGGGTAATGCGGTGGATTATGTCTTTTTTTCTCTTTATCACATCTGTTGTTAATTCAAAATCTAATATTAGTATCATAAAACTCAGCTCTTATTTCTGTCTAGATATATAATTTTCCGGAAATCGCTTTTTTTCTCCGACTATATTACTTTTGGGGCAGAACTTTCTAGAAGGCGCGCATCTTTCGCTCCGCTCGTGCCAAATAAGCTCGTGACTTAAATGCCGTTTAACACACTTATTGCATGATATACTAATTTTTTACTCCCTTGTGTAAAATACCCAATTATACACCGATCTAGCGTGCGGAGAGTGTAATTACCGCACGGGTTCGGGAGCAATCGGATGTTTTCTTGTTATTTTGCAAAAGTGTACCTAAAAACTCGTGGTGGTAGAAAAAGTACAGTATGCAACAGGTTTGGTAAACCTTTTAAGTCACTCGTTCATCAAGCACTCGCTCCGTTCATGCCAAATAAACCAGTAACTTGAGTGCCATTTACATTACGTAATATATACATTTTGTTTTCCTGATAATAGGTACGAATAAATTTCTTACGTTAGAATAATAATAATTAATAACCAACAATAACGGCCATGTTAGTCAAGCAGTGCCCCGTTGCAAAAACCATTGCTCTTATTATAGACAAAAACATGAAGCGATGTTTCTTACTGCTAACGGTTCAAAGAATTTGTCTTAATATCCTTAACGTTATGGTAACAACGTAATAATAATCGCGGAGTTGAACTCAAATCTTCAATAAACAATCCCTGCGCCATTAAGATTCGGAAAATGGAGGTAGTTACGGGCCCCAGGTAAAACTATTCCTTGTGCCGAGTCGCAAAATTCACGGTACTGCCACGGTACCGTTTTTCATTTTCACGCTTAGTTTTGTGTTTGGCATGTCGCTATTTTTTGCGACGGTGTTTTATTTTGGATTTGTTTACGTTGTTCGAGGATTGGCCTTTGTCGATTCCGCGAAAACGGAGCACAGCCATTGCGTTTGTGTGCCATTTTGGCAGTGCAAAGAGGATTTCAGCGGGTTGGAAGATGATTTAGGGGTTATGGATATAAGGTTAGTTTCCATTCAATATAAGATTTTGTCGACAGTGCGTCCCATTTTCGATCGTTTCACGGCGTACCTCCCTTATTAATTATGACTGCTTTTTATGAAATGGAAGGTGCCACAGACAGATATGTCATAGATTTTTAGTATGAGGCTGATTTTGAAAATTTTGCATTTATAGACACCCTTTGTAGCTCGGCTACGCGTTAACTTAAGGAAAAGGTGAAAAATTATCTGTATTGTGTTTTTAACGTGTAAGATCCAGCTTCGTTGGCCAGCCACAACAATAATTTCTTAATTTTTCAAAGAAACTTCCACAGGCTACTGTAAGACTATTTACAAATCTTCTGGATTCCTTCTGCGTCGGTTGTTGGTAAACTGAAACTGAAGAAGCTCTGAAGAAGCCAACATGGTGGTTGACGAAACGTCATCAAGTTCGATTTATCAACAACCGACCCAAAAGGAATCCAAAAGATTTGTAAATAGTAACCCAACTTCTTTGAGTGGGACACCTTGTATGTCTTTTAAATATTTTATTAGGCTTTCTATGAGCTTTTCAACAACAATAAAGATGGCACACACTGTAGTTCGTTCCATCTGGCTAAAGTATAACAGTAAAATTAAATCTATTAAATAATTATCACCATTTTTTTGTGTTAAATTTGCATCATCTCCACTCACAAATCATAACCCGTAGTCTTGGAAAATAAAAGCGATATTGCCACTATTCGAATTTGTAGATTTAATGTGAACCTGTGCAAACGATAGAAATTTGCCGGCAAATGTTGACGTCTAATGTCAGAACACTGTATAATCGCACAAGATACATAATCCTTATCTCTAAGCTCGCAGTTTTGTTGCTAGATCTCTTAACCGATACGACTTGGTACATTTATTTTTATCAGATCAAAAATTGCTGTTAAAATTTTAATATTAAATATATTTATATATTTAATATTAAATATATTTATATATTCAATATTAAATATATTTATATATTCAATATTAAATATATTTATATATTCAATATTAAATATACTTATATATTTAATATTAAATATATTTATATATTTAATATTAAATATATTAAAAAATTTTGGTGGTAGACGCAATATAATTTTTTCAAGTCACATATGATTTGGTTTAATTTTGTTTTTAAAAGATAATTTTTAACTTTGGATATTTAATGTAAAAATAATTTTTAATGTTGGAACTTGATACTCAAATATGTTTACCATGCATATAATAACTTGTATAAGAATAAGTCATATTCCCAAACATAAAAGTCAGAGAAATAATAAAATAATATTTAATTGGCTTATTTTATAAATAGTTTTGCAGTTGCAATACTAATGGAACAAGATAGGTTTGCTTGGATTTGACTTCTGGATTTCCGCCGGGTTCACACTTGGATCCCTTGTTCATTGTTTTATTTTTGATATGATATAGGAAGTTGTTTTCTGGACCCTCGTAGTACTTTTTCAGGCGGACTTAAACAGATCTTTTGACTACCGCGCTTTAAATCGACTACAATTAAATGTTAAGCTGAACTTCTCGAGAAATCCAAATGTGAATTTAAAATTAAACTGGGGGTTAGTTGGCACCCTAAACTGTTGTTTGATTGTTTGTTGTTGATTGTTGTTTAATTAAGGATTAACTGAGGGCTTTAACAATCCATTTTGAAGTATAGTAAGAAGTTAGGAGTCCGAGGTACCACAGAATCAAACAGTTGGGCCTGCTGGTTCTAGAATTACATCTTGAATATTTTTTCCACTTTCCACTGTAACTAAATGTTTTTTGTTTAAGTATTTATGCTAAATGCATATATTTAACTTTTATTGTAGTCATCTTTCGTGATTTCGACTTTATTTTCTTGCAATTTAGTAGTGGACATGATGTAATATTTGTATGCCGAAGTACATGTAAAAATTGCTGCGCTTGATAGTAATAATTTTTTATAATATAGCCACCCAGCTTCCATTAAAAACTATATATGGTTTCAAAAAACAATTTTGTTTTCTTATTTGCAGATCCGTATTTGACGATAAAGTGTCGGCGCCCTGTACAGACGACTTAGATGTTTGCTGTAAAGTAGAGTGTGGCAAAGGCAGTGGTAGTGCTTCAGTTTATATAGGGGATAAGATGTACTATGCGATATCCGAACAAGCTACTAGTAGTCGAATTATGGGTTAGAGTCGATTGTCTTTTCTGTTTTAATTTTATTTGACCCGCATTAAATTCGTCTAGGAGAAACTAGGAACGCGGAATTTGCCGAGTTCCCATGGATGCTTGGAATACTGAAAGGACGCACTTTCAAATGCGGAGCGTCGCTGATACACCCAAAGGTCGCAGTTACCGCGGCCCATTGCGTTTCTTCAAAAGCCATTTATACGGTAAGGGCGGGCGAGTGGAATTGGGAAGAGAAAACCGAACCCCTGGAGCACCAGGATCGAGCTGTGGATAAAGTAAGTCCATTCGTCGGTAACTAAACTTAGGCTACCTGTCGCTAGCTTTTTAAAAAACTCCGTTAAACTTAAATTAAGTTATAAATTTTTATGTCACTAGTCACAAATTGCGTAGATCCATTTTAATTTACTATACCATTTTGCTATTTTACATAATAGTTTTAAAATTGGAAAACTCCAACAGGCGCCCAGCAAACGTTATCTAAACGCGTTTGATAAATGACAATTTGCCTTGCTTTATTTTAGGTTATATTTCATTCGGACTTTCAACCGGAGTCGTTGCAAAACGACATCGCTCTGTTGGTAATGAAGTTGCCGTTTAAGCTAACGTCTAATGTGGGCGTGGTTTGTATTCCGACAAGAAATTCGGACGTCGACATGAGAAAATGCGTCGCTACGGGTTGGGGTAAAAATTCCTTCAAGAAAGGCACCTATCAGCCTATTTTGAAGAAAATTGACCTACCGCTGATCCAAAGGAACAAATGCGAGTTTGCCCTTCGCCGTTCTAGGTTAGGACCCACGTTCGCGTTGCATCGTAGCTTTATGTGTGCCGGAGGTAAGTGACCTAGCTATAATAGGAAAAGTAAGTTTATACTAATAAAAGAACCACAGTATATAACCAACTAAAAGTTGTAAACGCGCTGTGACCGGTTGTGACGTCAATTCGCTAGTAAGATTACGCGCCAGCCTGACGGTAGCATAGAGAAGCCATTAGAGAACGACAACGCTTTCATCTTGGTGGTTTTAGTCTTGATCCTGTCGCTTTTTTTGTTATCTTGTGTTTACTATCAAAAAGAAAGTTTGAAAATTACCGAAGCCGATTTTTTAAAATGTCAATCTGATAATTTACCTTTAGTGGATATGTTTATGGGTACATTTTACATACCAAACACCGAAAAAATTTTTTTTGGTGAGGTTCGCGATGTTAAAGCTAAAAGGTTCTTCATAGAAAATTTAGCCACTATTTTTAAACCAATATAATATTGTTATTAGCTTATAGTTTTCTTGTTTTAAAATTCAACAAAAAAAAACGAAAGATTTTTTTTAACCAGCGAAAACTGATTTTAAAGTGTATTGACATTGATAACTTCAAATATTCTTTATTTCATATAGATCAGGAAGATACGGAGACTGCAATGCGGTGGGTGCAAGTTCGAAGAGTTAAAAATGTTTGCACGGTTAATGCTAACGTGACACCTGAACGTAATGTTAACAAAAAACGATGGATTTTATTTTCTGGTAGACGAATAAAAAGTTTATCTGGCGATAAATTGGTTAAGGCTTTCGCGGCCCGTTGATAAGCTATTATCTTCATTCGGGTTTAAAGGCCGTCGTCGATGGGAATTACTTCCTAACGTTTCGCTAGCACGAGTGGCGAGCTTCTTCAGAGGTCCTTCCATCTCCGATGTTGGACGTAGACGTAGAAGCTCGCCACTCGTGCTAGTGAAACGTTAGGAAGTAATTCCAATCGACGACGGCCTTTAAAGCCGAATGAAGATAATAGCTTAGTTCATCTGGCGTTTTACGGGTTATACTGAAAGACGATGGTACATTTGTAATATTGTTATTATGTTGCTTCCATTATTCTCATAAAAAGCACTCAGCAAAAATTAACGTAAATAGTATAGTTCTCTTGCTATAACCTGAGAATAACACTGTAACATGTCCCCGTATCGATCGAAAAGCAGCGGTGTGACGTCACCATCATTCCCGTGCGTTTATTGTCGTTTAAAATAGCCGGGTGTCACTACTTTTGAATTAGTTATTGCAAATTAAATATTGGGTTTTGAGTTTGATATTTGCTACGCGTTATTTCTATACATACACAAATGTATTGAAGAAATAAAAAAAAATGTTCAAGTTCCCCATTGTTCGACTTGAACGGACTTGCAGACAGGCTTAAAGTATCAAAATACAAAACAATTGATAAAAACCGAGAAAACGTCAAGAAGGTCTTAAAAATAATTTCCCTCTAAACCTCTGAGAACTCTCGGTCTAATGAAATATCATACAAACAATAAGTTTCGTCATTCTAGGCGAAAGAAATCGGGACACTTGCAAGGGCGACGGAGGCAGTCCGCTCATGTGTCCCTTAGTGGATCAACCCGATCGGTATCAGCAGGTCGGCATTGTGTCGTGGGGCCTCACATGCGGCCTCGCGAACACTCCGGGGGTGTACGTGAACGTGGTCATTTTCTCCGACTGGATCGATAAACAGATGCGCGATTTGGGCTTTGACACTCAACTTTACAGATACTAAAATGTCTATCTGGTTTGCGTTTCTTGTCTCGAGTGATGTTCATCATTTTGTTCGTGATGTTTGATATTTTTTAGGCTAGTTGTGTATTTATTCATGGGGATTCGTAAATATCGGGAGTCGAAATTAAAAAATTAAATTAAACAAAAATGTTGAAAACTGTGTTTATAATTTCCTCTACAATCCATACCTCAAAAGACAAAACATGATTCGATGTATGAAAAGCGATGAAAATGAAAATTGTATGGCGCGTGTTTCAAAGAAAACCTGTGTACTACAGTTTAACCTCTAAACTAAGACTCTCAAGAAAAGTCGGTTGCTACAATAGCGGTTTTTTAACGCCTCAATTTGTAAACCTTAACTTATCGTGCATTCCAATTCGCCCCCTTTCGGTAAACACTCCAAGTACAACGCGATCGCTCTGGTTAGGTAGGTCATAGTACCGTAAGCGCCGCTGGGGGCGCTGTCGTAAAAATGTTGACAGATGTAAGCGGCGCCGCCGCACAACAGGCCGCCTGTGTTGGTGGTTTCGCGCAGCTCTTTCGGCTTCGCGCAGCACAGTGTCGCGTCTCCGTCGCATTTGATCTGGAACAACGTTGGAATAACTTTTAGTACAAAATAGGGCGACAATATTACTTGATCTTCCAAAAATAGTTCGTTCGCTTGATGAACCAAATACTCGATCTGGACGATGTTGCCTAGAAACGGGGCCACGTTGTATTCCGCCACCAACGTGAGCACCATGAGCGCTTCCACAATGAGTTGCCTGTATTCGGGCTGCGGGATCGTATTCAGAACTGTCTCGACCGCTAACGCGAATTTCAGTTCTCCCGGTGTCATTTCCTGGGTCAACGTTTGGGGCAGCACTTTTCCAGCTATCTCGATGCCGTGACACTTAACATATTCATTATCAAAAACTATCAACCTGGGGCGTTAGAACGTCGGAATTACCCTTTCGAGAACGCTCCATACCCTCGGATAGAAATCCCGCGGGACCCTATTCAAAGCGCCGTCTAGTCGCCGCCTCCTCAACCACTGGCCTTGGCGGTCAGGTTCTATGTCGTCGGACGACGTATCGGTAGCCAAACTAATGTGACTTTTCTGCGGAATACATGGATAGGAGAGTTGACGGCGAGCACCAAGACGACCTCAAAAACTTACTTTACTAATTCGACTCGACTTGTTGCTGACTATGGAAAAGTTACCCCGTCCGACTGCAACCAAACAGAATCAAATGGCGACGTGCTAAACGCTACGAGAGACCTGCGTACCGCTACTTATCGCGAACTCCTTGCCGCTAATAATATGGTGCAACAGATTTTTCATTTCGAAGGGGCTCAAGTTGAGCAAGTGCTCGGACGCTTCGTCGCCGTCGCAAATTAGGGTGCGCGACAGTTCCGTGGCCATCACTTGAATTATAAGGCCCACCCTCAATCTCAGCATTTCCAAAAACAATTGCGGCTCGGTGCGGATAAACATGGCCAAATAGACGAGGAGCTCTTGGGTCAGCATCGCGGTACTGTCGTCTTCTCCGTACGCTTCGTGAATGAGAAGTCTGAGAACGGTCCGATAGTATACACGAATATATCCAATGACGATCAGTACCTAAGTTCGCTTTCGGGTAACGGCGCCGTGATGGTATGTTCGTTGTTCGGTGGCATACCTACTGTGATCTGCTTCTGCCTAACCAAAAGATCGGTGACGGATTTAGCCAGGTCTTCGACGCGTTTTCCCAACATGCCCGCCGTGTGACGTACCAAACCCCACATTTTTTGTTGACACGCCTTCTCGTACAACCCTATTAAATTGCCGTAAATTTTATTCCCAATGAAGATTAAAAAACGACCGCGCACCTTTCAGCAAGTCTCGCACCGTAACGACTTTGCCGTACTCCAACATGCCGGTGTTGAAATCCAGACCGTTCGAATCGACCAGGTACTGCAATATGTCTCCTTGCTCGTCCAGGGATTCCGATTCGCGCAACATCGCAAACAGTTCATCAACCTAAACCGACTACTTTATTTTTCTGTGCTTAAAAACTGATCGCTGAGGAATAGGTTCTGACCTCGGTATCGGCGTACTGAGTTTCGCTTTGGGTCCTATGTTTGGGCGCGCTTATAGCAGGTAGTTCCTTTTTTCCGGCTTCTTTTCGCACCTTTTTCTCTTCTTCAGGGGTGGGGGATCTAATTTCCCGACGCCCATTATCGACGGCATCGATCGGGTTCGCCGTAAAAAACATCGAACCTCTTCTTTCCAATGTTACGTTACTTTCCATGCCCAACGTTTCCGCTAATCAGATCAAAAATGACGAGGGTCGTTGTTAAACCATCTTAAACATCGCTCGAGGGTGGTTTTGTTTTTAGGAAAAGTTAAAAGCAGTGTTTATTGTTTATCGATGTGTAACGGGCCTTACCACGTGGCGAACTGTTAATTAACAAGTGAGGTAAGCACTTACTTAGATGTTTATCCTATATTTTATAATACTTACTCTCCACTAATGGATGGCAGGAAAATAAAACATTTAAATGAATAATAAAGCTAAAAAGTGATTCACTCGAAAGGTTCGAAAACTTTTGCGGGGAACATTTAAAAAAAATAAATAAGAACTAAAAGTTCAGATTTTCACGAAATTATATATTATGACATGGCAATTATTTCGACAACACCGTGTCTTTATCAAATGTAATATTTACAAACTACCTGCTACTATATATACCGAAAAATGACCATAAAACCTTAATTAAAGTTGTTGCGAGAATTTAAGTTCAATAAAGAGAGGTATTTAAATCTAATTGATCGTTAAGCAATAAATTTGAATGTCTCGTTTTGTTAATCTCCATGGCTTCCAATAAATTTAATTTTCTACTTTTTGTGTCTGTAAGATATCAAAATTGTCGTCAAAAAGGTGTTTTTCTGTATTTAAGTGTGTAGCATAATTAGAATCTAGACTATTGTTTTCAAACACTTTTATATGTTCGTTAATGCGTTTCTTGAAGGATCTACCTGTTTGTCCAATATAAATTTTAGGACAAGATCCACATTTCAACCTGTAGACACCTGATTTTTGGGATTTTGGACATTTCGATTTATTGTTTTTTAAATATTTTCCTATTGTGTTGTTAGTTCTGAAAGCTATTTTTAAACCACATTTTGACAAATGTTTGAAAAATCTAATTTGTTTTGCACTTTCGTAATAGTTAAGTCTAAAAAATTAATAGAGTTATCCTGTTTAATCTCGATAGTGAATTTTATACGATTATGTATTGGGTTAATGTAATTTAAAAAAGAATTCAATTGTCTGTCCGTTCCAACAAAGCAAGCAAAGACATCGTCCACATATCTATACCACCATAAAAAACTTTTACTTAAAAGATGTTCTAGTATGATATTTTCCAAATTATCCGTAAAAATCTCGGCTAACAAAGGACTAAGTGGGTTTCCCATAATCAAACCTTCTTTAGAGATATAAATCTGTCCATTAAATTCAAAATAATTTTGGTCTAAAGATACTATTAAGCAATCTAATAAATCTTGTTTCACCAATGGGTTAACCTGCTTCCGAGTTAGGGTCAAATCTACTAAATCTATCACATCCATAGGTGGAATACTGGGAAATAAGTTTTGTACATCAAAAGACAATAGAGTTGCGTTAGAAGGGATTTTGATATCTTTAATTTTGTTGATCAATTCAAAAGAATTTTTTATTGCAAATTTTGGTTGGTGTGGAACTTTAAAATATTTACTAATTTTGTAGAGAGTTTAACTGCTGGAGCTGTGACATAGGACACCACTGGTCTAATCGGCATATCTTCTTTATGTAATTTAACTAAAGAATATAATTTAGGCGGTTGTGGATTCATAATTGTTAAAAAATATTTGTCTTTGTCACTAAATAGTGTGGAGCTAGCAATTACATCCTTGACTTGTTTTTGATATAACTCAGTAGGATTTTGTTTGATACGAAAGAAATGTTCTGGTTTAAGAAAATTGTTGGTTTTTGAAATATATTCTGGGAGATCAATAGCTATGACTGTCTTCCCTTTATCTGCACGTTTTTGATAGTTTTAACTAGTGACATTTGAGAATTTTTTTTGTGTTTGTTGTTATCTATTAATGTTTGTTTAAATTAGAATCGTTAATGTCCTTAATTGCTAATTTACAATCGATTCCTAAACAGTGTAATTCTCTATTAGTGTGCGAGTGTTGTAAGTTAAATTTGAAACCTTTTTCCAGAAATTCAACTTCATTTTTACAAAATGTTGTGTCTGTTATGTTTATGAACCTATTGTAAAATTGATGATCGGTATACTTTGTAATTTAACATTTAAACTTAAGTGTAAAGTAAAGTAATTTGAAACCCTTTAAACAAGTTTGTAGGAATTTAAAAAAGGCCAAATTAAAATTAACTTACCGTCAACGTTTATGGACCTGGTTTTTTTAACGGCTCCACGCACTGACATTTTCCTCTTGAGATAGTGCCTGTTACGATTTCTCGGAGCATTCGGCATTAACAACATGGACCTGTGAGACAACGACTTCACCAGATGTTCTTCCAAGTATTGGTGGACTTGAGGGTTTAACTCTAAAACGAAAACGTTTCTTTCGTTACTTTCGACAGTTTGGGTTGATAAAACACTTACTGTCGGGCATTCCCTCCTCGTGACACCCGAGAAAGCTTAAATTAGTGATAGAACTGGTACTTAAAAAGTCGTTGAGTTGTCCCAGGGTGACGCGTGTACCGCTGATATATCCAGATTTGAGTTTCTTCATTGTGGTTACCATCGCCAGCGGTATCTTCCCGTTTTCTAGCGCGTTAAGAAAATTAAAATTGACGAGGCCGCAGATCCATAACGTAAAATGCTTGAAGCATTAACACAACAATGAATGATCCTAACAAAGTATTTTGCTTTATTGCTTTAAATATCTCCCACATAAAATCAACTGAACACTTGTCACTGCTTTAATGAGATAGTGGTTGGTTTAATATAGGAATCGAGCCTACCATACCTAAGTAGTGCTTTGTAGCGACAATAGTAATAGTAGGTCTTCCGAGCATGTTACGCCATGTGATGGTTAGGAAAGCTAGATGGGCAACTAGTTTATCGGCCAGAAGCGCCATATCGTAGCTGGTATAGTACTCGTTCATGTCAATATTCTAGAAAGGGTCAGACATGCAAATAATATTTAGTAATTCAACTACTAGAGCAAACTCTATAAAATTATATTTGATTTGGAGCCACAAATAATACACAAAAACTTCCGTTGAAAACAAAACATTACAGTAGAAAGCAAAAAAAAAAACATTAAAAGAATATTGGTACAGGGTGTTTCATAAACAATATTGCGATAATGTTGGAATATTATTTTTATTATTTTATTATTTTTCTCTGACACTCCTGTGTCTATTTTGATATTTTCCTGACCACAAGACTGATAAAGAATCACCCTGTACGCCGTTAATTTGCTGATAAATGAACGAATAAAATGATTAAAGCTAGTACTGAGTATATCAGAGAGACAAGACTGGGTAATTTAATTTATTTATTTATTTATTTATTTATGCAGATAAAAATCGATAAGGTTGAACGCTCATATACTCAGCTTCAGCAAATGATGTCCGCACATGTTATTTCCCAAAACGTATGTACCTAACTGCAACCTTCTGCACACTATTGTGACCAACGGCCTACCCAACATGTTTTGCCAACTTGACTTCAAAAAATTTATCTCACTCTTGTAAATGTCGATCATGAGCTCATAGTCAGAGGCTATGTAATTGTGCGACAAATCGGTAAACTAAAGAAACAATGCAAAAAAAAATTAAAAATGGTCAGCGATTTATTTTGAACTAGTTATGCTACTCTCCACTTCTCTTGCATTGAAATTTAATGAAAACTCACCTGGGGAGTAAAAGCAAATATTTTATCACCCAGAAGGTACAATTTGCTTGTGCTCAGAATGCCCACGTCTCTGGATTTTCTGCCCGACAGACCCAATTTTTTATTTCTACCCAAATAAGTGTAAAGGTGGGATAAAACTCGTGCGGGTTGAACCTAAACAACAACTAAAAATATTTTCAAATTTTGACAATTTTGAAGCAATTTTACTTCAATCGGTGCAACCTCCGCAATGGTTTGAACCGCAATATCGTGTTCCATCAGCTTATCCCTAATTTCACAGTCCTCTGCCAGTATTACAACCTGTACCACCACATCAGGTTTCTTTTCTGAGCACAACCTCCGATTTAATGGATCCAGTTCACCTGGAGCCAAAAATTTCTAAAAATAATAAACTATGTGGAAGCAAACAAGAATTTTGATTCAACAGTCTAACTTCTTGTAACAACTTTCCAATAATGTACAAAGACTGAGCCCACAAGAAAGTAGTCTGACCTAATGGTATTCGTTGCTGGCTTCCAGGTTCTCTATACTCGGCAGCCACGAGTTCCGCAGGTACTGCATACAGTTCCGGCACTAATTTTAAACCATCCTCAGTTCTAATCATAACCTCAAATCAAAAATTTGAAAGAATTTTATAATATGTGTAAATTATTCAATACCTCTTCCAGGCGTTCAGTGTAATCTGCAGCACCATCTCTGTTATTCATAAAGAGACAATCCAAAATTAAATAACAAAAAAACATGGGCCACTCACATTCAATATGTTCAAACATTCTTAATTCCCAAGGTTCATAATATAAACGGTTCGGGTCCTAAAATGTATTGAATTCAAGAAACAATTTTTTTCAAAAAAGTACTTACCTCTTTAGGGGTCTTATACCCATCCCTCAAGAAGCGTTTGCAACCATAACGACCTAACAACTTTTCCAGTATACAATGCCTAGTATAGTTTATAAGACCAGGATCATCAACAGCAAATGCCGGATAGCTAATAACTGATAATAAGCCACTATCTATTTCTTTTGAACTTGACTCTCTCGGTAACATTGACTAAGACAAGACCAGGAAATGTTATGTTTTAACATCTAGCACCATTTATTCAATAAAATTACCTGTAACACCGCTTGACATTTCTGAGCTTCATCAGTTAAAACATGTATTACACTATATGGGCCGCCTCTAGCACCAAATAAATCTAATTCATTCATTGCTTCTAATGCTGCCTTAGCCATTCCAATGGAACTCGCATTTAATTCCGGTAGTCCGTGATTAGATTTATCTCCTCTCTCCCATACACCATAATCAGGGGTACAATAAGCACACTCTATGTAAAATACCAAATTTTGGATAAACGCTACCTCATCCAAATTAAATACAATCTAAAAATAGAATATGAAACATGATAATCAGGGTAGAGACACAAACTAACTTGCAAACCAGATGCAGTCATTTGAGCTAAGGTTAATAAGTATAGAGATATGGCATCAATTTGCAAGTGGCCCCATTCATTGTCCCCAACAACAATCTGTCCAGTTTCAGAATCATATTTTGCATGCAATGAATCAAGAGGGTTCTGTGTCTGCTTAAACCTTTCCACTTTATCCTTCTGCTGCATCATGGCCATTAACAAACCTCTCATGAGTTTAACACAGGACTGCTCGAGTTCATATGTTTTCGCCCGATCTTCATCCTGATCTGCCATTTTTTTATATGCCATTGACAAGCCCCATACGGACATTACGCAGTAAACGTTATCCCTAATCCATGCATGCTTGTTGCTCTCGCTAAGAGGAAATAGACCAGTTACTGGATTTTGCTTTGACATAATTATTTTATGAACCACTCGCTGGTAATAATCCAGGCGAACACCGGAGTTACTTCGACTTCGCATTTTGTCCGATTTTTAATTAGAAAACGGGAAATTTATAAAGCAAACTTTTATTTTGGCAAGTTTACCAATGACATTTCAATGTCAATTCCCTTTAAAATGAATATAAATAAATAAACCAGCTTAGGTTTCTTCTTCTTCATTCTTTACTTCTAATGGCCACGACTGCCTACGGTCATTCGGCCAGCTTACACAATTTTTCACATTATTCAGGTATCCTAAAGAATGCCTTCTTAAGAGAAGGGTCTGGACCAATCCATCATCTTCCAGGTTATTTAACGTATACAACAACGGAAAAAACTTCTAAATAAATTGTCATAAAATGACGACCGCAATTATCTTATACGGGATATCCGATCCCATCCGGCCTGGTTACCAGCGTGAATACAAGACATCCGGCAACCGTGTTAACATACACCTCATGGAATTACACATCACGAATCCGTGTACATCCGCGTAAGACGAACACTATTTCCCAAACTTGTATACACTACGTCTCTAACACTTCGGATAACAAATATACATAACAATATTTTCTTTAAACGACACTAATTTCGACCGATTTCTACAAATTTTTGGAACCGGGCAGGAGCAACGTCCGCCATGTGCAATGGTTTCCTCACGAAGTCACCAGCTTACGTTATGTAGTAATATCTTTTGAGATTTAGAAAAAAATTTTCCCGAATGATCCCAGCATACTGTGCCAATAAAAATAAGAAGGAGAACAACGTCAGTATCGTAACGGGGGTACAAATTCTTGATATGGGTGGTAGCGCGTATTAGATATTTTGCTTCTTCTATGTAAAAACGATTAATAATATGACCAAAGTGTTTGGGGAAAGTTTTCTCACAGAAATCAACAGGTAAATAAACAACGCGCATTTAGAAAACTTTTTTAATTATAAAATATTCTTATAAAGATAAAATGTACAAAGCATTATATAAACAATAAACTATATTATATTAAAAATATACAATAAAATATAAAATATTTACTGTAAGGCACAGAACGCTGATTGTGAGGTATATGTAATTGAACTATTGTAAATAAATGAGCATCGAAATAAGTAGTGTAACCAACGTAATAATATGGCAGTGGAAATGCTGTTGATTGGATGGTGTGTACAGAGGCTCAAAACTATATACAAAAAATAAAGACAACTATATCATCGATAAAAGTAACTAAATATTAACAATTTTTGTGTATTTACAAAAAATAAAGCATACAATGTAAAAAGTTATGTTATTCTGCCCAGCAAGTGCGTCTAAATATACATTCATAATTTTTGTATTATTGGGTACATAATTTTTTTTTTTGTATCAATTTAAAATCACTTTTCGATCACCTAAAATATACTATAGAATAGAAATTATAATCACAAAATACAGTAAAAAGCTAACAGCCAAACCATATGGTAGCTTATAAATCAACTCCTCATTTGATACGCCATGCAAAACAACATAATGCCTCGTACAGGAATTACAAGTTTGCACGGAAAATCGCCATATGAAATGAACGTGAAAATTTGAATGCACCTATCCCAAAATAAACGATACATGTATTTCATTTATTATAAATAATGCGAGATATAACAACGACTTCAAAGCAACTAAAAAAACAATCTTCGGAAAATTAAACAAAACCATACTTCTCTATTGTAGATCTATGATTATAGTTTTAGTTTCCTAATTGATATGCGTAGAGGTTCTCTAATTTTACGGATATATAGTAACATTACTTTCAAAAATCGAGCAGTCTTTAGGTTGTAGCAACCATCGCCAAAACACAAATTTTTCATTGTGCTCAGCGATGGAATACTTTCGTTTATATTTTCAGTTAGTAACCTATTTCTATGTAATTAAATCTAATAAATGGATTTCATTAGGAACAAAATTTTCAAAAAACTTTGACATTACCTATTTACTATTTACAGAAAAAAAATGACTATTCTTTTTTGTATATCCACACAAAAAGGTTTACAATACTATATATAGTTTTTTTTTTAAATTATATTTACGTATCAAATTTGGTTTTTTTATATTGCACAGATCAAAAATATATGTCAAGTTCAAAATGATGGGAAGGTTCTCTAAATAGGTGCTCAAAATAGGTACATTAAATTATGTTTGGTACAGAGCGAAGAAATAATTGGCTCCTCTATGCTTCCATTGATTTCTGGGCATCAAATAGAATGATTTTTAGTTTTCGTCTACTTATTTCTTCAGACGAAATTGATTTATCTGAATAAGATAATCAACCTAAAAGTCGACAAACAATAGAATATGTGGTTATAAAGTATTTCATAACGTTTAGGGTAAAATTTTTAATGCTTTTATCCAAAAGGTAATATTGTAATTTTAAAAGTCTTTACCGATTACTCAAATAAACCATATAGCTATTAGTTAATATAGTGGTCCTACTATGGTAAATATTTTTGCACCGCAGGCGGCATCGATATTTTCTTGAAGAAGTTATTTTCCCCCTACGCCTCCACACACGATATTTATTGACGTCGATTGAACTGAGGTGGCTTTTACTTGATGAAAATCCATTTATCAAAATAAATAAAAACTAAAAGTTCAGATTTTCACGAAATTATATATTATGACATGACAATTGTTTCGACAACACCGTGTCTTTATCAAATGTCATCTGTCAAATCACATTTGATAAAGACACGGCATTGTCGAAACAATTGTCATGTCATAATATATAATTTCGAGAAGATCTGAACTTTTAGTTCTTATTTATTTTTATTGACGTCCTTTAGCAGCCTTGTTGGTTGTTGAATGCCGCAAGGTCATTGGTTAAAAACCCTTTCAACATTTTTTCCACAGTTGCTTCATAAATTCCCATAGTGTAGCACAGCCAAGGAGCTCTATATACCTAGCAGCTGTACGAAATGAATAAAAATGGAAAATTAAGATTTGAAAACAATGTTATTGGCCATTGCAGCAACAGTGCTCAGCGTGTGGAGCAAACTCATATTTGACCGCCCCGTTATCGCCTTTCGCAAAGACTTGTGCGAGTTTCACGCAAAAATAAAATGCCCGCGTTTCTAGTGGTAATCGGATATCATATGATTGACGAGAAAATCGTTGAAATTTATCCTGTACCAGCAAATTTCAAGTAATTCGGACTAGAACAACGCTAAATAGTCAGAGATATCGCCTGCGAGATAAGTTGGGGATATTCGTATCGATTTCAGCAAAAGATTTTAACAGGGACAATAGTTCGTTTATCACAGCATGCTGTCTTTTTACCTATTTAGAAACCTACAAATTGTCGGAACCTTTTTCTGTGGCATATCGCCCACGTCGGGGCTGCAACCATATAAAAAAATAATACACGGTGTCACAATTATATAGCTTTCTCATTTTTTATTCGAAGCGTATTTTGATGCCTTCCCCCGAAATGAATTCTCTTCACGTCCGTCATTCTCCATTATCTTAACGAAAGGCACTCGTTATATACTTGGATTTTGTCGCGCGTCGCATTTCAAGGAGAGTGGAGGGGGCACACTTTTATGTGGCCTGCTAATTGTATAAATGTAATTTTAAAAGAAGCTTTCCGCAGTTGAAAATTATTGAATTTCGTATAAGTCGGTTCATGTTTTGAGCGAACGACCCCTGTGCTCGTGCCCAACAGGTAGTAAAAAACAAAGAGGAAAAAGAAGTTTGATATGGTGCCTCCCTATCCGCTGCCCATTAAAATACGGCGCGTTGCGAACGACGAAATGGGAATTAAGGTACACTTTTTCACTATATATACAAACACCTTATTCGGGCACGTTTTAAAAACTAAATTCAATTTGAAAAATGTTTTTGGAAGCGCTAAATAAAAATATTAATATATCACTAGAACACATAATGGACCAACACACTTTTAAAAATGGATGTCGTGCACGTCAGTTGGGGTGAGAACCTGAATCTCGGGGTTTTTTGCCGGAGGCGGGGGCGTGAATTCGTCAGGCCTGATCGACGTCTCTGACTGTTTCGACGCTTCCGAATAACCGGCTGACTCCTTAAGCATGCACTCGATTTGGTGCAGGCATTCCTCGACGTAATCCTGAAATAAAACAAGGGGACCTGACTTGCGAGGAAAATAGACGGTATATTCTAGACCTTAGGTTATAAAGCCTCATTTTTCCGGTCTAAATGATTTACTGCCGTGGTTGTCACAATATTTTTCTGGCGACACCGCAACAATTGTTAATCAAATTGAAGTTCACACTCCACGCTCTCGTTTTGTGACCATTATTGTTTAACTGTCAAAAAAGAGTTAAAAATCTTCTTGAAAATTCACTATTCTAATAGTTTTTGAAGAAAAATGTCGGTATTTCTATTTTATTTAATTTTTGGAAGATCCCATGGCTCCTGACAACCAGTCAGGAAATATTCCCCAAAGAATCACAGTAGGTCATGGATTTTTGTTTAAAAAATTCAAATTGTCACCGCTATGTATGAGCTCCGAGTGTGACGGCTAGCCTTCCGAAAGGTTGATTGAACATTCACATATAAAAACTGTCGTGGACACATGTCCAATGTACGCCGCGGTAAGAAGGCGTCGCGGGAGTTTTTTTTTTTTTCAAAAACGCCGTTTGAACGAAACTTTATGAATGGCTCGTCGCTAATACGTTATGAATTTGAAACGTAGACACGTACAAGCTCACACATCCACACATCAAGGCTGTTAAAAATTTATTGTTTGTCTACCGCCGTATCCGGTATTGATAAACGGCCCTGTTTTGCCGGTTCTTGATATTTATTTTCGAACATTTTTAAACTGAACCGAACGAACCCAGATATCGATACCTTTGATGTTAACTTGCGACTCTTCTGCGTAAAAATTTCTACCTGCCTTAATTGAATTCTCGTTAATTTCGTGATATTTTCGGGGACCCGGCAAATATTTTGACCCGCGATTTAATTGTTTAATTAAGTTATGAGGTAAGATTCGATTTCACCCGTGTATCTAGAGTTAAAAACGCATTTCAGTATCAATTCGTTTACTGTCACCATTAAAGGATCATCGGTTGGGAAATATTTCGTTGGCAAAGGTCGTTTCAAGGTCAAACGATTACCAAGCGGCCAAAAATATTTGCGATTTGAACAACATCCATGATAAAAAATCAAAAGTAGTGTAATTTAGGAAAATACGAATTTCAGGTGAATCAAATCACGGGCACATATTACCAGTTTTCAAGAGTTTCATTGTGAAATAAAATTAAGAAACATTACACGCAAAACAGTTTCAAATTCGACAGTACAATTAAAGAAGTTTCAAGTGATTCTTTACCTTTTCTATATTCGTTATTTCAGTCAGTTGCTGCAGGAGGGCGTCAGTCGCGTGCCCGCTCTTCGTCGTCCAACCCAAACCGAATAAGGCCGAAGCTATGCTCGAACAAGCGATGATGCTGGGGTGATACCTGGAGAACTCGAATTCTGAAACAAAGACGTACTGTTAAAACCATTTTCTATAAATCGTAGTCGTAGTCGTAGTCAAAGTCAAAAGATTGATTTAGTTTTAATTACTTTTGGTAGTGACAATAGCGAGTTGGATGAGTGTTTCAGCATTAGTTAAATCCAGTGTGTCCCAAAAAGATTTTTACAAAGCAAGTTGTTGAAAGATTGAACTGATAGTACGTGTCCTAAGAAAAGTTGAAACTAATTGAATTAGATATATAAGAGAAGGTAAACAAAAACCATTCGTTTACCTATAATAAAAATGAAAAATGTACATTTTTCTGACGCCTCTAGCTCTAGCCTCTAGAAAACCGCACTGAGAGACGAATTTCTGACCCATTAACTTGTCAACATTGCGAATTGTCCCTCGTTTTAGCGCTCCGCACTTTCAATGCAAATCAGGCGAATTCGGCACTTTTACAAAAACCACAACCGCCGCATAAGACCGTTGGTATAGGCCCGAAGTGATCGTCTCCGAGTGGCATTCCTCGCGTAAAAAAGACCATCCGCTAAATCACGTCGTACCATATTCGAACCCATTAGTCGGTTGCCGGTGCGTTTTTCTTCGGGGCGCGATGTTGCGTGTCCAAGAGATCGACCGATCACTTTATATTCACTATTTTCATAATTTAACCGCGACGATGCTATCACTAAACAAACACGACGCGAAAGGAATGAAACGCGTCCATTAAAAAATGAACCATCGCGCCAGGAACTTCCAATCGAAGTGGCCATTGGCGCGCTCATTCAAAACTGACATCACATCGTGACTACTTCGATTCAGACGGGCTATATTTGATTTTTTATATATTAAATATAATATATAAATATAATATAATACGACATCACCTACATCAAAATCAATCAAAATTAAACATTTATAGCTAATATTCTACCTAATCAAATATACGTATTTTTATTTTTATATTATATTTAAATGTAACTTTCACTTTTTTAGGGATATTTTTTAATTCAAGTGGAAACTGATTAAAAGTCAAATGTCTACATAATCCAACACTAATTCTCCTAAATTACCTTGTGATCTTGTCTCGCAGTCATAAATTTCATGATTGAACGTAAAACGAGAGGATTTTTGTAGATCATTTTCTGTCCGTGCTGTTATAGCAGTTCGAATTGGCGATCTAGGTGATGAGCCAACCGGTTTTGGTTGCCTCATGTTGGACAAATCTGATACATGTACAGAAAGTGTAATTTTATAGGTTAGGGTCTTCACCCAAAGGATTGCGCCTCTACCTGCAACTTTAGCTCAGCTCAGCTTCCAAACCGAGTCCTAGTCGAAACGTTAAATTTTGTTCGCACAACCTCATTTTCAACTTATCACAAACACTAATATAAATAAAACTATAACCATTGCGCGATATACTCGGCAGTGATGTCGTGCAACCTTCGTATAAGATATTGACTCGGATGTTTCGATTTTGCTATTCTTCCGCAGACGTCATTTTGTCTTTCCCATTTTTTAGGCGCCGAATTTTCTGTATCTTGAGAATGCTACGTAGCTATATTAATGGACCTTCGTAGATCGACGTTAACCACGTCAATGCACGGAACAGATGGCATGCCTGCGGCCTCGGCTCATTAAGAAAAATCATCGATAATACAAATGCGACGACTTAACGCGATTACGCCTGTCGTTTGGAGGGAAATTCTGACCCCCCAAGGCTTGGCACCGTCCTTATCGTCTCGTCTACGAAGCGTGAAGAAACTCGCGCGTCTCTACGACGGTGATAACCCGTAAATGAATTTAATGCTTCCACGCATTAATAGCCCCGTTTAAGTCCTGAAAAAATTATCCTCGACGTTGTAGCACCAACTTCAAACTAAAGCAGAGATCCTCTCCAGCCGTTTTTGACCTAACTTAGGATTTAGCACTGAGTATCCACCAATTAATTAAATAATGGTTATTTTTTGCGTTTCTGATGTTTTGTATTTCGCTGAATATAACGACAAATTAACTTAGACGCCAGTAAACCTCAAAGTAAACAAACTAGAAGAATTCAAAAGAGATTTATGCAACCACCGCAAAATTGGTTTCAACGCATGTGCAAAATTAAAATTAGAAAAAAAATCTGGGGTACCAGTCTCACGGTTCTAGAATTGTCGGAAAACAATGCTGGAACGCTGTAACACTTAGGACCTGCTGGAACGAATCTTATAAGACATTATTCATAGTTTGTGAATAACTAACTTGTTTGAGAGTTGTGCCACGTTATTCATGCAGAGGCGCATCGGAAGGAATCGCCTTAGAACTCAAAAAGGGTATTGCGAAAAGCACAGAATGCCTGGTTATCTCGCACGAACTGCTCAGAAGAAGAAGTCGGAGATTTGTCATTAACACCGTTGCCACATCTCGCTATATTTCATGAACACTTGTTTATATATTACATCTTTGCTATTTTTTGTCGTCGAGTTTTATGATTTCTACTTGCATTCGTCTTGCACCAGCGTAGTAGCAATGCCGAAAAAGCCGAAGCGTTGAATGGCGCTTTATGGAACTGTATATGACACACATCTATTTTCGGTGTCATTAAAAACCCCGCAACAAAGCGCTAATCAAATAGGTCTATATAATGCTTTCCTGCGGGCGGGCGGCACTTTTCAATGTTCGCCGTTCCTCGGGGATCGGCTGCCTCTTGGTCCTGCAACATCCGTCGCGCGAGACCGAGAAAGACCTTGAGAGCCGCCTCGGATCGTGAGAACGAGACGTGTTTGGGACCCGCCGGGCCAACGACGGACGAACGCATTCCGTACTCGATCGTCTTCTGAAAGGCGGCAACGCAGGCCAGTTTTTGTACAAGGGGAATCGTGGAGGAAACTGCGTGTGTTCGCGTTTGCAGAGGCCAGGGACGGAACACGCAATGCCAGACAGACTGGGGACATCTTTTACGTCTGCTAACTTTGTTCAGGTTCTTGCGGGGACCGTTTTAGAACTGTCTTAAGTTTTCGTACGCAAGAGTGAGTTGTGGTTTTAACAGGACCGTTCTGGTTCCTTTAAGTTATTCCATTAACCCTCTTCAATCAACGCGATCCGGATATCTATTTTGTGACTTGTTCGTTAATTATACGAAAGTGGTTCCGGTTACCTGTAAAAACTTGCCTATTGCATATCCAGAAATGTAGCTGCAGGCGTCCACCGAAACCAATTTTAAAAATGGTCTATGAGAAAAAAAGCCTGAGAACCTCCGATCTCTAGCCTCGTCTCTCCGATCAGACTTCAGAGCTTTGATAGTGGTTCTCTGGTGTAGTTCATTGCTTCCGATTTCGTTACTTCAAATTACTCAAAATTACTTATTCCTCGGACCTGGCTTGAGGTACAAAGATGTCAGCAATTAAAAGTGAAATCCAACTTGGACAATATGGAACTTGAACTTTATTTCTTTAATACAATTGTTTAGGTATAGAAATAATGCATACCAAATATCAAGACTCCAAACCCAATATTTAAGTTGCAATAATTAATTCAAGTTGTGACACCCGGCTATTCTAATCTGGCGGGAATGATCGTGACGTCATACCGCTACGTTTCGATCGATACGGCGACATGTTATTCTCAGGTTATAGGCCGAGAATTATATTATTTACGTCGATTTTTGGCTCGTGTAAAGGAGTATTTGTGATTATTGTGCTTTACATGATAATAATGCGAACTTGCATCTATGGCAGAGTCTCGATAGGAATAGGAATTAAGTCATCAATGGCAATATATTTTAACAGAATTTAGGTTTCCACTAGATTAAAAAAATCCTTTTTTTTTGAATTTGAAAACTAGAAAACTTTACACACACTGATTACAATATATTCGATTAAAACTAGTGGCTAGTGGCTAAACAAAAACTTTCGGAGTTTTGTATAAAAGATTTCACAAAAAAACATATCCACCAAAGATAATTATCAGATTGGCCCTTTAAAAAATCGTCATTTTCAAAACTTTCTTTTTGATTATAAACACAAGATAACAAAAGCAAGCGACAGGATCAGGACCAAAAATTAAAATTAAAACCACCAAGACGAAGGAGTTCGTTCGTTCTCTAATGGCTTCTCTATGCTACCGTCCGGCTGGCGCGTAGTCTTACGAGCGAATTGACGTCACAACCGGTCACAGCCAATCACAGCGCGTTTCAAAGAGGATTTAAATTTTACAATTTTTAATTGCTTATATTTGTTACATGAAACTAAGAAATTATTCGTTTTGTGAACTGTGGTTCTTTTAATGCCATAAACTTACTTTTATAAGCAATATTGTGATCAAATTCCCTATCTGAGATGCTGGTACTCATTGATGACAATTTCGAAGGCAATCTTATTTTGTTTTGAACCAAACATGAAAAAATGTGCATTAGCGAGTCCAATAAATCTTGGTTTCAGTTGACCGTTCGTCAATTCGATAATTTTCTACCATACCCGGATATTATTGATAAGAGTTTTCTGGATCATGATTTCATAAATTTGATCATTTCATCGAAATAATAAATAATTAATTTTGGTTGAAAATAAGGCATGCGTATTCGCAATACAAACATCAATATGATGGTCGATCGCATGTCCATACGAGATTTTAGGTGTGTCGTCGAAGTCGATACTTTAAAAGTAAACGGCCCTCGTTAAATCGCCTTAAAATTATCCGTTGAAAAAAGTGTGGCTGTCCCTGCATTGGCCGGCGTTAAGCCTACACGAACTTAACTGTTGTTCTCGGTTCACGGTCCATCATCTCCTGCGGAGCCTACAATTCCGTTTCGTCGATCGGAATTTGCGAATCCGCACGCCATATACATACGAAAGAGAGAGAGCCGGAGAACAAAACGGCGGTAGATCTTTCATCATGGCGGGCAACCTTTTATTTTTGTCGGCCCCGTCAGACAATTTCGTGAACGGGGGGCTCCGTTTTCGGACGAACGTCCGCCACCAAATTACAAACCAAATTGGCCGGCAATTTCATCTAAATATCAATAACTACACGT